AATGTGTTATCTGTACAATAACAGCTATTGATATTTCTGATATTATTGGAATCCGTGTGATATTTTCCAGAAAATCGTTTATCAAACTCATATGCGTGTGATATCGTTTATCTCACGCATATCCGTGTGATATCACATTTGCATTTCGCGCCACAATATTGTTGGAAATTAGGTCAGATAATTTATTCTCTTTTGAGAAAATAGGTCCGTTAATTTATTCTCTTATAGTATTCGTCTGACGAAGAATTGGCGAATTTCGACATTCACATGGGAAACTCATGGGATAAACCCAATATCACATAATTTCTCGTGATATCATTTTATCGCCTCGTAGGTATCAAATATCAACACTCATTCGCTTCGCTCACTCGTGTTGATATTTGATATCAACTCGGCGATAAAAATGATATCACTCAAAATGATGTGATATTCTGTATTTACAGAAAAATACTTGATTCCATAGGTAAACGTTTTTCCAAAAGCTACTCGTGTTCGTTAATTCCTTGACGATAATATCATTTTGCTTATTTAATTAAATTATTTATCCCATACTTGAACGTGTTACAGGTACATAAAGCCGGTTTGTAAAAACATATATTTTCATCAGCGGGCAGATATAGCTTTACGTTCCGCTCCGAGCGGGCAGATATAGTATATCTGCCCGCTACGTCATAATCGCCGCTCGCATATTTGTTCATAATTTGTAACGTTCGCGTAATGACTGTAAACGATAATGGAGAAAACGCAGACAATCGGGATCTGTTTGATGGTTTAAAAAAGGAAAGGAGCATCCACTTAATCAATCAAAAATTCGAGAAAATTAATGTGGGAATATTTGAGAGAACAGGAAAATCCGCCCAAGGCCAAGAAAACAAAAATGGACATGAATATTCTAAAATATGTCCACGACTGAACAATGTGAACAAGATGACCAAGATTGGTATGGGGGGATAAACATATTATCCTATAGTCGGTTCAGGATATTGGGATTATCCCTTGGTCAATAATTTATAATATATTTTCCCTCAGGACCTGAGGCCCTCGGGCAGATATATTATATTTGCCTCGGGATAATCCCAATATCCTGAACCTCATATAGGATAATCTCTATCTATTCAGATGTATATTTTGCAGTTTTGATTTTGAGCCCGGTCGCCAAGCTTGACGAGCACACAAAATCGATACTATTTGTACTGCTGAATGATAAGGCAGTTTTTCAAGGGTATTCGATACTATTTATCATCTATTAGGCTGTATCAATAATTGTACATTTTACAGTTTGTTTTAGTAAATCGTCCATTCTTGATGAGCTTTGATAATTCTTCTTTATCGAGTCGAAGATGATTAATAAATTAATATTTTATTTTTTTCCAGGAATGCCAGTATATAGAGTAACTTTGACAATCTATATCCCCAATTTTAGAGATCATTGAGCCTATATTATCAAATCATTAGGTAGAATGGAGAATTAACCACCCGTGTTCTTTCTCAATGATTTTTGTGATGTTTGGATGCTTGGATAATCTATGGGTTACCAATTACCATGAAGTACTTTTTGTAATCATTGAACTCCTGGGGCAGTACATCTCTCTTTTGTTAAGGTTTTCCTTAAAGGGGCAACAAGGACTTTGACATACCTATTTTCTTAAAATGTATTGATAAACTATCAAGTTCAGTATTAAGAATTCGAAATGTAAATTCAGTTCAAAGCTTCTATAAAGGGAGTCCCACTTATAGATTTGTGAGATCCACGACGTTTCAAGAAGAATATCAGCTGAAATAATGTTCATCCAGGGGGTTTCTTTGTAGATAATAAAAATATATATTAGTCTTGATGAAATATCCAAACTTAAATATATTTTGACACTGGTCTATGATCGTTGAATGGGCCCCCTGCACTAATTGTTACACCTTTAAGCTAAGGTTTCGTTTTGTGCCAAGTCTCAGAGAGCAGCTAGAAACCATGAAAACAATTTCACTTGATATTAATTATAGCGCCTTGAAAAAATGAAATGGAAATACTTCACTTTACAAATGAAGCCATAATAAAAGTGTAATTAACAACGCAGGCGTCATGCGTGGAAAAAACCGGAAGGTTTCTTTGAAAGATTTGCAAATGTGGAAGCTTGGCTCATTAATCATAGTGCACTTGTCGTGATTTTGCTAATTGTCTAGAGATTGGAAGTGAATGATCTCCCCTCCACGAATGAATTGTTGATTTCTTGATTGTAATCCCTGTTCCACAACTGGTGACTTTGACGGAACGTCAATGTAACAAAATGGATGAAATTCCTGGTTACGAGTATTTTGGTTTCTCGATTTAAATCTACTTATAAGTCAAGATGCAGATTATAATTTGGCACAAAGCTAGAAAATATAGTTTTAATGAGTTTCTTCGATTTGGAATTTGTTTTGTAAATGAAGTTGCAATTCATATATTTGGCCCCTCGCTTTTGTTACATTGACGATAGTCCATTATATTACCAATATATGTTACTTTGACGACTTTCGTCAATGTAACAAAAGCGATGGTCTAAATGCATAAATTACAGCTTTATTTAAAAATCAAATTCCAAACTGAGAGCATTTCTGAACGTAATACGTAAGTTTAAATCGAGAAAACAAAAAACTCGTATCCAGGAAGTTCATCCATTTTGTTACACTGACGTTCCGTCAAAGTAACCAGTTGTGGAACAGTGGTAATAGCAAAGGTCGTTCAACTGCTTTAAATCATCCTCAGAGTGTCATGTTTGACACTTTAAAGTCTCTTGAAATCACCAATAATTCCGGAAGCTGTCAAGAGTTTGACAAACCCCTTTGGGATATTGTAAATTCCAGTGACGTATTGGAGTTCTTTAATGGACATAATGTTGTCAGATTTTATGTAATTTATTAAATTAACAAAACCGAATTACACAATATGATAAAAGGATGAAATCTGATTAGTTATCCTGATTATCAAATAAGTATGCTATTTATGAGGCAATGGAGACTATGATGATGCAAAACATTTTACTATGTACGTAACCTAGATAAAAATAATGAAACATTTCTATGCATATAAATGATACATATATGGAAATAAAGACGTAAATATGGAGATATTTCTCAAATATTGCTAACTCCGCGACTCTGTCAGGAGTTACCATATGTTTGTTAAATGGTTGTACTCGTGATACAGTTTCGTTGTTACTTCAGAACTAGACCCCGTGTGGAAGTTTGTAGTAAATCGTTGCAATAACATTTGCAATAAGTCATTAGACAGTTTTTTCAATGCATTCAATGCATACTTTGACTCGCCATTGGCTAGCGATCATCTACTTTTGATATACATATCATATACTATCAGGCGTAACCTTGAAACGATCCTCGTTTTTATGTCACCGCTAGAAGTGGTAATATATTGTTATAGTCTCCAGTAACTTTTTCTGTATCTGCGTCTATAACAAATGGCAGATTGTGACATTTTGCATGTTAATTCCATGTTTATATTCTACCATATATAACGCGAAAAAGCAAGAAATAAGCTTTAAACCCACATGGTGTGCTTTCCTCTTAAAAGCAACATTTTCAATTTATATGTTGCCAAGTGTGAATTACATGTACACTGTGGAGAAAAAAATTGATCCTTTAAGGAACACAGGAATTAGGTTATCTAAATAGATAGCCTTGTCTGTGTTATCTCTAAATGCATTCAGAGTTAGTTTACTAAATACACTGTAAGTTGCTTTTACGGATCGAATGGTTTATTAGTATAGTGTACAATCATGGAGAGCAATGTTTTGATATCTGATAGAAAAAGTTTTGATTTTTTTAAATAAAATGGTAAATCGGATTGGAAAATTAAAATATATAACATATGATGAAGATCAATCTATTGAAAAGCCTTGAAAAGCTGGTGCTAGAAATGTTGCCCTAACCTAAAGTCAAAACGAGTACATAACACCACATATTTAGCAGTAGACAAATTTAGCAATTGAAAACATATGCAGAATATTATTTCATATCATTGAATTGCACTCGTCAAGTACATGAGTAAGGCAATTTCGAGATGTTATAAGATAATTTGTGTAACTCATTACACATTTAGGTAACCTTTGCATAAAAATGAATCTATTTCCATATTAAAGAGTATTAACTGCCTAAAATCAAATATAAATTGTGACATACAGTATATCACGTTGGAATTTGAATTGGAAATTGTTTTGATGAGTGCATTTACTGTCAATGTCGAAATTCGTATCATTTTAAGCTCTTACAGAGAACAAGTCGAAAGGACCAACGCACAGCGGGCATTTTCAACTAATACCCATCCATATACGTCACTCTGAGGGCTTCGAAAGATCAGTAAAGACAACCATGACTGCTGAAAGATACATTTTAGATACGAGCAGCGATGCAAGAAGAATTGACAGGAAAATTAATTTGTTTCCATTTAATAAAATCATCTTATTAACTTCAATGTAATAATAACAGGTCTCGTCTAATCGAATCGCTATTGGATAGCGATCACCTACATGATGGCGGCTAACTATAATAGTGTGGCGTTCCGATGCGCTGCCTTAGATTTCCCCACAGAGTCGAAAGTAGTGAAGCTCGGTAGTAAGGTGTGACATTTGGAACGAGTCCACGATATTAAACTTGGATCTGCTTGGAGCTGGAAGTTTTCTGATCGAACATCGTCCGATTTACTTGTAGCTAGGAAAACTGCAAAAGGCTTATTGGAATCGACATGCGAACGAATTGTTATTTCAACATAGACGATAAAAGGCATAAATTGTAATTAACATAAATAACATATAACACTCGAGTTGTATCGGGAACATAAAAGGTTTGTTGAGATAAGAGGATCCGGACGTCATAAATACAATATTCCAGGGCTGGGTATGTAAACTAAATCGTCTAAGAACATCATCTAACTCAATTATCTTTTAAACTACAGAGAGAACTCAAAGGAGGCAGTAACGATAGAAACTTCAGCAAAGGCTACTTTGAATTTAGGGAGAACGCTTAACAATGACGCTAAACGATACTTTCAATATAACGGACTGTCCGAACTTAGAAAGTGATTATGAGATCTCTTATCGGAGATTTAGGGTTACGGTGGATGTGTTTATTGTAGGATTTTTATGTATATTTGGGATTTTGGGAAACATTATTTCCATGTGCGTTATAAAGAGTGGAAAGATAGCCCCGGCAAGGACTACAACATTTCTTCTACAGTGTCTATCAGTAAGTGACAGTTGCTATCTCGTTATGGCTTTTCTAAGTTCGAGTCTGAGAGGAATTTGGAAATATACAGATTGGGGAGACCCGTTTTATGGTAACTACCCCTACATGTATCGTTACATATGGGCACTATCCGCGATCGGACGATTATTGGCCGTCAATTTCGTCGTTCTTGTTACGCTGGATAGATACCTAATGATTTGTCATCCGTTGAGTGTGAAGCGATGGTGTACATTTCCGAGGGTCCGCATAATGGCTATCGTTACTATCATCGTTTCTATTGGGTTTAACATCCCGCGGTTCTTTGACAAAGTGCCGGTAGAATACAACAACTGTACGAAGTTTTTCGAAGTCGGGGGCTATGCGGACTATCTAAAGTTAAACGGAGAATTTTACTCAATGGCCTACATCACGGTCCTCTACTACACGGCTAATGTGATCATCCCGATCATAGTCCTTCTCGTCCTCAATTCACAGATCATAGCAGTCCTCAAGAGGTCCTCAAAGTTTAAACGAGCGTCCTCAATGAAAACAACATCGACAAAGGAACAAAAAGCTGTGAACAACCCTAAAGAAAGAATGGTCACAGTGATGTTATGTGTTGTTGTCGTCGTCTTTATCGTGTGTCAGACCCCAGCATTTGCCATCAGCATGGTGTACACATTATACTCATTTGGGGTGAAGATGCCCGACAGAAGCATGATGAGATACTGGTATTCAATCGGGATAACACTTGTAGCCTTTAACTCAGCCATCAATTTTGTAGTATACTTTGCTTTTTCAAATCAGTTCAGACAAGTGCTCATTTCACACTTGATTCGGATGAAATTTTACTTCAAAGGCCCAGTAGCGCAGAGCAAGACACTCGAGGAAAATATGCCAATGACAACAGAAGTAAATGAAACAAACGGCATAGACAGTAATATATCACCCAGGGGACGTGTTTAATAACATAGCTTTATCCTTTGTATCACTTGTATCACTGGAAGTCTGAAAATGGATTGTTTTAGCGATGTGCATTTATATTCATAATTAACAGATGGTATACTATAGTGCTCTCTAACTTGAAAATGTGTTACACTCCCCTCCATAAGTTTATCAAGTCTAATTCTCTATTGGATAGCGTGCTTCAGTCTGTTTAAGTTTGGATCTTATTTTCCGTCAACTACATAAGGTCAAAAAACTTTAATGGATTATTTAAAATCGCACAACATGAAATTAATACGCTTTTTTGGGGAATTGGTGTTACCAAACGTTTAGAAGGGAGTGAATGCACTTTAGTCAATAGCTCTTAATAATCATTACAGACTTGTTAATCGATATGATGGTTTTAAATCAAGTGGAAATATATTCAAACTTATGTAATATTTGTTTGAAATAGTTGATCGATATGATATCAACAACAGTTAACACCTGGCTCATCCTCGATGGAAATAGGATTAGAAAACATCTAATGCTATTTTATGCACCTTGCTGTTTACTTTGTTATCTATTTATATTTTCCTGACATGAGTTTATCAACGTAACACTATTTAAAACACAAATGTATACAGTTTTCCCAAATGTTCATATTTAAAAATGTTATTGTATTCTTTATTTTTGGAGTGATATAAATTATACGTATATAAAATCGTATACATTACTACTTTAAGTACACCTGTAAGTGATGAACACCTTTACAAAAAGATTCTTTGAATGAAACCAAAATTACAAAAATCAAAAGCATAAATCTACAGATCTTGTTCAAGTAGAATTGCCTGCACCCCCTCCCTAAAAATTGGCAATGATATTCCACGTACAGATCTTGTTTCGGTTTGGGTAATGATGGTTCCTTGTTGTTCCTTGTTGTTCGTTGTTTCATTTTCAATGGTTCTGTTCAAAAGCGTGACAAACTTTTAGCCGCTTTAATGACTAAAATGTGACACGAGACTGACGCGAATCATATGCACAATTTGCACTACAAAATTCATGATAAGAATGGAATACTCAAGATAAAATAATTTTGTATTATCATTTGGCAATTACGGATATAATAGTTATATACAAGAATATCCTTTATGGACATATCTTCATATGTTATTACGAAATGATACATCTATAAATTACAACTACCGCCATAGTATAAGACAACCACCATTCCGTACAAAGGATCTAGACGTATAAAATATAAAAAATATTGATCTCATAGTGACATTGACATAAAGATAAGAAGCAACTTTGTATTTATAACTACTTAATTACCGATTGTGTCTTTAATCTAACCATTATATCCGGCAACATCCATATTAATAAATATTTCATATTTCACGGATGAATGGACTTGAATCTTTGAAATAAAACATTTGAATGTGGCTGTTACATATGCAAGCTTAGGGTGGGCCTATGTTTTTATGAAAGATCTTGGAGTTTTTGCCAGCTTTCCTCCATCCGTGCTGCCCAGCTGACGTGATCAAGTTTACGCGTGACGTATGGCTTATCCTTAGCATATGCCTTGAAGTGTTCAGCAAGGCGTTCCCTTCTTGCGGCCATTCTTTTCAGGTCACCAAAGTGGCGACGTTTCTTTCTAGATTCAATCACCTTGAGTTGATTTTCTGTAACAACGTCTTCCGTAATTACACCAGTCGGTAGGACATTCCATGCAGCTTCACCATCTATTGACAAATCAAACAATCTCCATCCGTTGTACCAAGTCCTGAGTGTTTCAGGGAACAGCTTGTGCTGATCTCTATCGTCCTTCATTAGTGGATAATCTATATAATCACTGAACAATCCACCTTCTTCCAGGGTTTCAAACAGTTCCCAGTTCTCTGACCATTCTCTCATATCTTTGGAATCCACACCTTCTGGAAGGTTAAATGTGGATTTATTCGGGTCGCCTGACGGAATCCCAGCGTCTTGTACATTGCCAATTGTTTTGAGACGCCTGGTCAAACACTTTTGATATTCATTCATCCAGTATCCATCTGTGCCCTCAATTCCCAACTCTGTAGATAGTTCAAGGATTTCGACCTTAAACTCATCTCTTAATTCGTGTTTAGAATAGACTTTCAAATCGCAAACGTAAAACGGAAGTGCTTTGTCCATTATTTCATTTTTATCGAATTTAAAATGGTGTAAAGCTTGAAAGATAGTTTGACCGAAACGCATCCATCCATCTGGATGTTCAAGGGTTTCGATTCTATCCAATCTTATTATATATTGTTTGTCGGTCTCTTCCTCCGGTTCAACATTAAGAATGTCCCTCATTGATTGTTTGTAGGCTTTGAACAAATTTTGTGTTATAGCTGTAAGGTATATCTTCATTTCTAAGATAACCCAATATTCAGAATGCTGCTTGTTTTTCCTGACTAGGATGTTATGTTCAAGGACTTCTTTAGGAGTTTTCGTTTCCGTGTTTCCGGTGCAAGATGACGTCTGATTGAGTACAGCAGCTGCTGTTCCTATGTTCCCCTTGGGCGTATCTTGGCGTTGTGGAGTCGCTTGGCGTTGTGGGGACGTCGTCTGTCTTTGTTGTTGAGGCTCAGGCAGATGTAATTCCTGATATTGATGCTGTTGATACTGTGGTTGTTGATGTTGTTGATATTGGGCTTGTTGTTGTGAATGCTGGTACTGTTGATGTTGATACTGGGCTTGAGATTGATTGTACTGCGGTGGTTGCTGTTGTTGATAATATCCATTATGCTGTTGATATTGAGGCTGTTGATAATGTTGAACTGGTTGCTGATATTGCTGGTGATAATGCTGCGATTGATGGTACTGTTGTGGCTGATGGTGCACCTGTTGGGGAGGAGGCTGGTAGTATTGTTGCTGCTTTTGTTGCTGAGCAGGAGCCGCTTGAACAACGGTCACTTGTGTTGTCGGTGCCTTGTTACCGAGATTTGTGCCAAGTCGTCCTTTCTGTGAGGGCGCATTTGTGGTAACTGAACGAACCTGGCTTTTGTCCTTGGGGCCCACGCTCACGCTCGACCCCATATCTGTATTCCTGTAACATTAATGCTCGATTTACATATGCCTGATGAAGTGTAATATATGGTTTTGTGATGCCCGCTATAGTCTCAAATCTCAAGTTATAGTGGCCATGGTTACGATATGCGAATTAAGAGGTATGCGTTCAGCATCCGAAATAATACTAAAATGTGAGAAATTGTTCAAAAATAACAATTTAATGCAATGTTTAGAATTGTATCTACCAACATTATGTTTCGTTCAATATTGCTGCAGAGTGAACAATTTTGCATTTCTGTCATTGATGCATGCAATAACAATGTGATGTCACTCGTTTTTCAAGATCTTATGCAAGCCATGAGAAAACAAAAATGATAATGCAAATCGACAATGTGCACTTTCAAAGACATTTCGGAAATTGAAGCCCTTCATACAACATCACTTCTTAAAACAAGACTGGGTGGAGCTCAACAAGCAAATGAGTCTCAGCTGAAAGCAATCTGCGAGAGATGAGCAGTAGTGATTTTAGTCACGTCTTTCAAACGTTGTTCATGAGGCACCAAGAATGCGTAAATATTGTTGAGAAATTATTATAACAACCACAACAATATCAATTTGAGATTCTATGTTATGATATAATGTCATTCTAGAATCTGAGGTGATGCCATCCCAAAAAAAGTAGAAGAGGAGCATTTGTAACTATACTTCCTTGATACTACGTGTAATACTGTTTCATTAACGTCATTTAAAGTTATTTTAATATACATCTTCATAGAATTGCAAAACATCTATGATCGCCTCCCAACTTCGCCATTGTATATGTTATATACGCTCGTATATGTTCAATGAGAGGCAAAACTAGAAATGACGAGTCCATCCAAATTATTTCGATTGAAAAGACGGAGTTGTTGACAAACCATCATTGTCTTGCTAAATGTAATTTAATTGAACCAATTAAATTGACCCGTATATCGAATTTAGGATGAAGAAAAGAGCTCTTCATCCTAGGTTGAAGTTAATACAATTATTCTCTAAAAGACTCACATTCGATCGGTGTAGATAAGTTGCTCTACCAATTAATCCAATAATGTGAATTCTAAATCCAATGAAAGCAGCTACTTGAGCAGCTACTTTCTCCCACGCTTCGTGTAATTTAGGAGAAGCATCTTCATAAATGTTTTGCAATTTGCTTGTTTCAAATGTCACTCGTTTCCTTATAGGCTAATGTTTGAATCGGTCTACTCGTTCATTAAATGGCAGCAAACTCACATTTGTTTTTGTTTATCTTTTAACTTGGAAATCATTAACAATAAAAGTGGCACTTACCTTATCAAGCATGTAATTACTTCATCCAAACAATGGCTGATTTCGTTCTAAATTGATACTACCAAAAACCCAAATTGTTCATGAAGTTGCAGTCGAAAATATGTGGTATGAAATGACCTTTTCAATTTTATTTGGCTTAAAAGTACTATGTGCAATAGGTTAATGTAAATGGATTAAACAAAATCGCAGAACAATACACGCAATTCTTAAAGCTTTCGCAGAATCGATCGCAACGTTCTAATATTTATAGTTCACCCTTAACACCGGTAAACATTGATTAGTTCATGAATTTAGTAATAATTCCTTGGAAAGCCATTTTTAGTCAGAAAACCATATTTCAAAGTTAGGTTGAACGATGCTGTACTGCAGTGTACTATATTCTCGTTCGAGTATCATTGTAGATAAATAATTGTTATTTACCAAAACAAAGCGATATCAAAATAACATAATTATGCAATCGACCTCAGGGTAAATATTTGCTTTTTCCTACCAACGTATCACTGATATTGCATTGGTTAATTCAAGTTGGCCTGCTAAAATAGCCGTGATCGTGTCATGGATAGGACCCCAGGTTGTGGCCGTGGTAACCCAGTTTCGAATCATTGCCTTAGATCCACTTCCTCTTGTGCTAGGACATGTTTCCCCCAGAACAATATACTGCCTTCGATTCTTTTTGATCAGATCAAGCTCCACCAAAAAGATCTGACAGTGGAATATAAAAATGCAAGCCTCGTGCATCCTTGCTGCAAGAGTATTTCCCAGGTATATAAATTGAATATAAATTGAATTTAAGCAGAAATGAAGTTCTTTGAAGAAGGATGGCCTCGTGTTACCATATCCTATGGCCACTGAGTATTGGCTAGAGACTCGAGTAAGCCCTGTGTCGTCCAATATAAAGGGTGAGTTTATTTATTTACTCAAGACACTGAATGAACAAGTCACATTCGTTTGATTCATCATATATCATATTTGCATGCCAACGATCTCAGACGGTGCGGACTTTATAGAGGATATCCTATGATTTATGAGTGATATGATTTTTATCCACGAATGGATATGATATCTGCACGAGCGAGCGTATCAATATCCATGAGTGGATTAAAATCATATCACGAGTAAATCATAGGATGTTCTTTTTATTCCACAGTTAAAGTCATCATCAGAATCGTCGGAAATTAAGTTATTTAACTCGAATTTCCAAACGATCCGGCGATGTTGACACTTAGCCTCGTTTTGAGTCTGAAGCAGCAAAAATCCATAAACCATCGCATACGGCGCCGTATGTCATGGCTAAAAACCGTATGTTATGGTTAAGTGAAAATTATCATATTTTACCACTGATTACAAAAATACAGTTTTTATTTTCACATGTTATCCTATGAATATCATGCTAACTATGGAATAAGCCTTTTTATTCAATCATATGCGTACTGTATCGTCCATTGTGGTAGAATAAAAAGTTAAGAAAAATGTGTTGTTTATTCTATCTTTTAATAATTATACAAACAAACGATTTTGGCTTTGTTTTATGCTGAAACTATCTGAATTTATAAAATCCGAGTATTTCTTATTTGACCATAAACTCCCCATTTCACAATTCCACAATTCATATTTTCAGCAAAATTTCAGTTCAAGATGAACAAAGTTCATAAGCGTATGGTCATGATATTAATATTTACATTTATTATGATCATCATATGCAGTTTCAATCGATCATTTTTGTTCATCACGACGATTCGTTCGGTAGCCCGGACATGGTTACCTAAGTACCAATCATTGTTTATTATAGTATATCTCATCGGGCCCTTTGATTGCGCTGGTCCATCAATCAAATGCTTGCTCCATAAGTATATAATCACAGTTTGAGGAGCTCCAGGAATATTCAGATATATCCAGCTTGCTCTGTCACATCAAATACACTGCTGCGTTTTATAGTTGCTTTCATTTTATGAACATCATAATGTATCATTCCTTAAGCCATTCCTTAAGCCATTCCATGTCTATATCATGTTTTATATTTAGTTTCGTTTGGATGAGATATCCAATTTATGAAACCAGCGTTTTTATGATTATGTCTCAAATCAATGATGAGTTGAATTCGCCATCATCCTGTCTGCTGAGCTACTTATAGTAATACATAGTCTAGTATGTATTCTTCTATGTACACGTGTGTTGGAGCTCCGTGTCTCTTTAGCACTTTGATACGCTACCTTGATACAAAAGCCCTGAAAATGAACAAGAAATCTAGAAAGGTTAAAAGCTGTTAGTAGGATAGGGAAGTAAGTTTAAAGGTCCAACACTTTGGCTTATGATTTAGTTGTACTCAATGTAATGAATATATTTTCTAAAAGTATACTAGGCTAACTTTTAGATTCAGCTGACACTGATACCGTTGCATAGATATATGCTTCGCTATTTGAGATATTTAAATAAGGCTTAAAATAGAGCTATAAAATAGTTTTTATCTAAGAAAATGCTTTTTGAAATTCGAAGTTCTTGTTGAAACCAATGGTACAGGTAATGGTACACTCAAAATAATGAAAATGGCTTTGTGAGAGGACGTCGACCTTTTGACATTTTTAGACTAGATTTTCTCCGTCCTTCATCATTTGAGACAGGTATATCTTGCTAGGTATATGACTATTAGTGTCTACTTTTTTGATGTCGAAAATAAGGGAAACCTGTGTAGTAATGATGGTTCCTGAAAGGCAGTGAAGGTGTGGAGGCGGAGGTTGTGAATATTACACAGTTTCGTCACACATTACATCATTACAGGTTTGTTTTCTGACCACATATGATTAATACCTGCTATGCTGGCCGTGAGAAAGTTAGCAGTCATCCCAGCGATCATCGCCCTGACCGCCATCTTGGAGAGCTCCCCTTTTCGGTTCGGCGCCATTGAGCCTAGTCCTCCTAACATTATACCAATAGCGCCAATATTAGCAAACCCACATAAAGCATATGTTGAGATTACTTCAGAACGCTCCTGCAGAGAAAAATGAAGTACATAGATTAGGAACTTAAATATACCAGTGTTGATTTGATTATATTCACACAGCCCTAGGTACAGTTCACTACGCGCACCATTACAGCCTTTTTGCTGCATTCGAAGGAATATACCGAGTGTCCAAAAAATAATTCCAATTGACTATTTGCTACATTACTGGATAAAAAGGTGGCATGACGTCTGTGATAGGGCTAACAATTAGCTAAAACAAGATTTTCTCTAAAACTAAACAGAGTCACCTGGTAAACGTTTAAAGATATTAGATAATTATAAAATTGTCTGTCAGATGACCAACGTTCAAGAATATTTCTTTATCACTCATGATAGAGTTGATTCATGTTTGTCTCGGTGTGGAAGAAATGATGGTCCCCCAGGGATTATGCTTCCCTTTCTTAATGGCCCTTACCGAACTCCCATGCAGTGTCTCGGTATAGACACTGCGGCGGGCAGATTATGGAATCCCCAAAATTTGGGGAAGATAGTCCCCCTTTTTTGTCACAGATGTACTTGATTTTCATACAACTTATAAAATATATGTTCTTTTATGTTCACCAATCATTATTTTGTCAAAATATTTCAAAATTATTGAAATATGAGAAGAAATCACCGCGGAAGGAATTCTGAGTAAAAGTTTTGTTGATAATAGTTTACCGCACGTGTTGTTTATTAGTTAATACGCGCAATTCAACCAATGAAATTGTCTAAATTTTACAATCACGCGACCTGAGCATGGGACTAGAACCAATCACGTCAGTTGTTTATTACGAAGTTACCATGCTTACGATGAGATACCTGCCCGCCGCAGTGTTATGTTGAAGACTATCACTGCACGGGAGTTCGGGCCCTTACTGGCCCTGATTGTGTAAAAGATAATCAGGGAAAGAGTTGTATTTAGGTCACCATATAAATCAATGGAGAGTAGGACCATCATTTGATTGGACCTCCTACCCTTTTACATCGGTATATTATTTTTGGTACACTCTATATATCCCTAATATGGCAGTTCTGTAGATGTCGAAATACCTCAATCACTCCACCAACCAACGTCGTGTTTGTATTCCCTAGAAATATATCTCCGTTGCTTCTTTGTTCTATTCCAGTCTCATTATATATCATTGTATAGTTCTGCAGGGCACGTCTATTATTGATAATCACACCAAGGTCGGTGTAGGCCACGAACTCGTTCAGGAAGGTTTTCACTCCGATTAACTGGGCAACAGTGCGACAGTCCTGCCAACGGACGCCCATTAGGAAAGCCGCTGGCCACAGAAGATACGACATGATGAACTAAAACAGGTTATAATTGATATTAAATTGAATACTATGAAAAATATTTGCAAAACACACACTGTGTCCTAACTCCACGCATGTATGACAACCCCTAAACCCCCATTGGAAATTTGACTTTGAACAAACCAATGTAGTACATCAAGTCATCTATTGGTTATGATAACATTCTTACAGTCAAAGTGCAAAAATAGGATCATAAATCATATCATAAATTTAGCCCGTTTACCTAGTTTCTCTGGTTCACTAAAACGGGTCAAGATTGATAAGAAAGATCTATAAAGTCTTGACGAATGCAAATTTTAAAAAGATTAAAACCTGAAATGTTAGAGCGGGGTAGTTTGGGGGCTCCAGCCCCACTCTTGCGCCGAACCACGTGAGAGTTGCATTAATGAAGGCCAGCATTGCAAGGAAAGCTATGAGATTGGCCCCGATGTTTGCCACCAGAGAAATGGCCGAAGAAGCTCCACTTGAGGCCGCCTCTATGATGTTTGTATGATCACTAAAACAAAAGTTTATTGTTATTTGTATATATCATTTTAAAGTAAAGTCAAGTTCACAACTAATTCTCGTTTCATTTCACCAAATAACGGACCAACAAAGAATATAATACCAAGGCATGCCAAATAAGTTTTGATTGGTGTATCATACTAAAATACATGCCTCAAGGTTACCTCTTCTCCATTACTTGTACATTCGTGGCTGTAGTCTTCGACTCTTCGGTCTCGGGATAGAACAATTTAGATGTGGCCAGAGCTGCTGGGGCGGCCATCACAGAGGCAGAGAGGAGGTGATTGGCAGGAACACCGAACAGAATAAACGAGGCAAGCACACTCCCTGCTATTGTTGCAAACCCTCCCGTCATTACAGCGTGTAGCTCGGACTTTGTCATGTCATTGATTAACGGCCGTATCAACAATGGGGCTTCGGTCTGAAAAATCAGTGAAAACAATATATCATAACCAATGTCAATTGCAACACACTGTGATCTTGATGTATATTTCTTCATTAAACAGGAATACATTAAATCATTGCAATTGTTTGTCCCAAGGGATAACCATATTTCACTTCAATGAATCCCCAGATGGCTGCTATTTGGTTTAAAATAAAACAACTTTGTTGTAGTTACCTCAAAGCAATGAAAATGGGGAAAGGGGACTTGTATGGGTGACGCATTCAAAGCAAATTAGACTCGCGCTTACCATACCAACAAATATGTTCCCAGCAGCATTGACAGACTCCGCGGCAGTGGTTCCCATGGTAGCTTGCATCACCCAGGCAACCTTACCTATGACCAGTTGCATAACGCCCAAATAGTACAACACAGAGATGAAACAACTGAAGAAGATGACAACTGGCAGGATCTGAAAAACAAAAACGTATTATTTATCTAATGGTTTCAATAATTCACTTGTTAGTTACTAGTATTCATCTTTGCGTTTGGAATTACGAATCGGCAAGAGTCAATCATTAGGTGGTTAAAGAAAACATATGGCAGAAACGGTGGCCGGAATATATGTGGTTGAGAATGTTTACCTTAAAAGCAAACCGATGGTCTTCAAATGAATCGCCAAACACAAATCTGGATCCGGCATCTGTGTGCGCCAGGAATTCAGATACACGACTGCCTAGCCATTTGAATGTCTCACAGCCAGCCGACGTTCTCAGGATAAGAAGGGCGAACACCATCTGTAGAGTCAGACCAAAGAATACCGGCCTCCATCTAACTCTCGCGGGATTGTGCGAGAATATGAACAGAAGAAGTATAAAGACCACCATACCGCTCAACGAAATTAGGTTAGTGGAATATTTTATAGCAATATCTGCTATGATATACGCAGTGAATCCACCAACTATGAGGAAGACCCCGACCCACTTTAGATATTTCCAATGTTTGACAAGGAAGCCAACAACAGGCTCGATGCATCCATTATAAATGTGGTCACCGAGATGAGTTTTGATCAATGAATATGCGACACAGAATACTGCAAAGCCTGTCATCGCAAGAAGTCGTACTGATCCTTCATCTCCGAATCGATGATACATGGCATATCCAAAGTATGCTGCGTAGCCAAGAAGTAGAATGGCTCCAATTACACGCCATATTAGTGTTCCATGGGTCTTGTAAAATGCATCAAGCGTCCCCTGTGCTCTTCCAATAGCTGCAATACAGCAGTTGGGATTTGGCTCATCTAGATTGTCATACGGTTCTTTACCAGCAGCATCATTCTTGGATGCTTCTATGTCGCCATTTTTAATGGCTCTATATCCGTTTCTTTCATCAGATGAGGTCTCATCTGTCCCACTATATGAATTCAAGTGATGGCCATTCGAACCCTGAAGAAAACATATGTTTGTAATTTACAAATACAACGCCAGGAATCCTATCTATTGCTAAATGCCCGACCGATTTGCTATTTACCTATGAACGTTAGGGACATATGCTTCCAAGTTTAAAATAACGTTTTAACGGTTTTTTAAAAGACATGTACGAGTATTCCTATGTAAACAGAGTGAAACCAACATTTTAGTTGCTTAGGAAGAGGAGAATGGGATCATTTAACGGTAATTACTTTTAAATAACTGTTTTCCTCGATAATTTAAGCATTATTGATTTTACAACATTGTACTCATCTATTTTGATATCTTAAGTCTGTAAACATGTGAGAAATTTGTTGCTGTTTTTTGACTATAATAAATATTTATTAAAAAAAGTTTTTTTTATGATAAGTTCTCAATGTAGTTCTTGGAACTGGGATTTGGTTAACAAATGAGGAGGTTTCATCTTAATCTAAGATATGATAAAAATAACTAGTTCTTAATCTAGTTCTTGATCTAGAATCTACTTACATTTTGATTAACAAACGAGGTTTCATCTGTTCCACTATATGAATTCAAGAGGTGGCCATTCGAACCCTGAAAAATATGAGTTTGTAATTTACGAATAAAACGCCATGCATCATATTTATCCCCGAGAGCCTTATTAAGTTAGACGAAGCATATGTTTACATGTTAATAGTAATGATTATTAGTAAACGAAGTACTTTGTGTCATTCTGGTATGCCAGAGCCCCTCTTATATTATCTGCCGTTTGCGAGAGACTTTGGAAGGATAAAGACAAAGGGGCGCGCGCGGCTATCGCGATGACTTAATGTGTAAACGTACCTTTGTTGGCGTGTCTTTTCCATCTGAGATTGTCGTAACATTGATATCCTCTTCGCTTTTTTCGAATCCTTTATTTTCATATACCTCGCTAGTAGGCCTTTCTTTCTTGTCGACGTAATAGTCATTATTGTCGGAACTCCCCCCGTTGTGCACACCTGAAGTTTTGGTATTCGGCATTGTTGACTCCCTCAGATTATCCGAGGACCTAGTATATTCAGACCAAATTATAAAAATATACAGATTACAAATTAACATTATGTGTGTTACAAACATTTTTATACTGTTATCGATGCCTATATTTCGGAAAGTCAAATGCTATGCATATCACAACGAATTCGTCAGACTCAATGATCAATGCAGAAAGTAAGTAGACTTCGCGGTAGCCCCAGACAGGGGGCAATGGACAACAACAATTCGCGGCAACAAGAGCGCTGAATTAGATTCTGTTGGAGGCATCGATAGCCAATAGTTAGGTCAAGTCACGGCACATGCAGTACGAGCCAACCCCGGGAGCAAACTGAACAATGCTGACCAAGAAGAGAAGAAATGAACACATCAAAAACCTCTGCACAATTCCACTGGATGAAGTCGCAAGAATCACTCAGGAGAAGAGCAAAAAACCTTAGGTTGACAAAAGAGTTTGCAAGGAATTCCATCATAAACTAAAATGATATCTTCCAAAAAGAAACTACAGGGATACACAACGGCAAACATAATATGGATAGCCCTTTAGCATTCAACATTTTGGAGATATTAGAAGGAAAACATTTCAGTTTTCACCCAATCGGGTCATCTTTTGTTGTTTTTAATTATCGTCGACAATGTATTTATATTCATTATGCACCTCATTAAAATACTCAAATCTGATTGGTTAAGAGCTGCAGGGTCTATTGCCATACGTGGCACCAATATCTCGTTCTATCCAGTATTGAAGCAACGCGATCTCGAACCATCCCGTATACCAGAATACCTATCCTCGAAAAAATACTAGGTTCGGGTCCTGTATTAGTAGATCCATTCTTTAAAATAAAGTATTTCTTGACAATTTAACACCATCTTTTTTATCTACAGGGTGTCCAATAAATAAGGTGAAAGATATTGTAACTTTCTTGATATTGCACCAATCTTGATGAAATTTTCAGAGTTTGTAGCCCAAACCTTTTTACCTTTATTCTGTGAATTTAAAGCGTCTTCTTTTTGATTGACCAGAGTTGTGGTTGCTATAGCAACCGAAACAACAAATTTATAAAAAGGCGGGGCAAGTTTGTTTACGTCACAACTTTCCAAAACATATTTATTCTTTCTGATAGCTTTATTCATACTCCCAGGTCTATTACTATCACAAATACAACAGATACAATATAAAAAACAGTTCTAAAGTCCCGTTGTTATGAAAATAAGCTATTCAACATAATGTCCATCTCTAGCTATACACTTCTTATGCCTATGACCCACTCTCTAAACACACTTTCAAACCCATTCTTGCCCATTTCCTGAAGTCCTGCTAAGACATGTGATCTGAGTTCATCCGTGCTTCCAAATTTATTTCCTCTCAAGTCACGCTTGAGGTCTGCATATAAGTAAAAGTCATTGGGTGCAAGGTCTGGGGAAAATGGAGGGTGTGCAAGTAGGGGTAGCCCCAGTGCCCTAATAGTTTCACTAGTGAGCATAGCTGTGTGTGAACTCAGATCACATGTCTCAACAAGATTTCAAATTCAGACTTCAAATTAATGGTATATGATATTAACCAAGGGAGGTGCATAATAAAATAAATACTGTCCTCGAAAAAAATACTTCGCCTCGCCTATTATTTTTTCCTCGGATAGGTATTCTGGCATATCCACTCATGGTCATCCAGATTTTGTTCAATATTCTATTGATCGATTGTGAGCTTGTAACTTATATTATCGTATAGTTCAAATGAAATTCAAATTCATTTCTTTGCTAAACTATTAATTTTGTGCATGCCCTATCTTTACTACTGCCTAGATAACCGGCCTTTCTTTACAAGTTTCATGTAAACATATATCTTATCTATCATATGACGCTATAATAGCATCGATTCAAACAATTATTAAACTTCTGTTGTAATATTTATATCAATTAAACTTGATATTCACACCTGCATCTAATAACAAATCTCTTGGAGGTCAATTATATGTCTCAGTCCTAAATAGACTAGCAGGAAGATAGGGATATCGATTCTTCTTAAATGGTTACCTAAAGTTTCCTTTAAAAACAACATGGCGCTTCCGAAAGAGTTTACTGGATCAGTCTATTTTCTAAAAATTAGGAGAGTTTGGTAAATTCCAGTTTACAATCTGTAGAATTTGAGAGGGGGAAGTATGTAAAGGATGCACGAGCCAAAATGAATCGCGGTATTTCTCCAAAATGTTTTGTTTCATTTGCATGACATTAACAAGACCATGCTTTGTACTCATTCTTGACCGATGTAATTGAAATACAAAACAATGGTTTGTGTTTGATATGGTTTTAATCGGAGTTTTAATTTTGAATATGTTTAAAAATATTAAAATATTATAAGTAAGTGGAAGATAGTAGTCACTTCAAACAACTACCCAAGATTAGAACTTGACCTCAGTTCCTATAAAGTTGATATTACCATTCCAATATATAATCAAAGAGATGCCAAAGCAAGACATGAAAATCTAAAATGGTGAATTCTAATAAAATGATTTTGATTTCCCACGTTTTAAATACATTAACTCCAATGCGGCCAATGGATTGATCTTGGGGCAATGGACCACTCTGTTTTTCGCGCAATATTTTGGAGCAAGACTCATGCATTACTCTTCCATTTTCATCAAGATGACTTTTTACAATCAAAGCAGGCGATGCCTTCAAGATTTGGTGACTCAAGCTTAGAATTTTATTAAACAGAAAATTGAAAAACTTTTAAATGCAGCTAAGTCCATATTTCCCCAAAAGCCATTTTGCAATTGAAATGTTTAATAAAATTAACATGAACCAGTCCAAATGTTTATAAAATTATTTTATCATGGCCGACGTAAAAAGTTGCGTATGAGGTTGCATGCAGTTTCTTACCTGTTTAAAAGTATCTCTTCCAGATTGAACTGTGCGTATTAGATTACAATCCTACAATATATTTAGATTCCATGATGTAATATATATCTTATTATACACAAAATAGTAACTTCATTATACGATCGACAATTGAAAATACATATACGAGTGATATACATGTACAGGTACTATTATCACTTGACTGAAGGCCGTTGTCTCTTTCAGAATACGTAAGGTCGATGTACCCCGATGTACTTATTTATTTAGAGTTATAATAAATGATTTATAGGAATCGGAGTTCAAACATTATATATCTCCTCAATAGAGGTGCGAACTTCAAAACAGAAAACATTGCCGATTACCTTCCAAATAATCACATATTCTTTCATCGGAAGCCAAAATCTTAGTTTATCCAAACAAATCCTTCACACAATATAGATAAATGACACCCAAAGGGATATTATGAATTTATGGTTTTCGTAGAAGCCAAATTACAAATGATAAGTGCACATAAATTGAAATCAATCGCAGGAATCGTGACACAATGAGACAATGGTTTATCAATAAATGCACTTCAGGAATCTAAATCAGTCATCATCCGACGCGAAGAACATGAATAGCTCAAATTAAAAAGATAACGGGCAGCATTTTAAATAATAAACCCCTACTGAATCAATGATTAAAATAGTATATAAAACTAGATATCCAAGAGTACTAGTGAGTTCATTTAGGTTCTCAGATGCATCGCAGGTGAAATATCATTATTAGTTTCTTCATATATTCTTTCAATTACAGGGTGGTCAAAAACGGAAACCGTGCATTTTCGTTATATCTTTGTCATTTTAAAAAATTACTCCCTTATATTTCACACATTTGTACAACATTAATTTTACTACCACCCTACCATATTTCATGACCATCAAACTGATAGTCACAATTTTACAGCACTTTGAACAACATGCTTCAGGTTTGACCATCATCGCTCTGTAGGCAAACCTGCACAGTTGTGAATGACCCAAATCTTGAATGACAAGGATGGTCTCACTATTGAAGATTGCAATCGTACTGACGTCATTCTCATCCACTTTATCTCTGCCATATCCACACAGGTAGGGACATTTTGGACGAAGAGTGCAGGTTTCCCGACAGTGCAATAATGGCCACTTGGGCATGTTCTTTAAAGTGCTGTAACATTGTGACTATCAATCTGATGGTCATAAAATAAAGTAGGCTGTAAGGAAATTGAATGATGTACAAATGTTAAGTATCGGGGGGTTATTTTTTAAAATGACAAAGATATGAGGAAAATGGTGTAAGGGTTTCCATTTTTTGACCACCATGTACAATAGATATAACATCGGGCATTATCACTTGAATCATATCACTATACGTGCAGTTTAACTACATATACACTCCCCTCCATAAGTTTGGCAACCTCAGCTCCCCCATTGAACTATACGTGCTAAAGCCTCTTTGATGATAAAGATGAATTTTTGAAAATCGTCATTCCCAAGTAATCCAGTGGGAAACGGAGGGTTCGGGGCAAATCAGTAATCAGGATATCTTTTCAGCAAAAATATTTTTGTATAGAAAATTGAATTGTCTAACCTTTTGTACACTAAGTGTTTAATTTTTTTGATGAATACTAAAGTTACAGCGCTTCAAAGTCCTTTTTATAAATAATTTTTCGTCTCCAGTGTTATTTCAATGGGAGGGTTTTTGAAAAACAATTTTGACTTTAAAGCCCTATAACTTTGTTGAACCTGGAGAAACATATCAATTTTTTGTTAAATAAAGTTAGAAAATTCAATTGCCTGCCTAACTCGTATTTTTGCAAGGACTCGGATTGATATTCTGTCATATGACTTGCGGCAAACCTACCATTTCCCATTGGTTAACATGGGAATGTCGATTTTCAAAAATTCATCAAATTTATCATCGATTTTCGACTTATTGTAATAGAGGAAAAAAATTGAGAAAATTTGGAGGTATTGGAAATAAAGTCAAATTACGTTTCCATCAATAGTACGTATTTTCAGGTAAAGAGGCTTAAACACGTAGTTCAATGGGGGAGCTAAGGTTGCCAAACTTATGGAGGGGAGTGCATATATCTGTTGTAATGTTATAATATACTGAACAAGAATAAGGTCAAAGGTACATTTGCTAAAGTGGCAGATTATGAACAATGACATCAATATAGTCTTTCACAAAGTCAACCTATGTGGATACTAACTCTATTAGGTCACGTTGGATCCCTATATAAGTTTCTATGATTATGGCTGCCTTATAAGTCGTTTTCATGTATACAGCCCAACATTTCGTGAACAACATTTTGTTTCTATGTCATATTAATCCACAGTTTGCCATTTGCAAAATCCATTCAAATTAAACAATGATCATGCTTTTTGTATATAAAGCTCAGTATGATTTAGATGTGACAATTTCTATCGATATCTCTGCTAGTAAACAAACATATTCAATTATTGCCAAAGTTATTTTAAAAAACATAAAGTGGCAATTTTAATTATGATAATGATCGTAACATTTCAAAACATACCTTTATTGGAAGCTATAGTAATCCGCTCTTTTATGATCACAAGAAGTCATAATATCTTATTTCAAACTACACCATCATATTTGTTGAATTGAAAAAGTAATGTACAGTAGATATGAAAGTCAAGTGCTCTCTACTTTGCCGTTTCAATGCAATCACTATACAAATGAAGCATTCAAAGTAGAGGTTTAGATGTTTGAACTATAATGAGAGAAATCCATATCGACATTGAAGTAAAAATAAAGTTAATACTTACCCCAAAATCAATTTCTATCTTTACTAATAAAGATGTACCTGAATGCGAATATATAGGCGGCACCCCCAGATATTTTCAGGATTCAGTTAAGTAGCTTATGAATAGTTGTGTAAACAATCCGGTATATGGAGGAACTGAAGACAGGAGAATTGACCCAGTTTAAATAGATCGCCATGAACACGCATTTGTTTCTATCCTTGGAAAATTCAACCGGAACCTTTTTACAAATGTGTGTTGCCCTCTCCTTATGGAGCCTGGGATTAATTAGTTATATGAATTGCAATTTCAAGTTGAATTATGTGATTAAAAAGCTCTCCTTTAAATAGCTCATTCAAATGAATGCAAATGGTAGTACTCTGTACGAAATATTGAGAGGGAATAGCAATTTAGCCTGATATGTGAAAAATTATGACATATGCCCCTCAATAAGCTGTCCCGGGGTTCCGAGGATTGAAGAAGAACGTTTTGATGCTCCTTAGAAGGCTTAGAATGGCTTTATGCAGTTACAGGGTTTTATTCTAAATTAAACCCCACTTAGATAACAACACATTGGAATGAATTGTATCGTATATTAAAGAATATCCAGATGTAGCAAAGAGGAGTGCATTATTTTTTAAAGAATGTACACTTGACAAGCTATCCAAAATCAGTAAGGCACAAAAGACGACTGACTGTCACATGCAGTGCACTAAAGTTGAACAAATTAAACCCTATCCACTCTTTCAATAGTTGCATAGTAAACAAAAAAGCAACAAAACTTTAAACTTTACATGCCCTGTTACATGCAGTGCACTGAAACTTAACTAAGTTCCATTAAGTTCTCAATACACTTACCTCATAGTCAATACAAAATAAATCGATTTTTTCCTAAAATTACACCATGGACCATTTGCCTTTCATGAGAGTCAGTGGTAGTTTAAGTTAGAAGAAACATTCGTTTGGGGTCTTAAGATTTTTGATATTATTCCTCCTAAAACCCAATACTCATACTTTATCCCTAACCTAACTGTAGACGAAGGTTATTCTAACATGTTCTTATTACGTGTAATGTCGACCACAGAGTACAATAGGTATTATGTTAATTTTTGGCACGGGCATATTTATTTCATCTTAAGCTGCAAATCTATGCAGATGCTCATCTCGAATGCATATGCATAATTGCATATGCATGGTTTCGTGATTAAAGTCAGTACTCGTGCTATAAAGCACCCATCATCTCCATTGAGTTGGGAGGCAAAGGTTTAAACGTCAGTTATCTCCTCAACACTCAGAATGTACAACCTGTCTTGTTGCACCTTAACATATAATTAATGATTCTTAGTGAAGTTTACAACAGGTTGCATGAGATAGTATGACATTGTATTTAATTTAGAGTACTTAGTTTTAGAAATATCTACTAAAACATAAAGTACTTCTAAACAGGTTCCCAGGGCGGTTTGTGATGAACTTTGATGATCTGCATCTCCCGTCAAAACAAATGTTCCTTGGTCGTTTATAAGTAGTAGAACAATAGGCCACGAAATCCCTTTTATCGCTGGTCTTGGTATATCTTATGTATTGATCAGCTTCTTTAATGGTGGTTTTAGAACAAGATATTAGTGGTGATTACAAGGAATACCATACCCATTGCCTGAACCTGTACATAGACAAGGACCAAATTAAAATACTTGATGAGAATATGAAGCATCCAGCAGATCACCTAGACATTGTGAAACCAGAACTAGGAGCTACAGTAATATACATCTTATTTGACTCATTGTTGACCTTTTCAAAACATGTTTGTACTTTATCATTACCTTTTCGGTATTACAGTTCTTGTTTATCAATTTGTTTTCCTTATCTTGCACGAATACTAGAATCTACAACTATTGATGTCAAGAGTATTGTTTATCTTTTTTAAATTCGTTTTTCAACGATAACGTGTATTTTAATGGTCTTCACAACATATGGAATGTCCCATAGTCGTGTTGAATCGTGATAACGGTTCCAGATCATCATCATAAACCATGACATCTCATTTCTTCTCAGCCCAGGTGAAACAGAAAGGTGCTATGAGTATCAGAATGGTTCCAGATGGGGAAAGGTATATTGAGACATCGTTTATGTACACGTTAGATCATGGTTTTGGGTATTTAGTGTATGTTTTCATTATGAGGACTGGTTGTACTAAATTTGTGCAATGATCATCATTACCATTGAAATATTGCGTCGCAAAATGATGTGTTTTTTTCGAATGAAATCTTTATTTATTTGATGACATACGGAGTTGCTCTTCTTTGAGATACACTTTAAGGACATTAACACACCTTTAAGATATTTACACTTTTAAACATTTATTTAAATCAGAATATTGATAAATATGTAATAACATATGATACACTTTATAAAGTAAGAACTTTTTAGTGGTACTTAAATCAAAAAAGATTCGAGTAGTTTGTTGCTAATGTTTTTTACACTAATTAATTAATTACTTGAAATGTTGTTAAAAATGTTTTCTTGAAAAAAAATTGTTTGCCCATCGTTTTAAATATTCCAAATTTCCGCCATTTTTACAATAAAAATTGATACATCGAAATCACTCTATATTTGTATAAAAAATACATTTTAAAATATCTTTTTTTATGATATGGTATAATACTGTATACTGAACTAGTTAACGATATATACAAAAATCATAATGCACTGTTTTATTAATCTATCCCAAATCAGGGTGGATGACATAATGTCTGGGGATATATCCCTGTGGTTGTGTATACATAGATGTTCTGTTGATTACTGGGTTTGTCTCCTTATATTGCGGGAGATGGTGCCAGGATTTCATCATGAATTTGTTGGATCGAGTCTCTGGAGTCAACAGCCTGACGTAATTCAGGGTTGTGTAGCCGTCTGGTTTTTGTTTCACCTGTGACTTGAATATGTGTTCACCTCCTTTGGTACCACTGGAAAAATAGGCCCATAATAACATACCAATATGAATAAATAACAATCTTTTGTATGTACGCATTTTAGACAGAATATATAGCAAAAAACAACTGAATTGGAGTGTTCAAATGGCATATTTTGAACTGGAAGTAAATACACGTAATTAGTAAAAGTAGAGCTTTTAGAAAACCAAGTAAACTTACGATTTGAGACTATGGAGGACTTGTCCCAGGCGTTCCTTCTGTTCCTCGCCTACGGCGCCCATGAGTTTCTTGCCTGCAGCAGTATGTCTAAGGAACCTGATTGCCTCAGCTTTCTCTGTAGGTACAAGCAAACCAGTTATCAAATTAGATGAATGTTAAATATGTCGGACAAGTAATGATATTTGAGACTAGAACTATATAATTAAATCCGATAAAATATTCCAAGTCAAGTAAGTTTACATTGGCCTTTAAACGAGGGTTAGAGGGTATAACTGTTTTCTTACCATCTTCAGTCGCTGTTTCCATCCACTTATCAACTGCAAGCTTAGTTTCTGGTTTAATAGATGTCACCCCAATCTTAGCAACACGAGTCCGTCTTTCGACTGGCTCGGGAGTCCTCCTCGTTTTCATCCATTTTTCTGGCCTTGGGATATCTGGGTCGTTTAGATGTAGACTAGAGACCTGAACAAGAGAAACGTTATCATCATATACCCCTACATTAAATAATATAGCCATATAAAAAGGAAAGGTACAATAAATATTTGTATTTGCAGCAATTACATGTCATATCAACTAGGAGAAAGGTAGCCTATAGCTATACGCACTGAATTTTTGATTCAGTGGAAAATTCATGTCAGCATTTCCACTCGAATTTCAGCACACGAGTGACACGAGTGATTAGAAGTACAATAAAGCTTTTAATAATATCCTTACGATCATACGCGTCCTAAATTTTCCAACTTGGATGGCCACTATCACCTGCGCTAGCCACAATGCGGTAACCCACATATGAAAACAGATCTTACCTCTTTATTGATGGTGTTCATTCCGATGCTTTCTTTGCTGAAGTTTCTCTTTGGTGGACCGTTACCAATAACTGCGTCGAACCTTTTTGGGGAGTCTGTTGATGGCATATTGTGCGTGACAGGAATCTCGGGAACTGTAAAAACAGATGATGTAATTGAGCCTGGCCATTGGAAAACCGGTCTTATCACAAAAATTAAAATTGTGCTACATAGCCAAAAATGTGCCCAAGATTAAGAGGAAAATGTGCTGAATTCAAATCCAACTTTTTGGTCTATATTTGCAAGGAAAAATTATTCAGACATAAGCCATGGCTCATTTGAAAGGTCTCTTTGTGCTTTTTAGATAAACAAAAATCAGAATATTGAAAAAATCTGTGATAAGACCCCTTTTCCTGTGGCCTGGCTCAATTAGAAGAACAAATCAAACACAGGACGGACAAACCAGGTTAACACATAAGAGGGAAGAGCTTGGAAAAAAGTAGAAATATTATAAATTGTCTTAGTATGATGATATCTAGGTATTCACACAGCAGCAATAAAGGAAGTATTACGGGCAATAGCCCAACGTTTTGTAGATCAAACTATTGAAAATGGAACAATAAAAATGAATGATAACAAAAGTTTAATGCTTTAAATAAAAATACACTTACACATAGTCTTTTCTCTTCTTATGGACGCTGGTTGAGAACATGACATCTGACTAGAAGCACGTTTCGTTGGATTGTTCTGAGGCACAGACTGTGGCCCAACGCCATCCTCAACAAGTCTCTGGGGTACCCGCCAGTTCATAAACATCTGAAACAAATCAAAGAAATTAAATCAGGTTATACTTGTATCATTTGATCTTTTGGTGGCTAGGTTAGCCTCGACTTGAAGATAATTTTTTTTACATCTTATCCCTCCTTCAGACCAGGTCTATCTGTTAGTTATATGAGTTTATGCAAAGAAATATCTTAACCGCTGTCGACATGACAGACCTGACAACTGGTCCAAAACACACTTTTGAAATGGCTAGAAACAACGTCCTCCATGTTAGTTATATTGATCATGTAATTATATCATACTCTCTGCGCAACACTGTCGCATCATGTTCTATTTCTGAGGATGAACCAGATAACACATCGGATCATCTTCCCATTCATACAGCATTAAATTTAAATACTCAAATCGAACGATGTCCTGATATTCAAGCTCCAAGAGGTTTTTCATGGGATAAACTTACAATTGATGAAATCAATGAGTCTTACACAAACTCTGTCTCAATAAAATGTAATGAGATTTTAATTGAATTGAATGCTATTCTTTCTAATCGGTCTTTAAATGAAGCAGAAATCGACCTCTTTATTAATAAACTAATTGACAGTTTATTGTTGTCGTCAAACAATCATATACCAAAGAAGAAATTCCTAAAATATGTGAAGCCTTTCTGGAACCCCACGTTAACGTCTTTGGCTAAAGACAAAAAGACAAAATGGCACACATGGGTATCTCAGGGAAGACCCCGCGATGTTACAGACCCGGTGCGAATCGAATATAAAGAATCCAAGAAAATATTTTCTAAAGCTTATCAAGCTGCACAATTAGAATACGAAAAGGATGAACTTGAAAAATTGTATAAATCTGAACATTCTGATCAACGTTTTTATTGGTATCTGGTTAACAAACACCGTAGATCATCAAAGAAATCTGTAAATCCAATACTCGCTGATGATGGTCATCTGATTACTGACGCAAATGAGATCAGAGAACAGTGGAAATATCATTTCGAAAAACTTGCAACCCCATTAGATAAACCTACGTTTAATAAGGATTTTAAAGTCGAAGTTGAAAATAAAGTTCAGAAGATTTTCAATAGTATATCAGTTGACAATACAGCTTTCACAATCACTACTGATATGGTCCTTAATGCAATAAAAGCTCTGAATTCTAAGCGTGCATGTGGTTATGATCAAATCAGCGCGGAACATTTGAAATTCGGAGGGGTTGACATGGTCCAAACAATTGCGATTATCTACAATATAATACTCCAGTCAGCATATATTCCAAATAACTTCTGTATTGGTACAATGATTCCTCTCGTAAAAAATGGTAAAGATCCACTCGTTAAGGACAACTCTAGGGGTATCACGCTGATGACAATGCTACGGAAATTGTTTGACAATATTATTTTAGTCCAAATAAAGGCACCTGTTCTAAAAGCTATTCCAAAATTACAAGGGGCAGCAGTCGAAAAATGCTCGTCCATTCATACATCACTTCTTGTACAAGAAACTATTTCTGAAAATGTAGAACAGGGTAAAATGGTTGTGGTTACAGTAACAGATATCCGTAAAGCCTTTGATTCCGTATGGATAGATGGTCTTCTCGTCAAACTTTATAACTGTGGAATTCAAGGTATAATATGGAAAATTTTATACATGTTGTACAAACGCTATTGTTGTTCAGTTTTGGTGGGTGGGAAATGTTCTGACTTGTTTCCAGTTTTACAAGGTGTACATCAAGGCGGTGTCTTGTCCATGCTCTTCTACCAACTCTACATGGCTGATATAATCGATTCCATGATTAAAGGTAACAAGGGAGCCAATGTAGGCTCCTTGAGCTGTGTAAGTCCATCATATGCTGATGATATGTGCATCTTATCCAACTCCTTCGAAAATATGCAATCACTACTAGATCAACTCTATGCGCACAGTAATCAATGGCGATATGAAGTCCATCCAGATAAATGTTTATTTCTTGTCTTTAATAGCAAAATTGAATTAGGTGCCACTCAGAAACTTAAGATCGGAGGCAAATCAATCGTAAAATCTGACTATGTAAAACATGTTGGAATTCCAATTTCAACAAATAACAATATCTCTGATTATGTACAAGATAAATGCAAGAAGGGCAAATTACAATATAATGCGCTTCTCGGTATTGGAAGTGGTTGTGGAGGCCTAGTCCCAACATCCGCATGTCAAATATACAAAACGTACTCCATTCCTACAATGACATACGGTGCTCAAATTATTAACTACCAACAGAAAGACATAGATGTTTTAGAGAAAACACAGAGAGAAATAGGGCGTAGAATCCAGTCTCTACCTCACTCAGCTAGTATCCCCGTTTCGACTTTACCCATCGGCCTCATGGATGTTGAATATTATATTGCCTTCCTAAGGATGATGTTTCTTTGGAGTTTATTGCAACTCCCTAGCGCAAACATATATAAATGTCTGTTCATCACAAGATTTGTAAAAATGTTGCATATTAATAGGGGAGGTTGTACTTTTTCGCCAATCGAGCGCATGCTACAAACATCACGAAAATACAACTTGAATAATCATATTTTAAATATGCTATACTGTAACACTATTATTCCCAAAAGTAGGTGGAAGAACATTGTGTTCACTCAAATAACAAAGGTTCAAATGCAAGCGACATTCTTTAAATCGATCATGTACAAGGGACTAGGCTATTTTAGAATGGGTAATTTCGAGGTACTGAGGCCAGTTATATGGTGGAATGTTGCAAGACGTTTTCCTGTTGCTTTTAATGGGTGCAAAATAATGGTGAAACTACTTATGGATGAACATTCGCTTAACTCCAAATATAGGGGTAGCGAGAATAAAACACTGTCATGTTTATTGTGCGACACCTACGAAAAAGAAGATGTGGAGCATTTTTTACTTAAATGCCCTTCAAATGAATATGTCATATTCAGAGATCAACTTAATACTCATTGTTATGAATGGGATATCCAAATGAATGTTAAAAACCTCCTTGGCATTGGTACGGAAGAATGGCATTTTACAAACGAACAAACACTTGAGTGTCTAAAAGATATTGCACGTATAGTCATGCAACAATATACGTGCCGTCAGCGATATCTAACAAACGTATACACTTAATGTAACTTCACTCAGTGGAGGAGGGTGGCCCTCAAGGGAGGTACATGAGCCGACCAGGGGACTATCCTCTCTCCCTGAAATTTAGTTAATATCTAACTATTATGGATGAACAGTCCTAAGCTTGGGGAAGGTACAATAATAAGCAATGCTTTCTTGTTCTTTTTGTTGATTGGTAGTTGCAACGTCAACGCGGCAGCCTGACGTTTTTGCAACAAACGATTGTGTCTCTTAAGCAGCCTGTACATTTTTGGTTTTACTCGCATATTTGTATTTATATTTATGTACATTTACTTTACATACTAATTTAGAATTGCACCATATAGCAACACCACCAACCTCTAATTAACATAAATTGTATATTTATTTTACTAGCCTACAACATATTGAAAGCATCTATACTTTCATACAGTACTGCAGTACCGACCTTGGGGAAGGTACGATGATATATGCTATGTCTTCTTTTAATTTTATAGAAAATGCAGCTTCATAATGTCATTTTTTGACTAATCTCAAGAGTGTTAGGTAACAGGTCGATTAAGGCCTACGGCGTTCGTCTACGCGGTAGCTAGGCGTCGTCGTTGGTTCAAAATGAGCGTTTGTAAAATATAGTTACTTTTTTATAATTGCGTTACAATTAGGTGCTAGGCCAATCTTGGTCGGCGGCGTGCGTCTACGCGGTAGCTAGGCGTCGTCGTCAGTTAAAAAGCAACGACATTGTTTGTTTGTAAATAGTGATTATTTTCAATTGCAATTTAACATAATTTGTATACATGTATCTCCTTTATATAAAGGGCAATAAATATATACATACACACATCTGTACCCGAGCCTCGTTCTGAAGAGAGAATATTGCCTTTGTTTTTCCGTTTTCCTTGTTACAAAGTCACGCGTGAAAGTGAGAAACAAATATTTCGTTCTATTTCAGAAATCATAATTCGTATATAGCCTATTAGATCGAGACAAAAATACCATTAAACGATACATGTGCAGTAGATGCAAAATACACCTTTAAAAACTCAGGGATCAACTGCTAATAATTGAATATGTCAAATTGAAACGTGCCCCGGGAAACCTGCTCAGTGTCACGTTGAATTGCATCTTCAATAGAAGTATTCTTCAACACATACCTAAACCTTTCAAACAAAAATTAATACAATACTGAATACAATCGCGTATATTTATATGTCTCGTGCCATAATGTATTTCTCATGATGTTAGTATTTTGTTTTGAGAATAAATTGTTTAAAAAACAAGTTGAAAAAACTGGGATGTAGCAGTTATAGTAGTTTACGGTTGAGGACACAAAGAAGCTTCGCTGATGTGAATATTCGAGATGACACATTTGTGACACGTTAACTACTGTTTGTTAGTGCTCCTACCTGATGACTAGGACAATCATGTACAAACAAAAACAACCAGAAACAGACTGATGACTAGGACAATCATGCACAAACAAAAACAACCAGACACATTAAAGCATAACTCGATGATCAAACAACAAGGTGTCAACTTGACAATATTTTCCTACCAAGTTTGTAATTGTGAACGGTCACAAAATTGTAATATTCTTTTGTGAACAGAGACCAAATCCGTAACATCGGATTCCGACAAAAATAAGTACTCGTATAGCTACAACAATATAACCACTTCTATTTGCATATCGATATAAAACACAACGAAATGACACATTATACGTTATACTTATATTTTCTTATCAATTTAGACTGCTCATGATAAATGTCATATCATATACTTATAATTATCATGACAACAATTTGCTGGAGAAACATTTCAGTTGACAAAAACAGCGATCGAGTAGAACATTTAATTTAGATTCACCCAACAAAACGATTCAGAAAAAATGTGTACGCTAAATGTGATATTTTATTATGAAAAATGCAAATTATTACTAGTGATCGAGTAGATATTTCATGAATTCAAATTTATGTTTCAAAATTATTCAGTATTTATATTCTGAAGATATGGTATTAAATATACATATTGAAATCGAAAAGTCTATGTTTCATCATACCTTTAGTTATGAATGCTCGGGTGTCCAAAAACTGTCGAAAATTCAGAAAATTACAAACTTTCCAATGAGGGCATGAGAGCCGTGTTTTGTTCGCATGTAAATAACTCTTTCCCGAGTTGTTACCATGTTATAAACGGATTTATTTTACGATAATAATTCAAGGTCTATAAATCCACTTCACGAGCTATTGTTAATTTTTCGTGTTCTTTGAATACATGGCACGATTCCATCCTTGATCTCCAGGACAAATATAGGATTACTGTTCGATGTTTGAGCTATGGACGTACTTATTGTATCGACCTGCTGTTGATTAAGCGGTATGCCAATGATAGACTTATGGCCTAGTCACATAGCCCGGCCGATGAGGTTCCGATGAGCCAGCGATGCAATTTTCACCGAACTCGGCCGAACACCGGCCGGACACCGGCCGGACATCCGTGGCGTTTGTTGCTTAAAACCGCATCGGTGGCAGCTCGGTGAAATTTTAACTTCGGAGTTAAATTTCACCGGGCTCTCACCGAGCTCCCTCATCGCAGCCCCATCGTAACCACATCAGAACACACGTCGGCCGGTGCACGGCCGAGTATCGGTCGGTGTCCCGTGCATCTGAGACAACCAGAGGACGAGGTTTTTTTTAAACGGACACCGGCCGAGCTCCGACCGAGCTCCGGCCGATGTGGGACAGAGCCTTGGAAAGTATAGTACCTGAAGATGTCCGGACGGAGTCCGTTCACGTCACCGAGCTCTGCTTCCGATGAGGAGAGCTCGGTGGCACCAAAAAAATCCACCGAGCTCTACCGATGCCGGACATCGGCCGGGCTATGTGACTAGGCCATTATCGAAGGGCAAGTAATATTATCGATATGTAATAAAGTCTTCGCAAAAATATTTTTTCTGAGCGCTTTTTGAAATCATAATATAGGGTGGCCCAAAAAAAGTTACCCTCTATAGTTATTATAATTTTGAAATATTTTTCTCAAACATGATGCAGTCTTTTTTGTCAGATTTTCTTGTGTAGATACAGTGGTGTACACATTGCATCTATGATTTTAAGATTCACGGTAGTCGCGTTTTCCGTCAAGGTTTGCCAAAATGTTCAATAACACAATTTTCCACATCTAAAAACTTGGAGCAGCCGGGTATCGATCCCGGTACCTCTCACATGCTAAGCGAGCGCTCTACCACTTGAGCTACAGCCCCTCGACGAACTGAACGGTCTGAAACTACATTATGACCAGAAAACATTAAAATTTTAACTATCCTATTTTCCAATGAAATGATTCTAAATATTTTAAAGTCGAATAATTATTTAAAAATTGTGTATCTATGTTCAGAAGATAGAGCCAAAAAATTAAAAACAAGCCCTGTGTCCTGTTTGCAAATGCAAATTGCAAATGGATTCTTGCATTGAGACTCAAGATCAAATTGATTTCTGAGAAAATGAAGATTTCAACGAGGGCATTGACTTAACATGGGGGATACAATCGACTAAAAGCTGCGTGTGATTATGTATATCATGATTTGCATGATACAAAATCCTCATTATCTCAGAAAAACTCATGTTAAGACTCCAATATTTTCAATAGTAAGAATAGGGGTTCAGGACATTAAAGCTTAAACTAAGGCCTTTTAGCCAAAATTCTGGTTAGCCTTATATCACAGGCTGGTATCGAAACATTTGTCCGCGGTGACGGAGCATGTTATTTTTTCATAAAAACACTAAGAATACTTCACAATTTATTTTTTAACTCATGTGTTTCGTTGTATCAATGAAAATTACTTACTCCATGCAATGTATATCATTTGCGGGTAACCTTCACTTCTGTTTGAAGTCAAATAACTCTAGGGGTAAAAGCTATTGAAAACGATGCCGGAGTACCATTTCTTTTTTAACTGTTTAATGGCATGATGTAGTGACACGATAATATTTACATTTGTTTTCAGCATAACTCTGAATGTATTAATCAGATCTGGATGTATTGGGTCCTTTTAATTTATTTTATAAAGAATTATGTTCAAATATTTTGTCCGCTGTGACGGGGCAGTTTCATAGTTCATATCTGCAACTGCTCCGTCACAGCAGACAACAAATCAAACATTATTTTTTTATAAAAAAAAATTAAAAAGACCCAATACATCAATATTTCATTAAAAATAAATTGTGAAGTATTCTTAGTGTTTTTATAAAAAATAACATGCTCCGTGACAGCAGACAAATGTTTCGATACCTGCCTGTGTATATGTCTCTCACATAAAATCAAAATCGGGTAAAGGTATCATGATGACAGAGCCAGTTGAGATTGAAGAAAATCAAATGGCACACCCGAGAGCTCCATTCTAAATATAGATTTATTTTTTCAAGAGAAAAAACAACTAAATTGCCAAATGAAGAGGCGCAGTACATGGCAAAATATGTTAGGTCATCTAGTGTTTTTTTTGAACTGATACCCTTCTAAGATATGAGATCTATTAAAAAAGGCGCATCATCACCAACGTGCAAAAGTCAATGTTTTAGCTATAAATCGGGCAAGAATGGTCTACACGACCTGTAATAAATAGGTATAAGGGACGTTATTATCACAATACTCTCTAATAACATTGCTCACTTTTTAAAGTTAGTTTCCATGCGTTATGCAAAAAATAATCGAAATAAATTAATATTGGATGGAGGAGGGGGGGGGGGGGTGAATCGCCTAATCCCCCCTCCATCCAATTTGTACTATCACCGGGCGTGAATATAGTATATCAATTTTATGTTTACGTATCTTTCATTTCACCAAAAATGACAATATTACATAAAGTTATTAGCAAAGAATTCGAAGGGAGTAGACTATAGAATAGTTTTCAACCAAAACCATTTCAATAGCCATAATTTAAACCACAGCTTTACAGCAAGTGTATATCTGTCGAAACTGATTACTTCTCTCTCACCTTTTTGTTAGCGCCGTGGATTGTAACGTTAGGATTTGGACGCGATGCTGGAGGAGCCAGGGAGCTGGCCTGGAAATTCGTCTTTATGTTAGCACCCAGTAGCTCTGGGCGATCCTTAGTTATCATCATCACCTGAAATTACATGAGAAATACTTTTTCATATATGATATATCTATACAATTAAATATTCAAAATTATGTCATATTTTAAATCAACATATGTAAAAGTATATATGGAAATATGGTTTCGAAAATCGTTTATCAAATTTGAAATTTTTTTGAAAATGTGACTTCTAGTTCGGGGAGATTCCCCATAGACCCCATGTTGTAAAATCACAAAAAGTGAAATATCTTTTCTTGTATCGGATAGATAACATTTTCTTTTACTGGTCATATTCTAATTTGCATAACTATTAGATACATAAGAGCGATATGAAAATTTCTACCAAACCAGCCATACTATGATCCGAACGAGCCACCTGGTGGTGAAACTGGTAAACTACCTCCTCGCATCTGCGTGATTGTAGTTGTGTGTAATGTTTCATCATGTTATACACTAACATGGAGCAATTTCATATATAAGAGAGCGCACCTAGCAACACTCACAACCCGTTTAATTTTCTCTACCAAACTACTAGCAATCGAATCTAGATATGCAATTTTTAAGGAATTCAACACAAAAATTACAACAGTCTGAGTCTTTGCTTGAGTTTGAATACATTGGCAACTGTTTTTATGAATAAAAGATATCTCACCTTAGGACCATATGTTGCCTCATATATACTGTGGTATTTTTCAGCTTTGTCCTTCTCATTTTCCATGCAGGCCTGCACATCTGAAGCGGGTAGCACAGACGAGCTAAAGTCGTGCCATTTCTTCAGTGACCCCGCCACCCAGTTGCCCGTAGGGTACACGATATCTGTCGCCATCTGCAGTTTATACGGTGTCTTACGACGAACTGAAAATGAATATTATAAATGAGTTTGGAAAACAGTGGAATTTCTGCGCTCTCATACTTTTGCAGTCACATTTCCCACGGCAGCCGCACGGTGAATTTTAAATTTCTGTTGATAAATAATACTTTTTTCATTTTATTTACATCGGGACAATTTATAAATGTTATTCATAGTGCTAGGATGTAATATCATTGCCATGATTTGCACATACACAAAAGTACAGTAAAACATATGTTCAACGAACACCCATCAAACCACAGAAATGGATTCACTCTAGGTAGGTGTTCAATACAGAGAGGGTAATTTATACAGAAGCCAGCTGTGGAGTACGTGTTGGGAATGGTGTCCACTAGAGAAAGGTATTCACTAGAGAGAGTTCACTAAGACAGGTTTTACTTGTATATTTAAAGCTATTTTCTCTGCGTCTTGTAATTCAAAGAAAGCCGATTGGTTAGATTCAACATTTTCTAGCCCGAACTATTTTTGTATCTGATTCATACGATATTCCGATTTGATAGAAATGGGTTCACTCTAGGTATACGTAGGTGTTCAATACAGAGAGGGTAATTTATACGGAAGCCAGCTGTGGAGTACGTGTTGGGAATGGTGTCCACTAGAGAAAGGTATTCACCAGAGAGAGGTGTTCACTAAGACAGGTTTTACTGTATATTTAAAACTGTTTTCTCTGCGTCTTGTAATTCAAAGAAAGCCGATTGGTTAGATTCAAAATTTTCTAGCCCGAACTATTTTTTGTATCTGATTCATACGATATTCCGATTTGATTATTGTTACCGTCCAGCTAATTTGAAATCAGTTTTGAACAGTATTTGGATTAAATGACCATATAATATTATTCATGCCAACATTTTGTAAACTATTTATGCAACTAGCAGGTATAGCGAAGTAACACAAAAACTATATATTAATGGTTACCCTCAACAGACTTTCTAAAAGTAAATTAAAAAATCTTTCCAACCTATCCTGGGAAAAGTCGTTTTGTCTAGCATTTCGATTTTTATCGTATCGTTTTTCCCGATGGTTATTCCTTAGATTTAATTAATGAAAGGTAACTGTAATCTACTATATAAGTTGTAGTTATCCACTTGCGAGAACAACATCCTGTTGTAAATTCATAGTCTATACTCTTCAATTATTCCTCTCTAATCCTACAAAACATCCTCCAGCTAATCATCCTACTCTACGGCTCTCTACACAACATAAGACAATTCCCTTGGTGATGACCTGGTAGAAGTTACTCCCACCATCGTTTCTCCCTGCTGTTCCGATCAATGTTTTAGTTCAACATAGACGGGTAGCAAGGTAGCAACCGATCAAGACAAAAAGCATAATTGATCCCCTATTGTACTTATCAGGAATTAACCAAGAGTAATATTTATTTTACTTTCGATCCTTTTATCATGCTTAACTTGCCCAGATTGACTAATTAGCTGTAGACTGCATACTCCTGCGTCAAGGGTCAAAGTATGATCATTCTATAGAGACATACAGTACAGGGCATAGTCGATGATACTGTGATAGTCAGGAACGACATCTGACATCTGACACAAAACTAAGCTAAACTAATATAGATGGGGAGGGAGGGGGGGGGGTCAAGAGACAAGAACCAATACTACAGTTGAAGAATGTAGATCAACGGCCAAAATTACATCCAACGAGTTCTATACGCCTTCCGAAATCAATTTGTTTTAAGTCATTATTAATTCTTTACTACATTTATATCGATAGAGTAAGCCACAATATTTCAAGGAAAGACCAAATGAGTCGAACATTAAGGCATGTCTCATCAGGATTAATTGTCATTAACTTTATCTTTCACTCAATTATTAAAACGCAGGATAATATTTTGAAACATATTTTAATGGACAACGTCACAAAATACGTACTCAGTATACCATATCAAAATCATGATATTTATCCAAATATATATTAAAAAACTATTGCAATATAAAATAAATTAAATTGATTACTAGTGGGCTAGATATATTACATTTAAAATAATACTTACATACAGATCCATTACCTCTGTCAACCATGTTGATGGTTCGATCTTCCGATTTCCCCAAATAACCAACTTAGCAACATTTCATGGTATTTCAATGGCACTGGGTCAAAGTGAATAACAATATTCTCAACTTTATTGTGAATCGCTTCATCGATGTGTGAGACATTCTTGAATGTCTTGTTCAAATAAAAATGTATAGTGCTTCACTTACCTTTGTTGGAAGACGAGACTGTGAAACTCCACACGTACACAGGTGTTTGGATCCTCTCTTCAAACTACCACTTGTTATTAAACATTCTCCCGACACAATTTAACAAAATCGAAACCAATTCAAAATTTTATGAGATCAATACAAAAGGGTCAAAGGCTTTGAAAAGACTTAGATTATTACCTTCCGTGGTTTTCCTAAGTCTAAAAGAATTAAGAATTTTGTTTTGAATTCATGTAATTGTAAAGTGGATTTATATGAGTAATGTTTTGATGGTAGAGTCCTTAGCAACTGATAGTGTGTTTAACGGGATTAAGAAGTGGGGGTAAATTTGAAATCGAGTAATGTTGAAAACAATTTACTCGTTTCACCTATATTTAATGTTTTTGATTTATCAGATTCGTTGTTTTGATCTTTTTAATCAATGTTATTGTTTGTGTCATTAAGGGTAGGTGTATAGTGGTAGAGGGATGGGAGAGAGGTTGGGTTCATAAGGAGTTGTGGCGAGACTAAGATTTACTGGATCCAAAAACTCACAATTGATTAACTAAAAAGTTATAACCCTGTTTAATGACTTTTTTAAATGTTTATTTGGAATATGATGTGATGCAGCCGAAATGTTTGTATGTTCGTTTTTTAGTCATTGGAATATATAAATGTTGTGTCAGAATTGTATTTCAAGGTTGAATGTTGCAAACGTCATTAATATGAACTACAACTTGGAAGTGCCTTTAGATGAAAGAATCTCATAGGGGTAGGTACCAAAATCCTCGCATCATCCACATGGCATATTCATTCTAGTGACCTAAACCAATGATTTAAAGACTATTGCTGTCCATCTCTCAGGACTAGGGACATCATTGCCTCTCAGCTATGTTTCAATTACTTCTGCTTTAAGATATTTCCTTCTCTGTCTTAACAATTTAAATACTCCTTGATAAGTCCCCTTAGCAGAATGCTTACATATTACTATTTATCTTGAGAATGCAGTCAGCGGTATGGGATTTTTATTCATTTGTTTAGTGCCATCTATTAATTCTGACATTGATTAATATAGAAACAATTTTATACCGTTGAGCAAAAACTATTGATCAAATGTATCTATATCATTATAGAATGATGTATTTTGTACCATTTCTCAGTTTAAAAGCACAGCAAATAAGAAGATAAGATAAATGCCACGAATGGTATTAATGCAGAATGAAAATAAATTATTTTACAGTTATGGCTAATGAAAGGCCGATGACTTAATTAGAGCATTGTTCATGCTCAAGGGGATGATTCGACAGTACGAAGACACGCTCATATTTAATTAAAAACTAATCAAACCACCAAAAGGTAAAATAAATGCCTATGTCAACTGCTGAATTAAAAATGAATGAGAATAATTGTCATGTAGTACAGCTTAATTTTGCTCATGATATGGTTCTGTTTAGTACATCATGTGAATTTCTGTAGTATTGTTGATACCTAGACAATGTAGTATTGATCTGTATTGTCTCAAATTGTCTTCGTCTTACTTGGATAACCATAAAAATGTCTCTGATTTGATGGACGGAAAAGACAAGGGTTAATGAATAGAAACAATAAATCGTGTCCCTGGTTTATTATAGAATTGGAATTTTTCATTTCATAAACTTTGAACGATTATTGTACTCGAAGTTGCACTGCCTTGCAAATTATGAATTTATTTCAAAATCTAATGACGAAAGTTTTCTTTACCCATAAAACCTTACTGATACCACATGACATCGTTAAACCAATTATGTGAAGTTTGCAATTATGTTGTTAAAATTAATGAGAGGGATTTTCACCTTCTTTGGTAACAGATGGGTATGACTGTGGTGTATGCAGCAACAACATAATGTTGGTGAAACCTTGGATTATTCTGTATCGAATTCATGAAAGGACTATGAAACACAACACAATTGTCATATTTAAAGGATTGGAAAAAGAAATTGATATGTTATGATCGAGAATATTACTTTGTTCGCATGCTTTTCAATCAAGGTAAGCTACGAGTTCTGTTTGATATATTTTGCTCGCTGTTCCTTAATGCTGACAAACGTCTGATTATCTGATGATGAAGTATTTTCTACACCCGATGTTATTCATATATGCCCTTCAACCTGCAACTTTTTTACTGTTCCCTTTTTTAATGATAATCAAGTAAGCATATTATATAACGATTTTGGGACATGATTCATTAATACCGAAGAGGCGAGATATTATCACAAATATTGCGACTAAATTGCAAAATTACCGTAACGATCACGCATTATATGTCAAATGAGAAAAAGAATATCTTCTGTGAAACTTGACGGCCTGCGATAGTATAAACATTATTATTGATTAGCAACTGTTTCAGTCGATAAAATAAATTCATAGTTAGGCGTTCCCTATTCTAACTACCTGAATATTGATCAAACGTTCACTCATATCCCGTAATTCCGTTCAATATCATTATTGCAGAGCTTCGGAGTGCACAATCAGGAAGTGTATTGCAGAGGTATCATACTTCAATTAAATTAAAGGCTGGGATTAAAGGTAAGTTATGTTTGGTATAATCGTCAATATCGTGGTCTTTAGTGAGCAGTATATGTTGTGGATGTCCAATTTGGATCCAACAAAGTTATACGTAAGATATGCTTGTTTGTATATTTTTGTAATTTAAACGTGGTCAAATATGAACAGTGGGTGATGCAAACTTGTGAATGCAAAGAAATCATGTTTCATCCAAAGGTAAGATACAGTATGTGTGTTATTCTGCTCTGGAATGTGGTCATTATCATTAACATGGTCTGTTGCAAAGAAATGATATGTTGGTCTTGGTTTGGTTGTATTGGTATAAAGTTGGCATTAAATGCTGTCAGTGATGCAAAGAAAACATATGTGATTACAGGTAAGATATAATTAGACAACATATCATATTGATACACCATGTGCAGTTTCAGTTTACATGTTGGTACATGTAGTGTTCCTTTTCTGAGTCAAAAACCAATGTTTACGCACTACTCACATCAACGCTGGTATATATCCCAGTCTGAAAATCCCTGATGCTATGTGTGACTTTTAATTTGAATAAGGAAAGATACATGAAAGGGTATCGGAATGTAAGGCACAATCACATGCAATAAAATGTTAGGTATTTTTAAAATATTTATTCATCAGCTAGATGTTGATGATAGCTTTAGTTATTGGCTGCATCGTGATCATATGATTTGCCTTCAGCATTTTATCGTTTATATTTCATTTTGATAAATCATATATGGGAATCATAATTAGTGTAATAATATCAAGTTGTATTAAATTGGTTTGATCCAAATGCAGGCTGTTGTTTCCATTTTCAAGGTTATCATAATGCACGTATATTGTACTCTAGTAGTATGGTAAGAGAATACAGAATCACTTTCGATTTACAATATTAAATTAATTTAAAGGGTCTACAAAGACAAAAGACGAGATGGGATTAGGAATATTTTCTAAAATTTTTCACTTTTTTGAATTTTTGTGGTTTCAGTTCTGTATGACATACTTATTTTTTAATCCTCAAAAGTTCTTAAATAATTTTATGGTAATTATACGTAGTTATTTTACATTGTGTGTACACGTGTCTTTAAATCTAGGTTTATTATTGTCTCGATCGAAAAATGCCAGATCAATGTGATACTATTGTGTGTAAATCATTGTATTACATGACAATGTTATTGTATATTAGTACAATGCGGTTAGTATGAACTAGTAATTGATCACGATAATACGAATAATGTATAAATTATACTGACCTGGCTTATTCATTATTCATTAGTGATACATAATACAGAATAATACGTTGGCTTATGCCTGAAATATTGCTATATATTGATTTGCATTATCAAATTTACCTATAGTTCTCTGATTAAACCAACATTCAGAATTGTGTATACGTATCACTCATTTAACAAGACTACATAAAATGTAAAATTCATCTTTTTCAGAAACAAGAGGGACACTACCAGTGATTTCCGTCCATTGTTTGAAAACGAGGCAAACAAATGGGGAATGAGCCTCACGTAATGCTGTCATAGAAACGAAGAACACGATCATACTATTGTACAATCTCATTCCCAACATGGATGAGTGGATGTCAGGGTGGCAGAAACCAGGATGGGAACAGGACTATCAATATGCGATCAGTATAATAACAGTAGTGCTATGCTTCATTGGGATTTTTGGAAACATTGCATTGTTCTGTTTTGCCTTTTCTCTGAGGGTAAGGCTGTACAGCTTCAGCATTTACCTTGCGTTGTTAGCGGCTGCAAATATTCTCGTAGTGATCATGGAAGGACTGGATGACTTTCTGGAAGTGCTCATCCCATGGGATTGGCTCCTTTTCAGAGACAACGTCTGGGGCTGCAAATTTTATGAATTATTTTTCAAGTTTGGAAAGCTCGTTGCGTCTTGGTCGGTAGTCGCTATGTGCATAGATGACTACATTTACAATTGTCATGTTAGCAGGAGAGATGACTTGTGCTCCAAACGGAACTCAGAACCAGTTGTTTTTGTCATAATATTTGCGTCATTCCTTCTCAGTGTCCCATATTTGGTCATCCGTGACGTAGGCAATGGAACGCTCCCCGCTAGATGTCAGATAAAGCATCCGGATGGAAACGCCATCTTTGATGTAATAATTGTGGAGATGCTATTAATTTTCATCATTCCCGTGATCTTGTCAGGTCTGTTCACGATGAGGACAATGACGTATGTGAAGAATGCGGAAGACGTTGACAATAGCTCCCGCAAGTGGGATAAGCTCACTGCCTCTGTCCTGGCAATTTCCTTGTTATTCATGATCGCACTTACTCCATCTGGAATCCTTACAACAATTATAAGAATAATGGAACATGGTTTCAAAGAGACATATGCGACGTTCTATACCGAGTCGCCTATCATTCGGGCTATTCACTTAGCATTTCGCACATGGCGTCTGATATTTTACGCCCTTCCATGGGCTCCATATCTCTGCATCATGTATAGGGATGAGTGTTGTTGTAGAAAGAAATACAAGCCAAGCGAAGATAAATTTTACAGAAGTGAAGTTCGCCCCTATATAATATCTAACCCTCCGACGTTAAATCGTCAATTGGATCAGCCGGACGGGTTAGATTTCGGATCAAGAACGATGACAAACCCTCTCCATATTCCAAGAGCAACTGTCTCCAACACAAGCACTCTTCAGGCAACATACAACTCTATACAAACCCCAAACCATCCTTCCTCTCCACCTTCCTACAAACCCATACCTGCCAAACGTGAAACTACAGCAATTCAAACCAAAACCAAATCCAATAAAACCAAAAAGAAAGATGGCGTTCCAACCTTTCCAGCAGACGACCAATCTGACCCAGATCCTGACACTAATCCCTATTCCAATGATAATGGCTGGACTGAGACAAGTGATTTTGACTGGCAGTACAACACACGTCACTATAAGCTCGATACTAGAAATAAGTACCCCGATGTGTGGGTATTTTCAACCCAGCCTAGTCCTATAGCCCCAGGGGGTAAACCTGGAGGTATGGCCCCAAATGCCAAGCGAGAGAGAAATGGGATGTTTAGAAAACAATGGGTGAACCTGGAACAGTCTGAATTATCCAACGTTTAATAATTTTTTATGTTAAATATTTATCGAGGTATAATGCTGGTACAAGTATTCCACATATTTCAATATAACTTTTTCTATACGAACATTAGATTATTGATTTCCATTTTAAAATAGCATACGTATTTATAGCAGCATCGATCGCAATTTAATAAGGTCAATGTAATTCAGATATAGGCCTAAAACATACGTATCCTTTACGTGGACATTTACTTTTTGAATTCTAATGAACTTTAATTTCTTTAAATTCTTAATAACACTTGCATTTTTGACAATACATCTTAATTCATTCTTAGAGCATAAAAGTATTTCGACTGGAAGATATTGGCCTGCTTTTTGAAGATATTGCATCTAACACAATATCAGTTCTTTATTGCCACTTTTAATGAGTATGTTTTTGAGATGGGTTTCTCTGGGAAAGTGTCAGATGATGAACTCGATCAGTGAATGTAAGATGATATAACAATGAGGGAATTATTCTATCTGATCATTAACTATTATGACAATATGGATGTTTGTAAATTTATTCAATCATGCAAAATGGAAGTTTCTGCACGAAGCTTACAAACCCTGTATGTAATATTATTCATTATGTATAAACTTTTTAAATTAACTGAAGCAACAGAAACAGATCGCACGAGGGAAACACAAATACAAAAAACCACACCTGACAAGTCAACACGAAACACAATACAAATGTATATCATGCCTAAAACCAGAAGGAGAGGGAGGGCATTGGGCAATGCCCTATAAAATTGATTCCAGAATAATATTATAACTGGTGTGTTAATTTAGATTTTTTCAAGTGAATGTAATGACAACAAAAGTTTGCCAAACCTTGAGGTCAAATCATTAGCATGCATACCTCATTGTGAATATTTGCCTCAGTCTTGTGCATTGTCTCAAGAATACGTGGCAGCTGAGGTAAATTGGTTGCCTCAAGTTGAGGATTTTATGTGGCTGTGTATAAAACTGTTATTGACATATTGCTACTTGATAGACAGGATTCCATTTTACAGACGTATTTGTGAATTATATTTTCGGAATGTGGTCATTTAATTGTTATGATATCTAGACATTCTAAATATGACATGTCATCATTGTATTTTGTAAATATAAGTGAATGCTATATACCAAATATGATACAAATAATATACATTTTGAAGATTAGATTTCTCTCTGTGTGGTGATAAATCACTATAAGCAATATAAAAACAAAACAAACTGTACTAATAAAAATATAAATAAACTCAAAATTAAAATTAAAATGTGTATATATTGTGAATCACGAACCACATTAACTATCACATCGTCGGAATTCAGGTGAAATCAAACTAAAAAATCCTATAGCCCATGTTCTTGTTTTGTTGTGAAAATTTCAAGACCGGTTGAAAAGTCCTAATTTATATATTATGATATCGCATTATCCCACATCATAAAATAATGATTTAAAGTTGAAGTGACGTTAATATTTGAAGACCTCAATACGATCGAGACTCCTTTGATAATGCGGCTCTCACAAATTCATCTTGACAGTTAATGTATAATTTTGGACTTTACAAAAACTAATGATAAAGCATTTAAACTTCGATTCGTGAAAGCTTCTTTTAGATTATTGATACTTTAAATCGTCAGGAGGCACTTGACACAATTGATGAGAACCTTTATGACAAATATCTGAAACTTTATATGAAAAAGTGAAATCATCTGTCTGGATTCCTCAAACAGCAGTACATATATAGTCGAAAAGAGAAACTAGATAATAGAATATAGATAGTGTAATTTAGTTTTAAATTAGTATAGAGCATAAGTAATTCGTTTTAAAATATCTGATAATTTTACTATATAATCAAATACTGTAACAGGTGATATGTATCTAATTTAGAAGTGATCAATACATCTAAAAATGAATTTAAAAACACATAATGGACCTCATTTTCATGTAACTTTTTGCGGCTATAAATGATGGTGATTTCCGATGAATTACTAGCCTCAACAAAAGAGCTACCTTAATGGTTACACATTACACAAAATGTATTTTCCCGTACAAAATCTTAAGCAAGTTTTCACAAAAAGTCCTTGAAAATGCTTGCAGATATTTACTGACATCTATATTCACATTTATAATATTTATTGCAATATCACAGTCTATCAACCTTACTTCAATATTTACCTTGCCTGGTTTATTTATAACTCTTCACTTGTGTTACTTTTATGGCTAAAAATACATTATACTGATTATTTAGGCAAGTGTTGAAGGTAACAACTGATGAAAGTTGAGTGGCTGAATCATTACTGAATACAGTAAGCTTAGATACAGGAATTTATGTTCATATAGATAAAGAGGTAGATTCTCGGACTACTGTGGATTCGTCTACACTAGTAGTTGCATATCTCGATATCTGGTTTGGATAAACATTTCTTTAATCGTTATCTGCCACATTCCGGAATTAGAAATCCGACAGCACTGCGAGAGGAAATCAGGAAGATGACGTGCATGTTGTATATTCGATTCAGCCTCTAGCCGTATAGACCTAAGGGATAACAATTTTAATTGGACGAGGGGGAACTACTGACATAGACAACCTAGAGTCCTAAATGAGAGATGGGGTGGAAACATGTTGGTGGGACACCACATACGAATAACAGGTAAACAAAAGGAAGTTCAGTAGTGGTAGATTAATTACATGAATAGATAGTTTATAAGGTCATCGTAACTCTCTTTTTGGACTATATATTTCAAAATGTAAGTTCTATATCGTAGCTACATAAAATATTCATGATAGATCTCAAATTTTCAATGAACAATTTCGTCAACTCTGAATAAGTGTTAGATTTATCGAATTTTTGAGGTATGAAACGGACATGTCGACTCGTGGGCGACGTTAGTTACCGTTGCTTGTAAGAAAAAATCCTTATTTTAAATCAATACGTTTTATATATAAAATTATTGCTTTCTTTTTTGCAGATCCAGGCCTAGGATAATAACACATGATGTTTCAGAACCTTTCATCCAAGTAGAGCTCGTATCTATGGTGACACATTCAAATGGCATGGCAGCGTTGAACATCCGAGTGACTGCTTCACAAAATCCAGATATATTTTGCAAGGTAAAATAAATCAATGTGGGATGTCATATCAAACGTTTACTCACATTTTGTATTTTTTGCTTATTCATATCATTCATTTCTTAACTTACGGATGTGGATTGCAGGCCTGTAAGGTATCTATTTTTGTTTGAATAATAGTACTCGCCCTTTTATTAAGAATATAATTAGATCTATATAGGGAGTAACAAAATTGCAAGCAATGTGAACAGTTGACCTACAATATATTCCTTATCTCAAATATGTATATATCTCCAAAAAGATCCATGATATCTGTTGTAAAAGGAATAATGGCTATACTGTATTTTGATTTGTCAGAATCTGATTGTGTGCATGTAGAATTCTTCATTGGAGAACTGTACAAAAAGTTTCTTTTTAAGGATTCCGAAGGGAGTCGTCTTGGTGTTGTCCCAAGGGAGATGAGTGGAGTCCCGGGGAAGGTCACGTGGCTTTACGACATCTTCGCAAACAAAACAACTTCTGTGACGTTTACAGCATCAGTGCTTGGGAAAACAGCAACTAGTCAATTTAGCATCGAATGTTAAAATACGTTCTTAGAGGTGTATAATCTGATTCTAGATGCTTCCAAAGGGGTTAAATGCTTCAATAAAGTCACTGTATGTGAGGGAGATACATTCCTTGAAACAGCTGTTTTGTAAAGTACTCACCTCTCCAAAAGGCAATGCCAATATATAGCAATTGCACATTTAATTTTCCCGATTACACATTCAGGACAGAGAAACACATAATTTCAAGGTCATCCAAAGGAACAAAACATGTATAGCCTTTACGGTAGTATCACGTGGACACATACCTGTATATGCAGATGCAAAGGATACCCCAAAAAGTTTTTTGAAAGTGCAGTAAATTGTACATAAAAGATAACTGTTTGAGAGCGATCAAGAGTTTGAGATAAGTAAATCATCAAACGTGAAATATTTTCTTCCATTGCAACTTACTGTAAGGTTAAATACATTTTATTAAGGTCTACAAACAAGTAGAAACATAAAATATTAATTAACTGAGAATGAGGCGCCTTATCATTGATCTGGAATGTAATAGTTTGCTTTTTAATTTTCAAAATCTCATTGACGAGATATGTTTGTATTAAATGTTACAAAAATGTAATAAACTATTTTCGTTACACCGCCCAATTCTTTCGTGAATTTAAAACACAAAATAATTTTCAGCGGAATTAATTTTATGTAAAACATGTTATTGTATATGTCATTGTGATGCGCTGTAAGTATGATTTGTTTTTCAATTGAATTGGTTTAAAAACCTTAATTTACATTAAACTGACTAAACTTTTCCCCAGTCTTATTAAAGCTATACCATAACACTAAGCTTAAGTGTGAAAGCACATATTCCGACTTTCTGACACCATGTTAAGGAGTCTGAGTGAACAAACGTCCAGCATTTCAAAATAAATCTACAGAACAAAATGTGTTTGAAAAATCAGTACTTTATATCACAATTATTTATATTATTTATAATTTATTTTATGTAGTGTCTGTTTAAATAAAAGTTACATGATAATTTGTGCTTACAAGAAAGCCAATAATGAGCATGCTTATACCTGTATACACAACAGCGTATGAGCGCATTATTCTTACGCTTTTTCGATTCTAAAGAGGGTTCTTAGGCGATTATAGGTGAGACTAGTTTAATTAAAGCAGAATTTTTCAAATTGATCAACAAATAATATTTGAAATTGAATCAACATAAGATGATAGAGCATTAAATGTTGGCACCAGGAATACATTGTCCTTATTGGGATCTGAGGCAATCTGGTTCACTTCTTTTATGTCAATATTTTTCTCGATTCCAACCACCAAGAGCCGCGCATTGTTGTTTTTTACAGCATTGGCCGCTGGGACTGTTGCATCTTCAAGAACATTTGATTTACCATCAGTTATTAGAATTCCATATTTTTCGGCATTATTCCTACTACCGTCACCATAAAGTAGAGTTCTGAGCATGCGCAATGCGCTTGCAGTATGAGTAGCGCCACCTGTATATGGCAATGTTCCGACTGCGGATATCAAATCCATTTTATTGCGATATGTGTTCAGATCGAACCTCTGTCTGCTTTGATCTGAATAAGTAAGTAATGCCACTCTTACACCATTATCATTAGTGTCAAAATTATGAATAAGCTCTTGGATAAATGTAAGTATCTTCGTGAAGTTGTTAGCCCCTATACTTCCAGAAGAATCCAAGGCAATAACAATATCTGCATTTGATGAACTGCATCCTGGGAAATAAGAAAAGTAATATTACAATTGTTATATTCAATTGCCACATCAATCTGTTAGTAAATTAATTGTACTCCAAACGGATGTGACGCATTCAAAAACAATGAAATATCTTACTTTTATCACATCGCTTTCCAGAAAATCCAAATGGACAATCACATGAGAATGAGTTCACATAGTCATTACACTTCCCTCCATTTTGACAAGGTGAGCTAGAACACTCATCTCCATCTAAAACAAATATCAACTGGGTTTACAACTCGATTAACTAAATGATTGATCGAGGAATAATGTTTTGGATTTACGGACACTCTTAAAATGCTATTCGTACCCCTATACAAGGAACATAACATTTTTGCAAGCATCATTAGAAGATTTACATATTATGTCGTATACAGATTTTCATCATATTATTTACCGTGATTTAGTTTTTCAGCTAACCACCCGACCAAATTTGATGTTATTGCAAAACCAGGGATAAACAATACATTTTCATCATCCGGGTCACTCCCTATTCCATTCAGTTCTGCCATATTGATGTCATCCCCGATACCTATTGCATAAATGTGTATCCCAGCCTGCATTGCAAGTCTCGCTTCTGCCAATACACTTCCGGTATTGACTGTGGATCTCCCATCAGTTATCAAAACTCCAATATCTTGGACGCCCTGTCTGTCACCATTTTGCCCATTAAACACCTGTTCCCTCATTCTTCTGATGCCACCAGCTGTATTAGTAGCACCGTTTACAAACCCAATAAGACTCACTGCTTCGAGAATATCATTTCGATTGGTGTGCTCATCAAGGTGAAACTCAACTGTGGCGTTGTCAGCAAAATTAATAACACTGACTCTATATTTATTCATTCCAATATCCAGTTGATTTACCACCATTTTGATTGATTCGAGAATCCTCATATAACTATCAGTACCAATACTGCCACTGGCGTCAATAAGAATTGCAACATCTGCACTGTTTCGCCTGTTGGACACTGAAATAGATGCAGCTGTTGGAAACAATGGACTGAATAATTCAGTGCAAAGCTTGTGTATAAATTAAATTTCCTTAAAATGTTTTGGATTTCGACTACAATAATATGAAGTAGGAACATTCAATGGAGATATTGGATCTAGGCACAACAGAGCAGAGACACTGCACATTTTAAATCGTCATCTATAAAACCTACATTTTTGTTTTTCGCAATTAATGCCATAGTAGTTTGTACGGCATTCGCACATGTAGTCATGCAGTAAATCAACACATTTTGCTCCATTCCTACAGGGACTGTCCGAGCACTCATTCGTTGCATCTACAATACAAACACAAAATGCACAGACATTATATAGTACTATGTTGATGTTTATGCAATATTCAGAATACGTCTCGCAGGTCACAATATAATCATTATGTTTAACTATCTTATTCGAAATAAACTTTCATAATTGTAAAAAATCTCGAGGTCTCGATTCTCGAGTACGATAACTTATTTCTTGTTATATATACCTGTCATCATTCCCTCAATAATGACATCTTTGAGGTTGTATAAGACTGAGAAATCCTTTGCAATAATCTTATGTTGACCATTTGGGGATCCGATTCCTTGTATCTCATTCTCATCAATTTCGCTCCCGACTCCAATCGCAAACATTACAATATTATTAATGATTTTAGCCTTATTTGCTTCTGGAATCGTATTCCCTGCGTTCACAGTAGATTTTCCATCAGTAAGGACCATTGCAACGTTAGGGACATCAGACCGATCTCCTCTATTGTTTTGGAATACTATTTCCCGAGCCATCTTTATCGCAGCCTGGGTATTTGTAGCTCCGCCCCTATACGTCATCTTGGCGAGGACAGGGAGTATGTCGGAGATAGAATAGTACTCATCGAGGTAGAATTCAACCCTAGCATCATCGCTATACGTGACAACAGCAATTCTAGAATCATCAAATCCAATATCCATACTTTGTATAATATCCTGAACGAATTGCTTCATTTCATCAAAGTTGTTGTTGCCAACACTACCACTGGCGTCAATAATAAACACCAAATCCACTTTATCAGCTTTTGGGGTTGGGTCTGTAAGGAAATTAAACATCTATTCAGTCTTATGGCGATATACTAGTAGATTAAATTCTGAATGGAGAGTACTAGTCAACATGCGAAACAAAATTATCGTAGATAACAAATTTAATTCATAATGTTTACCTAATCCCGAAGATCCTATTCGTATGTCATCAATTGCAATGTCTCCCCTGAAACTGGCCCCACGCACCCCTTCAAACACAAGCTGATATGTCCCAGCAGGAAGGGTCACTGAACCAAGATTCCAAACATTTCCAATTTCACCTGTAATATAATCATCAAATTGTCTCTCAAACGAAACGATGGCCGTATTATCAAACAGTACTTTAATTGAATTCTTTTTAAATTGACGTGCGTATAACCGTCATCAATCATTTGGGTAATACGTATGGTGATACCAAAATCAGTGGATTTACATAAACGTTATCAAAAATGCAATTTAAATGTCGAGAAGTCAGATACCAGATCTTCCCCATAGTCGTGTAAGTATGTCGCCGTCTTTCCTATAGACATTCAGTTCATCAATGTCAGCCCCATACATATGGTAGTACCACTCCAACTTATCACCAGCTGACATGGTCAACAGAGGCGTCATTAGGTGTGCACGGTCCCCATCTTGGACTGGTGAGGAAGTTTCAATAAACATGTAATATCCTAAAATAAAATGGTAAAATATAAAATTCAATTCTTTGATGCCGTATTATTGCTGTACATCAAAGATGTACTGTACTTGCTTTGGCACAACCTCTCCTTAGTGCTCATTCGGGAAATCATTGCATAGAGCTGTATGAGTTGAAACCAACTCACCAATCAAGAAAACATACAGTGGGAAATGAGTAGAACTTCAACATCCAGATGCAAAACGCTGAGAGAAGTTGGACAAAACAGAACAAAACAACGTGATAATTCTCATGGACATTATCATAAAGAACAAGAAATTATGCAACATTCAAGTCGTCGGCCTTACCACCCTGATCACCGTTCCTGTCTGCAGAAGGCCCAGTCTGTCCCGTTGGCGTGTTTCCCTTTCCTCTGGTCCATTTGAAGTCTCTACCACCATCGATCATATCACACATATCATTCCTGAAGCTACAGCTGTATTCGCTACCAGGTTTAGGTTTCGCTGTAATTGTAATACTGGTTGAGGTGGTAGGTTTTGAAGATGTGGTTTTAGCGGTAGTTGTATCAAGTGAAGCCGTTGTTGAGCTTTCAGCACGTCCTGAAAATGGCCAATTGATCATTGTAGCATATTGTATCAAATGATTATGTATCTATTCAAATTTTATAGATAATCTTAACTTAAATTGTAGGCTGTCTTACCTCTTCTGACTGATAGCTCATCGATTGCGACATCGCCATAGAAACCGTTTCCCCGCACCCCTTCAAAGACTAAACGATACGTTCCCCTTGGTAGGTTAACCAAAGCCCTGTACCATCTATTCCCCTGGTCCCCTAAAATTTGAAAAATACATATGTTCCATGGGCGTGTGGTCTCCAGATTGTGACAAGGGTGGAGGAGAGCGTATTATACGCTATTTCATCTTTTTTTTATTTATTTTTATTAAAAATATTTATTCTCTAAAATTAAAATCAAATACATAATAACACTTGACACTTTTAGTAAGTGTATCAGCGTGAAAACATTTAAATATTAACCTGAGTCAAATGGAAATGAGAAAAAAGAACAATTTAAATATATTTACTCAGTTAAATGAGAATAAAATTTATAACAATATATAAAATCTACATATATGTTTGTCAGTAATTCAGTTCATCATAGGTTGATGTCATATGAATTTTAAAATTCTTTTTAAAACAGTTAATGGAAGGTAATGTTTTCAACGAATTTGGCAGATTATTCCAAAGCTGAGCACCTGAATATTTTATTGAGTTTTGACCTATAATTGTTCTAAATTTTTTCATGTGAAGACAATTTTGGAATCTTGTCTCATGTTCGTGAAATATCAAATTTGGAGTAAAATAATTTTCAAATATGTCAAAAGGAAAGCCATCGGGTTTTGTTGTGTATTGATAAAGAAATTTTGCAACTTCAAGCTTATGTATGTCAAAAATATCTAGAAAATTGAGTTGTTTAAAAAGAGGTGGGCTATGTGCTAAAAAGTCAGAATTTGTGATTATTCTCACTGCACGTTTTTGTAACAAAAGCAATTTATTCAAAAAGGTTTTACATGCATTACCCCATATGATGTTGCAATAGTTCAATTGTGATAATATAAGTGAATTATAAATGGTAATCATGGTTTTTGTATTCAATTTATATTTAATCTTTCCCAGAATACCAATAATTTTAGATATTTTATGTATAACCTTATTTATGTGCTCATTCCATTTTAATTTACAATCAATTGTTACTCCCAGAAAATTTGTATGCATTACTCTTTCAAGAATATTACCCCCTATTTTCATATTAAAATCTTGATTATCATCAATATTTAACTTTGATCTTGTAAATAGCATATAACTTGTCTTGTCTATATTCAAAGAAAGTTTATTTGATTTGAACCATTTTAATGTCTTTTCCATTTCTAGATTTACATTTCTATATAGATCATGAAGGTCTTTGTTTGAACATAAGATATTAGTATCATCTGCGAAAATAGTAAATTTAAGAATATTTGAAACCTTATGTAAATCATTTATATAGAGAATGAATAAGATGGGGCCTAAAACAGACCCTTGAGGTACACCACAAGTGATAATATTTTCTTCAGATAGAGTGTTGTTAAAAGAAGTAATGATTTTCCTTTCAGATAAATAGCTTTCAAACCATTTTTTTGCGACATTGCGAATTCCCAAATTTTCAAGTTTTTTTAGAAGAATTTCATGATTTACTGTATCGAAGGCTTTCGATAAATCTAAAAATATTCCAATAGCATGAGTTGAGCTTTTATCTAGAGATATCCTCACTTCTTCCAAGAAGGAGAGGATTGCCATATAAGTTGAATAATGTTTTCTAAAACCAAACTGATTTTTGAATAAAAGTTTGTATGTTTCAATAAATGTTATTAATCTATTTTTCATGATCTGCTCTAAGAGTTTAGAAAATACACTAAGAAGAGATATAGGTCTATAGTTAGAAAATTTTGAAGTATTTCCTTTTTTAAAAAGTGGGATAACTTTGGCTGTTTTCAACTTAGTGGGAAAAACCCCTGTATGGATAGACAAGTTTGCTTTATGAACAAATCGTAAAAGTAAGTTATTTCTTGCATGTTTAACTACTATTGGTTTGAATTCATCTAGGCCTGGTACGCAATCTTTTAAAACTGACATTAAATTTTCGATTTCATTCTTACTCACAGGAGTAAGTTCTAAAGAAGATTCATTGATTTCCATAAATGTAAAAGGGGACGTTTTTGAACTTATTTTTGATGCTAATTTAGGTCCAACATTAGAAAAAAATCTGTTAAAATGATTAGCAATATCTTTTCTATCAGTCAAAATATCATCTCTATCATAAAATTTATCTGGAAAAACTGAATCACATTTTTTGCGGTGAAGTAAGTCATTTATAACTGACCAAGTATTCTTGATATTATTGCTTGTTTCAGTAAATCTATCACAAAGTTTGGGATATTTGGTGTCTGCTTTCCTTATGGGTCGTTGTACTCATAAATATAACTTTCTTTCCTTTTGGTATTTGCACTTATGTACATACATATATTTTTTTTAATGCTCTAGACCTATTGACAAATTTTGGCCCGAAAATGATCAGAGAGCACAATTCTCGATTTTGCTCTTTCACAACAGTCAATTTAACTGAGATATTTGGAAGCCTACAAACCAACCTGTTTTATTCCACAATTCTTCAGCGTTGCCATCCTTTAATGTGTAAACTCTCAGAGCCCCAATATGTTTTCCCCACATGTAATAGTCCCAACTCAACACTTTGTCTTCTTCAACTCTGAATTCTGGAGTGACAAGATGTGCTCTGTCTCCTTCTTTTCTAGGGTCTGATGTTTCAATGTACATATAGTACCCTGGAATCAATAAAAACTTGATTTGATTTCGATGTGCTTTCTATGCTTCCAAGAATTGTTTTGATCTGTTCTTGGATAATCATGCTACTCTATAGTTCTATGATTTTTGCTTTGCAATATTTACCATTTGCATCCCCTGAACTATCTGCGCTTGGTCCAGTGTCTCCAGTCGGTGTGGAACCTTTATGTTTGGTCCACTTGAATTCAACAGGTCCATCAACTATGAAACACAAGGCGGGGTCTCTGAATGTACATGTATAGTCAGTGCTGATGACGGCGGTTGTAGATACAACAGGGGGATTGGTTGGTCTTGTAGTTGGTAAGCCTCTAGTGGTGGTCTTGATCGGAGATTGCGTAGTTATTTCTCGACCTAATAAATAAATGAGAGAATCATGTAGCCAACATATTGGTGAAGCTTATTCTAACCTATTTTGTCACCACCAAAAGTGGTGATATATTGTTATGGTCTCCGTTTCTTTGTGACGGTAATCGGCGGTTGGGGTTCTTCAAAACCATCTACACGTTCTCAGAAGTTCAAACCTGTCTTTAGACTTGAGATTTCACCTTCAATAACATTCTCAAGGTCAAAAAGGTCTTTTTTTAACTTGCTTCAAATTGATCTAATATTTTTCAAAATCATCTACAAGTTCTCAAAAGTTCAAATCTGACTATAGATTTGACCTTCGATAACCTTCTCAAGGTCAAAAAAATTTGACCTTTAATGACCTTTTCAAGGTAAAAAAAGTCTTTGTTCATTTTGCTTCAAATTTACCAACTTTTTTCCAAAATCATCTTCAAGTTCTTAGAAGTTAAAATCTGACATAAGAACTCTTAGTATTGTGAGCAACTAGGTAGTGTAGACATTATGTCATGTGAATGCCTTTGTTTTAAAAAATGAAATCGATTGGTATAATTTTCAAAATTCATATTTTTCTACTTTATTTGCGTTTGCATACACACTTGCTGCACCATGGTGACTGGTCGGAGGTAATGCTCTTTACTTTTAGTCTTACCTCTTTTGACAGACAGCTCATCAATTGCAATATCGCCATAGAAACCGTTTCCACGCACCCCTTCAAAGACCAAACGATACGTTCCTCTTGGTAGATTAACCGAAGCCCTATACCATCTGTTCCCCTGGTCTCCTATAAACAACAAATACGCCTTATGAAAAGCTTTGGCAACGATTGTTGGATAATGTGACCAAAACCAATTCCCGATTTAATATTAGTGATTAACTACATGTATGTTAGATGGGCCGAGAGGTTTTTGGTTTCAGATTATCGGTATCATCCTATTATTATCTATTCTGACACGAAAAAGTATAATGACTTCAGTACTGTATTTTATATTTAAAGCTAATTTATATGCACATAACTTTGTTGATATTCTCTCGCCAGATTGTGCTTGTGGCCACACAAATGAAACCACAATTCATGTGTTTTTCTCCTGTCCCATTCGACAGAATTATTTTATTACTTTTGAACAACAACTCTGTGATCTTAATATTGGGTACAGAAATGTATGTAAGAACAGGCAGGAAAAACTAAACGTTATTCTTTATGGCCACATTGATATTTTGAAGTTGAGTGCAGTGTTTATCGGGAACTGTATTGAGGGACCCCAGGCAGTCTAGTGGCCTATAATGATTATAATATCATTACTATCAGATCATTTGCAGACCTAGTTTTGTTAATCATCATCCTAAAAATGGCTTATAGTGTACCTTACAAAGCCACTAATGTATTTTTGTTTATTGTTATAATTTGAAATGAAGAAATACAATATAAAAAAGTACTGTATGTTTGAAGTGTCTCTTGGTCTTAGCTTTTAATAACTGTTCACGATCAATTGTTCTTTAATGCTTCGCAAAGGGCGTGTTAGACATGTGAAATTCAACGCACAAATATACCTGTTTTATTCCATAATTCTTGAGCAATGCCATCCTTTATTGTGTAAACTCTCAGAGTTCCAATATGTTTTCCCCACATGTGATAGTCCCAACTCAACACTTTGTCTTCTTCAACTCTGAATTCTGGAGTGACAAGATGCGCTCTGTCTCCTTCTTTTCTAGGGTCTGATGTTTCAATGTACATATAGTACCCTGTAATCAAAATGGATTTGAGCATTTAAACAATTATCCCAATCTTGTTTCAATCTATTGATGCGTTATCATGATATATTATAGCTTAGAAATATTTACCGTTTGGATCCCCTGAACTGTCCGCGCTTGGTCCAGTGTCTCCAGTTGGTGTTGAACCTTTATGTTTGGTCCACTTGAATTCCACAGGTCCATCATCTATGAAACACAAGGCGGGGTCTCTAAATGTACATGTATAGTCAGTGCTGATGACGGCGGTTGTAGATACAACAGGGGGATTGGTTGGTCTTGTAGTTGGTAAACTCATCATAGTGGTCTTGGTCGTGTATTGCGTAGTTAGTTTTCGACCTGATTAAAGAAAAAGAGTATACATTGCAGGCAATTAGTTTGGTGCACAATTCGCGAAGTGCAGCATCAAAAAATGAAAACAAATTATTAAAGAATAATTTGAAACTTTACAAAACCAAGAGAAACCCAACTACTATTGTACTTATGCTATGATATAATGCCAAGAGATCATGTTAAATGCAAGTTTGTATTTTCTAGAAAAAAGAAATAATGTGTTGTAATGTTTACCATCGGTGAGTTCAATATCATCTATGGCTACATCTCCTCTGAAAGATTTCCCCCTGACACCTTCGAATAGTAGCTGCAATCGTCCCTTTGGTAACACCACCCTGGCCTGATTCCATTGGTTGCCAACCTCACCTAAACATATTAGAAATGAGAGTCGACAACATTACACATCGTCGAAATATGTATTATTTCAATATCTTGTGTGTTGTAATAGCACGGGTTATTATAGATTATTATTGTTTGGAACGTTTTTTTTAATTTAATGTGATGTTTTCACGTGCCTCTTTTGAACCATACGAGCGATCGTTTCCCATCTTGTAAGGTGTAAACATTGAGCGCCCCTACGTCTTCCCCATACATGTGGTAGTAGAATTCAAGGACATTGTTATCATCCTTGATTTCAAGCACAGGAGTAACAAGGTTTGCTCGATCTCCTTCTTTCCGTGGCTCCGATGTCTCAATGTACATGTAATATCCTGAAATCGAGCTAAGTTATTATTACGCTGAACATGTTAACGTAGACAGTGGCGTGTTAATTACGATCTCGAAAGAAAAACAATTCGCTTTGGTTTGACGTGTGTCGCATTGATTGGTCATTGATATACCAATACGCCGGCCAAACACTTATGAGTTTTACCATCGGTTTGTCCATGTCTGTCAGAGGATGGTCCTGTTGACTCTGTTTGTGTATCACCTCTGTGTCTGGCCCAAGTGAACTCCACACCTTTGTCGTCACGCAGGTCACAGATGTCTCTCTCAAAGGTGCATTGGTATTCTTTCATAGAGGCAGCAGTTGTAGGCGAAAGTGTAGTTGTAGGCATTAAAGTTGTTGCTTTAGTTGGTTTTGTTGTTGTTATTTTGCTACCTTTAAACATAGCATTCAAATTATTCCATACTCCTGATCGATAGTTATGTGATTTACTGATACAAGGGTGTTAAAAAACGCAACCCAACGAAATCGCTATATCTTGGAAAATACTAATCCAATTATGTTCATATTTTCAGGAATGAAAGAAGAGACTGTGTATGTATAGCCCCTGTTGTTAGTTAGTTGTAAACCATGATGTCTTGGACACCTGCTCAAAAGTCAGTTGTACTTGCAAAATACGAAAATGGAAAATCACTATATGGTTATGTTAATTTTTTCTGGAAAAGAAAGAAAAGACTGTGTATGTATATCTCCTGTTGTCAGTAAGTTGTAAAAAATGATGCCTTGGACACCTGCTCAAATGACAAAATGAATTCTCAAATGAAAATATGAAAACACAGTCAGAGGTGACTGCCACAGCAATAAAACCAAATAACAAATTATCCTCATTCAATGTGTGGTGAATTTCTGGAATTTCATCAAAATCACTCCAGGGACTTTACAGTCATGGTCAAAATGCCTTCTTAAGTCTCCCCGAACCGAACCGAAATTTTTCGTATTTTCCTTGTACAACTGTATTTTGGGTAGGTGTCCAAGGCATCATGTTTTACAACTAACCATTTACAGGAGCTGTACATACACAGTCTCTTCTTTATTTCCTGAAAATATGAACATAATTGAACCACTATTTTTCAAGATATAGCAATTTCTTTGGGTTGCGTTTTTTGAACACCCTGTAAATTATGAATCAATGTATTTCATACATGACATTGTCATACTTTGTTCTTTATATACATTGTAGTTTGTAATTTATCTTACCGCCTATGACTCTCATCTCATCTATGGCAATGTCCCCCCTAGAACCACTTCCTACGATACCCTCAAAGACGATACTATATTGTCCAGCCGGTATAGGTACCCGCGCTTTCATCCAGAATTGTCCTTGTTGACCTTTATACAAAGAAAAGAGTGCGTAATATTTGCCTGTTTGCGATTATTTAGGTCTTCTAGAAAAGGGATATGAATTATATTTTCTGCTATCTCATCCGCACAGTATCATAAATTATGGGTTATTAAGAAAACAATGCTTGAAAATTGATTAATAATAATAGGATTTTATTAGTACTGATGCCCTGATACCCTGATGCCCTGAATGCCCTGAAACCCGAATATGCCTTACCCGATCGTGTCCATATTTTGTTGAGAACTCCATTGGGAGAGATTGTATATACACTTAAGGTTCCAATGTCTATGCCTTTCATGTGGTAATAGAATTCTAGTTGTCTGTTTGGTTTGACATCAAGTGGGCCGGACATTATACTTGCAATATCATCCTCCTTTTGGGGAGACGACGATTCAATGTAGTAGTAGTAACCTAACAAAGAGAAATTATGTTATTGTTTAAAAATTTAAACTGAAAAATTCAATAGCATAATAACGAAAAATAGCAATACTTGTTAAAGAAAAATTATTTGGAAAGGGATATTAAGTTATGCTTAATCCTTGTTGGTTTTACCAGAAGCACTCCCAGTTGCGTCATGATTTGGACCCGTATCAGATGAAGGGGTACTTCCTCGAAAACGAGTCCATCGAAAATCTCCTGTTCTATCAGTGAAACCACATGGGTTGTTATTGTCAAAAGAACAGTCAAAACTATCGGCTGGTAATGGTATTTCGGTTGTTTTGCTCCTTTCTGTGGTAGTTGGTTTCTGAGTAGTCTCTACCGTGGTTGATTTGGTCGTGGACTGGGGTTTCGTTGTTATGTCTAGACCTGAGGATCACAGTTATATGATGCAATACACTTGTTATAAAATATAATACCACATACTTTAGTGTAATATTAATGTTAAATGATTAAAAATTATATGTATAATATTCTTTTTATGCTCTTAAATTGTACACGCGTGGATATACAAGTATAGATTGGAAGTTATACGATTAGGTTTACAATCGTTATACCTCCAGTAATGTTTATGTCATCTAAAGCTATATCCCCTTTTATTCCACTTCCAACAACTCCTTCAAATATAACCTTGTAATCGCCAACAGGCAGATTAAGGCGGGCAAAGTTCCACCTACTACCTTGGTCTCCTAAAAATAAAATTTTCATTTAACAAATCAAATGTAAGAACTTTACTTTGGCCGAAAAAAGCTTTAAAACATACTCAGAGGGATTTGTTAGATTAATTTTTGGGAATATAAAGATATTGTTTATTGCAAAATTGTTGATTTAATGTTGTTAATTTTAAAAGGCCCCATTTTATTAAATTCTCACTGCACATTTGTTTTATCAATAATAAATTCAACAATATCGTGAGCAATAATGTCCATTCTATAAAATGACTTAAAAACACATACCAGCTTGTCTCCATATTTCTTCTGGAACAGAATTCTCTCGTTCTACATATACGACCAACGCTCCCATATCACTTCCATACATATGGTAGTAAAACTCGAGCTCTTGATCCTTTCCTATTCTTAAAGCTGGTGATATTAATCTTGCCCTATCACCTTGTTGTTGGGGGTCGGATGCTTCTGTGTACATATAGTGACCTTGAATCAAACGAAATATATTTATCATTCGTCAGAGATGAATTCTAATGTAAAAGGCCAATAGCTGTAATTCTCTTGCCAAGTAACTGAAACATATTGAACGTGCATCTTATACAATCAAAATACTTTCAGATCAACATTATTTCCTGAAAATGTCAAAACTTGAAAAGGTTATTTTCTTATAAGCAGTTCGACCTGTTCCAAATTGCAAGGTTCAATAACTACAGTAAATGGAGGGTTTGTGCTGCTGTTGTACTTGAATTAATGATCACTACTGTCTATATAATATTTGTAACAATATGTGTAATATACGTACCCTCTCTTCTTCCAGTTCTATCGGTGTCAGGGCCTGTGCCAACAGTTGACGTTGGCCCTTGGTTTCTTGTCCAGCTGAACTCAACTCGTTCATCCTGTGTTTCATAGCCACACATTCCTGCTTCAAAGTTACATCTCAGGTTTGCAATAGGAACTGGATCCTTTCCAGACGACTGCATGGTTGTGACAATACCATTTGGTGTGGTCTGCTGTGTTGTCGGTCTTGTTTGGGGTAAAGTTGGGCGTGTAGGTGGGGCGAATGTTGCTGTAAATTAATTGTCTTAAGTACATGTACATAACTAAATGATTTTCATCTTTAGTAAGTTGAAGACAATTAGTTCGATGTGGAACATTTTCGAGAGAAATACTATCTAATATATTTAATGAAGATACCAAACGAAAGCTCGATTTTAAAAAATCTATTTTGCACTGTACATGTAGCGATTTTGAAATTTACCCCTTGTATTCTCAAGCATAACTTACTTCGTGTAAGCGACATTAACATGACGTCATCAATGGCTATATCACCTGCTATACCATCGCCTCTCACACCTTCAAACAGAGCTCTGATTTTTCCCTTGGGTACTTTCAATGTAACCCTTTGCCAAATATCACTCTGGTCGCCTACAGTGAGTCAATTTATCATAAGCATAAGGTTTGAGTCAATGTAATGTCATGTAATATGCAATGTACAGGGTGGTAAAAAACGGAAACCCTTACACCATTTCCTCAACTCTTTGATATTTTACACACCTGCACACCATTTGATTCCTTAACAGTCTACTCTATTGAATGACCATCGGATTGATAGTCACAATGTTACAGGGATTTAAAGAACATGCTCCAGTGGCCACTATTGCGCTGTCGAGAAACCTGCACACATCGTCCAAAATGTCCCTGCCTGTGGGGACATGGCAGAGATAGAGTGTATGAGAATGACCTCAGGACATGATCATGTGATCATCCGTGGCATTAAGGCCATGTCTGCTTGGGAATGCATTCGGTTCATTGAGAACTATGCAGGTTTGTCAACAGCGCAATGATGGCCAAACCTCAAATATGTTTTTCAAAATATGCTGTAAAATTGTTCTGATGGTCATGAAATATGGTAGGGTGTAGGAAATCGACGAAAAAGACAAAGATATGAGGAAAATGCAGGGTTTCCATTTTTTGACCACCCTGTACTATCCTATATTCACATGCTGTAACAATCACTTACAACAAATATGTTGATGTTTTTAATGGGAAATTCTCAGTGCATTGATAGTTAGTTGGTTTGTGAACGATGATAGTGATCACCCTTAGCTTTCATACCTGTTCTACTCCAGACTTTTTCCAGATTACCATTCTCTCCAAGGTATACATTTAATGTTCCAATATGATCTCCCGCCATATGGTAGTAAAATATCAGTACCCTATCCGGGGCATCGTTTATTTCTGGAGTAATTAGTCTCGCTGTGTCTCCCTGTTGTCTGGGATCCGATGCCTCGGTGTACATATAATATCCTATGAGATTAATTAAAACTGATCACATAACCACACATTATGAAACATTACAAATGTCACAATAGACTGAATTACATCATTAGATTTTTTTGTTTTCCCTCGGGTCGCCCTATGTGCATTTCTTTCATTTTCTGATATGTATTACTTGCCATTCTTATTTCCGAATCGATCTGCATCTGGCCCAGTTCCACCAGTAGGTGTTGACCCTTTACCCCTGGTCCACACAAAATCAGCGTCGGGATCGTCAATCAAATTACATATACCAAATTGAAAACTACATATGATGGAATCAAATGAAGGCCCAATTGATGTTAGAATACCAGAGGGCTGTGTAGTAGGGGGGCCCGGATCAGCGCCACCTTGTGTGAATACTACTATATCATCAATGGCAATATCACCTCTGTAACCTTGACCCCTGACCGCTTCAAACGTTATTTCGTATTGACCAGCTGGCAAACTGACGAAGGCCCGTATCCAATTATCCCCTCGGTCACCACCTAGTAAAAGATGTACACATTGTTATTGATTGATCATGTTCAGCATCATTCAAAATATGACAAGATCAAGTATAGACATTTTTAGATGGAAATCGATGGGACAATAAGGTGGATATGTTTACCTGATCGGGACCATACACGACGTGTTTGAATACCATTTTCCCTTATATCCACACTAAGTGTTCCTATGTCTACCCCATTCATGTTGTAATAGAACTGTAGAGTATCACCCTCGAATATATCTAATAATGGAGTGCTTACTCGTGCCCTGTCTCCTGGACTCACAGGGTCTGAGGACTCAGCATATAGGTAATGACCTACAAATAGACTTCTACAAGTCGTTTTGGCTTTTTACTTATGATTAATTTGGACATAATGTTATCTTAAAATTCGTATGTATATCCTCATATCATCTTACCATTTGTAGGATCTTGTCTATCCCCACTTGGACCAGTTTCCCCTGTTGAAGTTCTTCCTTTCTGTCTCAGCCAAACATATTCTACATTTGTCTCAATCGACATATTACATATCCCATCATCAAAGTCACAGAAGAAGGATGGTAACGCATCGCCACCTAAGGGTTCAGTAGTGACAGCCGTGGTAATTGGTCTGTCTGTTGTGGTTCTTCTCAACGTCGTACTTATTGTTGGACGACTAGTTGTTGTTCTTCGAGTTGTTTGTTCAGTTCCCTCATCGTTCAACACATCTAAGAACAATACAATCAGTAAAATGTTAAACACCAAGACACAGACTAAAACATCCGCTGTAAAATTGCGACTGAGTTGATACAATAACTTTATGTGAAATGTAATCTCAAACTTTGATTTAGATTAATAATATCCAAACCCGCTATGATAACGATGTCATCAAGAGCAATGTCTCCTGTGTAGTTAGATCCACGCCTGCCTTCGAAAACCACAGAGTATGATACTCCTCTCATCGCAGGGAGAGCTAATCCGGCATTTAACCATTTATCACCATGGTTACCTTTAAAGATATTACAATATACCTTTTATTAACGTATTAATTCTTAGTACTGAATGTGCACAAGTCCAGGAAAAAGACAAAACACAATAAGAAAAAGAACGAGAAACACACCAAATGTAAACATCTCGAATTATTACATATTATTTACCTGATTTTGACCATATGGGCATTAGTCTCGATCCCATTTTCTGGTAAACAGTAAGTAGGTCAATGCTGGCCCCAAACATGTGATAATAGAAACTAAGGAGGTAGGAGTTGTCCCCAGACAATGGCCTGGATGTCAGTCTTGCTGAATGGCCTTGTTTCTGGGGATCTGACGTTTCGATAAACACGTAATGTCCTAGAATGAACTACATACATGAGTGTTTTGGTCATATCCGTGTGAACTCTTTAAAGTATAAGAAAAATTCAGCAATATACCAAGATTTATTTGTTCCTTTGATTAAGTTATACGTTTTTATCAGCTAATTTACCAATTTATTATCAGCAGTAACAACGATGATTCTGAATATTATTCCTAATTATACTAACCCATTTCTGTAGCCAAAGAATGATCAACTGAAGGACCAGTTCCACCAGTAGGAGTAGAGCCTTTATGTCGAGTCCATCTAAACTGCGCTGAATCATCATGTTGAAAATCACATATATCCAGCTCGAAATCACATGCAGCAAAAGCATCATCTGGAAACGAGTGGACAATATGTATATGGGTATGCAATCACTTGCGATTCATTATATGTCACGGTATGAATATGGACATTTTTTCTATGTTTAATTTTGAAATGTATTTATGATCTTCACGACAAGAACTTTTGTTTTGTACCGATCAAATTCAATCAAAACCAGTTAAACACCAACCATATCTGTTAATAGATATCATCGATAGCTATGTCCCCAGCATATCCTCCTGCCTTATTTGCTTCAAATATAAGCTGGTAACTCCCACTTGGTATCATTGTATGCGCTTGTAGCCATCGAGAGCCTCGTGGTTCGAGGGGATCTTGCTCACCTACGGATAAAAATGGTCTTACTAAGATTAATTGTGTTCTCCATCGACTGTAGTAATTGGTAAACTGATCATTTGGGTGTTTTATAGAAGATGTATCATGTCAAAAGTTCGAGGTTATTTTTAGAAATTGGAACCACACATCACACCTGAGAAAAAACTAAACTGCTAATTAATATTAATTTACCAGTCCTAGACCATAACAACTGTGGCTCCTGTCCAGGTGCTCGTATGTACACATTAAGTGTACCAACATCTCTACCATACATATGGTAGTAGAACGTAAGTAGTCTGGGTCCTCCAACAGCTAACACTTCACTGATAATTCTCGCCTTGTCACCATTTTTTACAGGATCAGACACCTCAATGTACAAATAGTGACCTAGAATATATCATTCTGAGATATTAGGTTCGTATTACCATGTTTTAGAATTTTTGAAAATGAAAGGTGTACGATTACATGTACTGCATCGTATTTACACACAAACAGTTACAACGCTTTATCTAATGCCATCGCTTATCGTCTGGTCTTTTTGAATAAGAAAAGCACCGAACATTTGGAGATTACCAATGGCGAACCTGTCAGCGAATTCAAAGTGTGATCAGCAGGGGGCCCTGTGAACGTAGTCTTTGTTTCCCCAGCATGTAATGTCCATCTGAACTCGGCTGATGGGTCATCTTGGAATCCACAAATTCCCTTTTCGAATGTGCATCTAAATATTGTCTTGTTATTGGTAGCGTCATTTCCTCCAGAAGGAACGTCATTAGCGGGTGGAGTGTCTGGTAGTTCCGGTAAAATGAAATTTGCAGGATCGCATTGGTTGTTCACACAAACGTCACTACTTCCTTAAGAAAAGAATATATATTCATTTTCCTCATCAGATATATATCTAGTAATGAACTCAATTGAGCTTTGATTTTAATTGACAAACGAGGGAAATAGATGATTGTAATATTTTTGTTTTCGCCTACCACCGGGAACAATGAATACGTCATCAAATGCAATGTCGCCCCTAAAGCTGCCCCCAACAACTCCTTCAAACACAAGTGTGAACGTCCCAGACGGCAGGGTAAATTGAGCCAAGTGCCATTGGTTTCCCTGGTTATCTAAATTTTATGAAGACAGTAACATGAAGAGAATGTACCAAGTCATTTTAAACAAACTATTATGAAGAACAGAAAGCCCAAAGAGGACAAATGTGATTTTATTGATAGCAAATTATTAGTAGAATAGATGTACTCAGAGCAGTATTGAAACAGATCTAAACATACATGTACAGTCAATCTTGTCCATCTGCGCATGCCCAATATTTAGCATAACTAATGAATGTTTTGACTCACATAATTTTTTCCAGACTGGCTTCATATTCGAATCAGTTTTGGCATAAACACATAACTTATACACATCGCTTCCATACATGTGATAGTAAAATTGCACAAGGAGATTGCTGTCCGAGTGTTGCACAGGAACCACTACACGAGACAGCCTAGCTGTGTCATTTGCATCCTGATCAGTAGCTTCAATGTACATGTAGTGTCCTATAAGAATTAAAAACAATATGACTTCAGGACTATGAGGCTACATAAAACCCCCATTGGGCAGAATGTTGTGCATGAATTGCATGAAAATAATTAGTTTTTACATTAATATATATATGATTAAGGTGACAAGATGATGGAAAATGTCTTGCCATCTTCAGTTCCAAGTGTATGATCATTTGTTGGTCCTGTATCTCCACTGGGTGTTGCCCCGCTGATACGTGTCCAAGTGAAGTCCCCTGTCTTGTCATTTGAAAATCCACATACTCCATTTGTGAAACCACATGACAACAAGAAATCATCTGTAACATGGAAAAACATCGAAATGATCAACAGTTTGATTAAGATCATGCAAATACAGATCAAATGTAAATCATAAGATCAGGACTTCAAGTTTCAAAAATACTTCCGCGGTACCTTGAGGCAGAATCAGAATATCGTCAACAGCAATGTCCCCACGTGCACCAGGTCCAACAACCCCCTCGAAAACAACAGTGTATGCTCCGGGTGGTAAGACAATATCAGTTTTAAGCCACACATTTCCCTTGTTTTCTGAAACACAAATGCTTTTTTATTTATATTGTATTTAAGTCAGTGGCTCGGTCAACTTGACATTATGAGCCATTTTTATAGAAATATAGGAGTTGACGTTTATTGGTGTTACATATAGTTGAAAGTATACAGCCAAGTGAGGCTCGCACGACTAGTAGCATGTTGGTGGTGCTCCAAGGAATGACTTACCGGTTAAAAAATGCTATGTCTAGATATTCAGCAAATGATTTGATGATACATGAATTTTCATTTTTATTACATAGATGATGACCAAAAAGTGAACACAAAAAAAACACAAATGTCATATCATATTTGTCAAATTTAGTGTTGGTGTACACAGCTGTGTTTCATTATACGTTTGGGTAATAAATGAATAATTAGGGTTTATAATAAACATAAATAAATTATTATCAAATTATTACTCACCTGACCTGCTCCATAGCAAAGTTTTCCCACTATCCGATACCTTATAGACATTCAATGCTCCAGTCTGGTCTCCATACATATGGTATGCAAACTGTAGTCGTCGATGTTGGTCACCTGCTAGTGGATGTAGCGTCAATCTAGCTTTGTCTCCGGCTACCCTTGGATTTGATGCATCAATGTGAATGTAGTAGCCTATAAAGAAGGATTTTGGGAATTTTAGGATTTTGATATTATGTCTACTGTTGTCGAACCTAAATCACTATCCTTAGTGTACATCACTAGGCAAAATCAAATACATACGTATACATTATTTTCGTTTAAGGTTTGTGTGAGGCAGCATGCAACAAACTAACTGGTTACATACCAGACGGCGTGCCGATCGTATGATCAGTAGATGGTCCAGTTGAATCAGTTACTGTTTGTCCATGACTTCGTTGCCAATTGAAGTCATCATCTGTATCTTGTGTGTTGCCACACATACCATTTTCAAAGTTGCAGGCACTGATAGTCTTAACTATAAATAACAAAATGAAACCCAATTCAATGCTGACCCGTGTTCATAAAATTGTATTAATGAAATGGGAGAGAGTTGACAAAACAAGTTTATATTAATATATGTGATTGGGGCGTATGTTCTAAAGGAGCGAAATGATTATCACTGTTAGATTAGTTAATGTGATGGATTTGTAATTGAATCAGAATTACCTTTAGGGGATATGACAACATCATCAATGGCTATATCGCCCTCAAAACCAACTCCTCTGATACCTTCAAATACAACCTTGTAGTTTCCACCGGGAAGGTCCAATTTAACTTCTTGCCATTTATCCCCCTGGTCACCTACAACATTATACAATAACAAAAACTAATTTTCGAAACATTTTGAACAGAGGAAGGAATAAAAATTTACCATATTTTGGATTTGGATGTTAGGGGGTTATTCAAACTTGACTTGCGATAGCTGTGTCACGTGGTGTCAAGGATAAGTGCTCGGTAGATGTCATGTTCATGTATTATAGTAAAGGGTTGCTTTTTAGTCCGTTTTTTATCCTCTGTATTGACATACGATATTGAAGCAGTTAGGCTAAGTATGCAAATGCGTTTTAATAAATACAGTAGTATAGTATATAGTATAGTATATAATAGTTTATCCCACGATTAATGTGTTATCTGTACAATAACAGCTATTGATATTTCTGATATTATCGAAATCCGTGTGATATTTTCCAGAAAATCGTTTATCAAACTCATATGCGTGTGATATCGTTTATCTCACGCATATCCGTGTGTATAATTTGCTTAGAAGGCTGCTAACTAACGATTAAAAAAGGTATTTATGACGAACTATATCATGTACAGAAAGTAGTGCATATTACTGCGCAGTAAGTAAAGTGCAAATCAAAATGGCCGGTGCGAATTCGTCTGACGAAGAATTAAAAATTAAAATAAAAAAACATCACAAGGTGATTGTAATCATGGGATAAACCCAATATCACATAATTTCTCGTGATATCATTTTATCGCCTCGTAGATATCAAATATCAACACTCATTCGCTTCGCTCACTCGTGTTGATATTTGATATCAACTCGGCGATAAAAATGATATCACTCAAAATGATGTGATATTCTGTATATATTATAAAAACTGGTTCAATCATACTTTAATAGCTAGACTGACTCATACCAGTAATGCTCCAGACCTTCCTCTCTGTCCCTGCAAGGTCTATGATATAAACGTTGAGCGTGCCAATATCTTTGCCATACATATGGTAGAAAAAGTGTAGATCACGTGGAACTGTGGCGTGAATAATGGGAGACAGTAGACGGGCAATGTTACCCGTTTCACGGGGTGGAGATGACTCTACGTACATGTAATAGCCTAGAAATAATTTACACATTGACAGGAAATGAACAATTCATTTGGTATCCTGTAAGGCTTTGCAATCGGTTTTTCATCCTTCTATATTTATACCTGTTTAATAAACTAGTATGTAATATCTAAGATTTTTTGTCCTCGTGGATACTTAATCTTACCAATAGCATTCCCTTTAGTATGGTCCGTGCTTGGACCAGTATTATCTGTATCAGTATTTCCATTGTGACGTAACCAGGTGAACTCTCCTCGAGAATCGTCAGTGAACCCACACATACCAGGCTCAAAATCACAGCTTATCACAATATCATCTAAATACACACATATTAGTTATTTCGGAATTACCGACAACTTTATGATGTACTCACAAATTCTCACTCGGTCACACTAACCAACCCCTTCGGACTAGGCTAGTAAAAATACATCAACCCGTAAAGTAATTTAAGAGACGTTGTCAAGAGATCTTTACAACTGACCCCTTGTCAATTCCCTTGTAAAGTACTTATTAGTAGTATTTATAGCAGTTAAACGATGTGGGATCTGTAGCTGATATATGAAAGAATAGCGTGTAACACTACAATCTGCTTCACAGGAAATGGTCTTCTATCAAGGCAACATACTGGATTTATATAGGCCTACATATTTTTAAAAAATGAAGGCGAAGTAAAAAAAAAAATGTCGTGACAGCGATAGGGGAATGTATTGAAGGCGATGCCCTTATGACTAGAATTTCCAATTAGGTAAGAATTATGCTAAGAGCAAGACACTATCAGACTATCCGTCTTGAATTCATTAAACTAATAATATCTAAACTAAATTAAATATAAAAAATGAAATACCATTTTTCAGTCTGACAAATGATAGGTATACAAACACATTTCATTGATTTATTGTAGCCTAGCGTATTGAATGCTTTGATATTCCGTTAGAAATACATAATTATATAGCCCATAGACATAATTACTCCAACCTACTCACTTTTTGTCAACATATTACAATAATAGTTCTCAACATCATATCAAGTCAATGATATTTGACATTTTTGGAAACGTTTGATTCCAAGAAGAAAATTTCAAGGAGGTGATTTTCGTGTCAAAAAGATGTTGTTCCTTTTTACACTAAGTCGTGATAAGTCTCTACTAGGAGTAAACTAACTCTCATCAAAAAATTATTTTGGAGTTTATTTTGATCGAACAATCCTTCGTTGTGGTATATACAGAGGGTGAAAGATATTTCATTCATTGAATTAGTTTCGAATCAAATCTTAATGATTTTAGAATAAATGTTTGTTTTTGGAACATTGTCCTTTGTGCTTTAATTTAGAGATGACAAATTAACCCAGCATTAATTAGTTTCGTAGATGCATTGATAAATGTACCATGAGAAAATTCTATATTTATATCATACCTCCACTTCTTAATGTGCGCTTGTTTTCAATGACTTGGGCCACCATTTGCTCATTTGTGAATCCCAATAGAAGCAGCATTATGATATACGATCCTGTCATTTTGGAATACTTTGTGCATTCCCAATTGCTCGGCCGTCACAAACTTTGGTTGGTGCTTCTAAAAACAAAAGATGCGACAATACTAAGATATATCTGTACCATATATTTAAGGGCAGACAACTCATTGGTCTTGGTTGGTCAAAAAATGTATCAGAACACTTAATTAAGTGCCATAATCTTAACAACAGTTATTGTATTACTTGGGCTCAATAGTTGTTCAAGTTAGGGGAGGGGGTAAAAAATTTCTTCACACATAATAAAACGTTTCCTTGCAAATCGATTATTTTTTAATAATGGCGATTGGGAACACAAGCATGTGAACCAAAGCGCAATTTTGCACGTGCATCCAAAGCCAATCGAAGCTTTCTGAAAGTGAACTCTCAGCCTTATAGGCTACTTGGCTTAATTATGCTCAAGATTAGTGTGGCTTCGAAAGCAATGACAAGTGTATCCCCAGGAGATTAGCTAGTAGTTATCTCAGTTTGCAAGTGGAAAATGATCAGTTCCATTCGGGCCACTCCATTTAATCAGGTACTATGTAGTTCACAAACGGCTGTTGATGCAGACCTCGACAATTTGATCTTGAGCTTTATAGGCTACTTAGCTTAATTATGCTCAAGATTAGTGTGGCTTCGAAAGCAATGACAAGTGTATCCCCAGGAGATTAGCTAGTAGTTATCTCAGTTTGCAAGTAGAAAATTATCAGTTCCATTCGGGCCCCTCCATTTGAATCAGATATAGTGCACAAACGGCTGTTGAAACAGACCTCAACAATTTTGTCTTGACGTTGTCCATAGAATATAGTTCAGAGTAGGGATACTAGCGGTTACCGTTGGTTATTTGGTTTCCTGTATAAAAAAGCTTTTTCTTTTCGAATCGATAAACAAAAATGGCGGATTCAAAATTTTCTAATAACGCTTAGAATAATATTATGTTGATTCCTGGCGTATTAACCAATATCATAGCTTGGTTTTTCACATCAAGATAAAGAAATATGTAAGGAATATGTTTACATCGATTAAAAAATCACGACGACGAGCTATGTTCGTTTAACTGGTGAGAATTTGCGCACACGAAGGTGGTACGCAAGAGACGTAATATATGTCAGTCATCGCTAAAGCTCTGAGCTTTCCCTCCTCTTGTAGAGCAGAATAATTTTCTGAAACAGGTAGCTTCACAGTAGTAGCTCTCTCCAGATTCAGTTATCTCAAAAACGGTGTGGTCACATTATCATTATTTTGTAACGGCAAGCTAGACAAGACTCCAATGAACACTAGGCACTGTTTCGCTGAGCCAGATCTGTGCCCATGAATATATTATGAAATGAAACGTTATAATGGTCCTCAATGGGACATTAAACTGCAATCTTGACTTTCTATAGAGTTCGACTTACAGAGAGTAGCGGATCACATAAAAATTCACGTTTATGTTAATGGAACTTAAACAATTCCTTTTTGACACATGCTTCTATTTTATTCAGCTCTCTATTAGGATATCTAGTCCTTGTCGAAATATAACAAGTCATATCCGTTATTTTATTGACGTGTGTTTTAATAGGCTTGTTACATCAGATTTATCGTATTTCACATTATCATCTTCCAGGAATTGTCACAAAATAGTTTTTAGCTTATTACAACTGAAGACGTCAAAGCTTATGTCAGGTAACTTTAGTTGACTAATCAGTCTTGGGAATAAAGAGAATACAAAAGCAATAAATACCTATTATGAAAAGATATTCGATTTCAACGACATTCATTAGTTTTTCTATTTAGCAAGATAATGCTTTTGAACAAACTTATATTGTGATGTCAAGAAAAGTGGTGACATATTCATATACGGTCACCGTATCGTGACCAGCGTTCAAGTTAATGATGATATTTTGTTTTGTTGATCACTGTCACTGAGAAAAATTTGGTCGATTTTATACGAATTGTTCATATATCACGAAATAATTTGTGATGCATTAACAGTAACACATATCCTGACCAATCAGAACAAACTTAAGTCCTTCCATACCGGATTACTAAGCATAATAGAAAAAATTATCAATGGGAGAAAAATTAAAGAAAACATGATTTTGGTGACAAACTATGCAATTAATTATTAATTCAATGCAGTCGTATGCTTGTTTTAAATACGTCAAATCATTGACCCCGTGTGGGCTTAAATCCTCACGTGCTTTCAAACAGTATAAAGCAGTAGCGTTGACTCCAAGTTTTGATTCCAGATAGTGTGTTAATACTGGCAATGTTAATATAATAGGTGGAGAAAAAATCAGGTAGATGTTCAACTCTGTAAGACAATGAACAATGATTTGTTTAAATTACATACATGTATATCTATATGGGTTTCAAGCATTAATAATGATACACTGAACACTATACCATATTCGAACATGACTGTATTCACGCCTTCTATAAACTGTAAACAAAGTCAATGCTTCAGCTGGGTTATATTCGAGATCAATAACCCAGTTAATACTTGAAATGTGTGACGTCATAACGGTGGGTCGTATAGTAATGGCGGACCATGATGAATATTCGAAACAACTTGGTGAGTTTTCATGTTCAAATCGTAATATAGACCTCAGAACAGGGGTAATATCGTCGAATACACCCCTTGGGGCTAGGCAAAAAAGCTTTCGAACCCCTCACTCCCCTCGGTCGTTCGGGGTACAGAAAACGTTTGTGCCTAGCCCTGCGGGGTGTATTCGACGATATAACCCCTGCTTTTCGGTCTATATTTCTTAAATAGCGCATAGCATGAATATTAAAACTTGTAATAGACTCATTTTCAAAGTATAATAGTGTTGTATTGCACTTTGAAAAGTTCTTTATTGTCGTGTTTTGTTTTCTTAGCCAGATGTGAATAACGTGTGAAGATTTGACAAAACTGGGCGTGGCACCTCTACATTAGATACGTGTACGGATTGCGGACGAAATTAGATGATCTCATCAGAACACACTTCGGAGTTTTTCCATTATACATATACTCATAACAACATTTAATTTAGTGACGCAATGGATTTAATCTTTAATATGTCTATTTATCTCATGATACTACCAGTTCCCGGTGAATAACGCTCGGGAATATTTTTGATATTGAAAGAAATATCTTATTGTCCCGCCCAATCACGCTCGTGAAAATCGTATTCAACTCCCAATCCCGCTCACGAAAATTGTATTCACAGCTCCCCGCGAATTTTTGCCAAAGAAAGCTTTATATTGCGTTTAGTTGGGTCAATATAGCGTGCTATAATGATGCTCTTATGTGAGAAACAATATTTTCCAAACAAAATTGAAAAAAGAGATTCTGAAACGTAAGAAGTATATGAAGATAAAACCTTGGCTTTGCGTATTGTAATTCCATCAACATGCTCTGGCACAGACAGTCAACGAAATTTGAGCAATATGCGAATGCTCTGTGATATTTACATGTTTTTTGATGTTGATGTGTTTATTCAAAATGGCATAAAGTTAAGTCATATTTTGGAGACTAAATGTATAGTCTGGTTTTTGTTTCATACAAAAATTAGATATGGATTTTGGACTAATGAGTTTTTGAAAAGTTGTGAATATCATGAGATAAAAAGCTTATTTACTGGTCGGGATTAAATATGGGTTTATTCCTCGTGACAATATGATATTTCCCTCTGACCCACCGGGCCCTCGGAAAATAGCATATTGTTTGTCCCTTGGAACCCATAAACCCATATTAAATCCCTACCAGTAAATAACCTTTATGCATCACATACTAACATTGAATTTACTGTAGATGTAGAATTTATAATTTCATGAAGTTCTGATTTTAAGAGACTGGTCATCAGTTCTATGTTAATTGAAGTTTCAAAGTTCACCTAAATATCAATTTTGACAAACTATTAACAAGAGCAGTCAGCCTTTCTAACTATGATATCAATAAAATAGACTACGGAATAGTCTTATATTTGTCTTCCAAGAGACAATTAAAGATTGTGTTATGGTTTTAGCGTCTTTAATATATACATTATCATTGGTTCTTCCACTTACCGATACTCCTCAACAGCCAATGGTCTAATCGGTGACAATGGAATATCCCTTGTTCGAATTCTGTATTGTCCTTCTATGTTAACTCTAGTTGTGTCCTCGTGAAAACTCTCTGTGTTTTTTGTCTTTCTTCCAAATTTACCCCAATATATCCCATTGTTTTGTATGCCTCATCAACTTACCATGAATATATCACGAAATTAGGTGTAACTTGTTGTCAATATGTACAACGGGCAATATGCCCTAGGACTGTCGTCTAATATTTCCTTATCGTGGTGAAATCAGAAATTTCTTTAAATATTACCACTTTTTGCATCCCGATATATGTTTTCAGAATTAATTGAATTAATTTCGAGGTTAGACATTCAAAATAAATTTAAAACAGAGGTGTATATCATTCGTAATTACATTGCTAACACGTGACTGTATTTGTCTGTGGGCTATTTCACAATATAAATTAATAAACATTTAACAGAAATGAGTTGGGTTTAAGTGATTCAGTTGCCAATTTTCATAGCATACTGCATGGATCGTGATCTCTATAGATCTAGGGTTAAAATGTTCATAATGTTTATATGGATCAGGGCAAGAAAATATAGCACATCACTGTTTGGAAGGGAGTCTTTTTTTCTTTATAGCATTCATGATATGGATGGTATAACAATCCCAATAAACCCAATATAACAATATGCATTTCTAGAATAAAATATATACAAGATAAACAAAAAACAGGAACTTGGAAACTAACTAACTAGATATCAACGATACTTAAGTTGAATTGTTTTTGTTTTCTTAAGTTCTAGTATCGTGTTTCAACAATACTTAAGTTTTTGTTTTCTTAAGTTTTAGTATCGTACGGGAATGAAATATCAATTAGTGAATTAGAGACCGGTGTGTTGAATATAATGGACTGGTAATGATGACTAGAGGTGACATATGCACCTGACTTTGATCCTGGGGCCAGATTTAGGACACCATAGCTGATATTGGATAAAATATTTATTCAATAAGTAAATAAGCCCAGTGGCTGAGAAAATATAAATGCATTAATTGACGACTTATATAAGTCTAGTGTGTACAACAAGCGTTTTGGCTTCTACAAAAACAAACAAGATATTTAAGAAGATAAATCTTTGATTTATTAAATATTGTTTGATCTTATTATAAACCACTGAAAACAACAAATAAAAAAGTATTATATCAGTTTATTGTCACTATTGCCAGATATTGAGGTAGTTTGTAACAAATCATCATTAGATTTCTAAAAACTATAGATAATCCATATTGTTATTTCTTACTTCTTGTAAATAAATAGATTTTGTATATATTTCTATATGAGTCATGATACTCATTCAAAACACAAAGTAAACTACTTTTGGGGTTAAGGAGCAACTGTTGTACTCTGATCTAGACAGATTTTGGACAGAAGCTGTTCAGCAATATCAGGAAGTTCGCTCATATCTGTTACTTGAATGATGTGGTCCGGAGAACTTGCGATCTCTCCAAGTTCTTTCTCGTACTCTTCTGTGACGCTGGCATAGCTTGGACCAATACCAATAGTGTAGATTGTTATTCCGTTCGATTTCAATTTTTCAGCTTCGACTGTTATATTAACCTGTAAACGTATTAAATACATAATTAATATAAATGTGCAAGGACTGTTCATACAAACTCCGAGTCTACTTTTCTTTTACTTAACATCTTTTATTGAAGATTTAAAGGATATGATTAAGAAAAAATGCTTAAAAACTTACCGATTCATACTGCTCTTTCAATTTTTATCTGCTGACACGATAAAGTGTATACATACCCCACTTTCAAAATCCGGATCGTCCATAATAAGAACAGCTACTGGTGTTGCATCTGCTCGTCCACCGTTCTGGAATATTGTGTTAATTGTGTCTAGTGTTGGAGAAAGAAAACTGCGTTGTCGCGCTTTGGAGTCTGATGTTCGCATAACATGTGCATTCACTGCTCTCCTTATACTGCCCCCCGCTGATGCATCTACGACTGAAGTCTGGTACCTCGCCAAATCAAAGACAGTCTAAAACCAGAAAATGTTTACATTTAAGTGATGACGGAAACTCTAACAACTTGAGGCCCGAGTATATAGTCATTAATAAAATAAAACTTTTTAAACATTTTTAACGTATTCCTGGGCCTCAGCTAACAACCATGATGCAGATCGAAATGGCGAGCGCGATCCCAATGAGCTGTTGTTATATTGTAAGATACATTTAGTATATTGTTAGTGTTTTAAATTGACAGATACTCGATTCATCAGGCCTTCAACTGTTCAAACTGTACAGAGGAGAATCGCTCTATACAGGCAACGTGTGCCAAAATTATGAAGAGGAGCGCCTTATGTATTACGCGGTAAACACGATACAAAAATATGTCATATTCCGCAACGAATATGGCATATTCACTTGCGGTGTATGCCAGATTCACCTGCGGTATATGGCATACACACTAACCAATGAGAACGTGATACGGAAGTACGCAATTGTCAATTGCATCGATTGAACGAACAAGTAAAATTTTATTAATTATAATAATGATTACTGAATCAACAGTACTGTGTAATGAATATATTAACTTAGCAGAGGTATCAGTCACCAATCTCACGTAATAAACTTACTCAATCAATCCAGGATTCATATATTAGTACTCGACGCACTAACTATATCGGTATTCCAGCGTAGTTTTACATTTAGAGTCGACTCTCGCAACCAATCAAATCAAAGCTTTTGAATCACGTTTTCACCTGCGGTATATGTCATATTCACCTGCGGTATATGTCATATTCACCTGCGGTGTATGGCATATTCCGCAAGTGAGTATGACATATTCCGCATGTGAGTATCGGGTATTCACTGAAATCAATGTATCGCATATTCACTGCGGAATATCGCATACTCACCTGCGGAATATGCCATATACCGCAGGTGAGTATGGCATATTCACTCGTATCACAAATACCGCGCAACCATGAATGTATGCCATATACCGCGTAACATTATGATTCCTGGAAACTATTGTCCTTTTAAATGAGCCTTACCAGCATTTATTTAGTATCACTTTACATAAAACAATGGGTGGTGGACATAAATAACAGAAGTCATTTATCATGCGCTTCTTAACTGATGCTTAAAGTTCATCCATTATATGTACCCACCGTAACCTTTGTGAGTCCTCCGTGTTTCACGAGTCCAACCTGGGTGTAGTATGTACCAGGAAAGAACGGAAGCTTGGACACTACGTTGGTCATGAACATCTGTTCAAGCGCAAATCCACCGCCATATTTGTTTTCGACACTGCCAGATTCATCAAGTGCAAACACGATGTCATACCGTTTCTGACAAACTACAATTTATTTATTCGAGTTATCGACAAATCTTTGATTGTAAATAAAACTTTCTTACCTTTTATAATATATTTTATAAAGAACAATATTACAAACGTCCGCTATGCATTAAATGATAAAAGCTTACACGCAAAATACAGATTGTAAATACGTTTGAACCATTGCAAGTGTTACGATGCACGATGTTACATACTTGTATTGCGAGTTCATGCTATAAGTGTAGTTATTCATTAAATTGTTGTAAGATCTTACGATTGTCGCAGTTGACACCTCCATAACCTTCAGTACAGGAACATTCGTAAAAGTCAGATAGTGGACTGCAGGTTGCTCCGTTTTGGCAGGGATTCGTATCACAGTAGGTGTTGCCTGAAATTTAAAGGTGTTGTCAAATTACATTTTGGAATAAGTAAAAGCACGTGGATTTGTTAAATTAGTTTTCAAATCAAACACTCGTATTCCTAACATTGCAAATTATACACTTACTGACAACTGATCGGGAAAGAACAAAGTTTGTGAAATCAGAGGTCATGCTGGAAGAAGTATAGCTATTCATGTGCTTGTAGTTTGCATTCGCCATCGCATTATTCTGTGCAAATTTCTTCAGATTATTTGCATTTTCGCTGTTTTCCTCAAAACTGGAGCCAACCCCAACTGTTATTAGTTTAATTCCTTGTCCCTCGACGTCGACCATTTTATCAAGGGCAGCATCCAAATCTCTTGGAGGACTATCCGCTATCAGAATTGCCGTCTGTTTTGCACCATCTCTACCAGGCTGTAACAAACAATGCAAGAGGTGCTGTAATCTCATACATCTACATGTTTTGAATACAGCTCTTAAATTGATGTATTTATATCGTTTTTAGTCTTGGTCATTCATATTATTTCTGTGCACACTTTTTGGGTTCACATGAAGTGACTGAATGTATAAATAATTATATATGATAAAGTATAGTAAGTAATGACATATCTTTAGACATGCTATAGATATTAAGATACTACGTTCTTGTTAATTATGAAACAGTCATCCGGGTGTATAATTATTTTTTAACACAAAACAATAATAATATATCTTTCGTTTAGATTTGACTATTTTCTCACCCGAGAAGCTAACAGCTCCAGTGCTGGAGCAAAATTTGTGGCACCAGCACTGTTTCCAGGGTAAGAGTTCAAGCTGTTTATAATTTCAGATAGTTTTAGGTTGAAAGCTGTCATATCCGACACAGGGATGGAGTCCATGACCATTTCAGCTCCAGTTCCAATTGCCGTACCATACTTCATTATGGAAAAGTTCACATCAGCTCCTTGGGCATTGTATTGTTCAGCGGCCGCTTTTACGGACTCGAGTTGTTTTAAAAAGTTTGTGATGTGACTGTTTATAGCATCAAATCTTGAAAAGTCCAACATATAAGTCAGATCGAGAGTCTCACCAGTTACACTACTTGCGTCATCTATAAATAGAAATAAAACAAGTTGTTTTCAGCTTTGGGGTGAGGGATGTACATTAGACATTATTTTGTTCTTTATTTTGACTGCTAACGCAAAGAAACAAAAAATAACTAGTGACTATTTTAGGTATACAACTCATAAAAGATGTACGACATGATAACACATATGTACTTTACTCACATTCGCAAACAGTGCCATATCTTGTTGATGGGCAAATGCATCTGTAGCCATCTACCAAGTCATTACACGTCCCACCATTTCTGCAGGGACTGAGCCCGCATTCGTTTCTATCTACAGATGTCACAATAAATGTTCAGACAATCAGTACAACAATTAAAAGTATAAGGACTTCAAACAGTGGTACAACGTGCTTTACGGTCATAATAATGGATGACAATTGAATATGTCTTTGAATAAGCATTTAATGTATGCTTTCTCATTAATCATGTATAAATCGAATGAAATGCTTGAAATGATACAATACAGTAATATATTATACCCACTTACTTACCATTTTCAACCATCAGAGATACGGTACTTGAAAGCTCACTTAATTTACTCGAATTGTCATATATCATGATATTGTCAGGGTCGCTAACAACTTGTTTGGACAGAATTTCTAATTCTCTCATATGTGCATCATCGCCACCAATCCCCGCCATATGGATATCCCAGCCTTGGTCCTTAAGGGACTGTGCCATGGCTGCTTCTTCACCCTTGTGGCCTTTCGGAGCACCGTCTTGAAGTAGGAAAACAACATCGGGAGCATCTGCCCTATTGCCACCAGCGCCTCCACCGAGTTGATCCCTAACTGCCTCTAACCCAACGTAAAGATCACCAGCTCTATTAATTTCATTACCGGGATTGTATTCGAGTGCATCAACAGCGGCTGTGATATCTTCCTTTGTACTATAGTCGTCAAAATCGAATGCGATATTTGCGCCATTAGCTGAATATGTTAGAACGGCGACGCTTGATGCATTCGCTTCGTTTCCAATCGCAATGTCAGTAATTGAAGACTTTATCAGGTTTTTCATGTCTACAAAACCTTGTTCTCCTACAGAATCTGACACGTCAAGAGCAAAAACAAAATCACTTCGAGCTCCACCAGTTAGGACTACAAAAATAAATATCATACTGGTACAAAGAGGTCCCATGTAAAGTTTTAACCACTTTGGCTTGTATTGATAAGTATTACTAGGATTTGATGTGAAACCGCTTTAGTTGGCTATAGCCATATACTAGCATTATGGAGATGACTTTTATTAAGGAGTGTGTCTGTGTAGGTCCTTTTCCTAATGTCATGGTGAATGTTTAGAGCAATGGGTTGTATTAATAAAAAGTCAAAATATCAATTCGGCAGAATGTGTAAGCCTGATATCATATATGTAAATGATAATATAATACAATAATGCTGTGTAAAATGGCAAACTTGCTTGTTTATTTTTAAAAGGTTTCCCTAAGTCAATTATCAAACGAAACATAAACAAGTGTATTATTTTACCAACCTGGGTCTCCAACAAGAATCTCATCCGCAGCAAAATCATTCAACCAGATAAGAGCAGGATCATTTGTAGTTATGGTGAACCGTATGACCATTGCGTAAGTACCATCACCACTGGTAGGTTGAAAGATATGCACAAATGGCTCTCCCCAACCCGCACCTGCTGCACGCCGCTTTTCACCTAGTAAATAAAAAGAGTATTTGTGCACAGATTCAGCTCAGATCGTATTATCATTTTTTCAATGATGGTAAAAAAGCAATTTACACGAAGTATGGATACAGAATTCAGAAATTACTAGAAAAATGTTAGCGTGTGTTCCAAATTACGAAATAAAAACAACTGAGTACTAGTAATTTGGTTCCCAATCAACTTTTACAATTATATGATAAAATAAAAAAGTCAGTTTAAGACCCCAGGGTACTATATCTTATGCTTAATTTTCAAAACATACCTTCATGTATCAGAATTGTCTCAATATCTTCTGGGGTTGTATCGTAATTAAGGCGTTGTATGACTTCCAGTTTACCCATGCCTGCTCCATACATGGAATATTTCACTGATAAAGCCCTCATGCCACTCTGATTTGGGATGATGATCTCACCATAATCGCCACCGGCCATGCCTGAGCTTTCGACCCACATGTAACCTCCAGAACCTGTTAACGAAACGAAAGTACTCCGAAAGTCAGAATGGAATCTAAGGTCAACATTTCTACTGACCAATCTTTTTTCTTCACAATTTCCGGTATGGGCTCAACAATAAAAAATATTGAATTTGAATTTATGATTCTTAGTATTTTTCCAATTACTAATGTCGAGGGAACATTCGGTAGAGTCCCAAAAGGGTGTGTTTTCGAGACCAACTCAATATTTGTTTCCGATTTTCTGAAGGTGTCTTGCTATGAAGTCCCTTTAATTTCATCAAAATCAAAATTGCAATTTTCTGTAGAACAAAGTATAAATGTCCACGTTGCACAAACTCACCACTTGCATCACTGGAGGGGCCTGTCATCGAGGACTGGGGAGATGGGCCTGTAAGTCTGGTGAATTCCAGTGTCCCAGCAGTCTCAATCTGGCCAAGCGCACAGTTCGTTGCATCATCATCGAATGCACAGTTAACATATTCCCCACCTGATAAGGAAAGAATTCGAAATGCAAAGATCACATACAAAATTACTAATTGAAATTATGCAGTCGTTTATACATGATTGTGCATCAACCTTTAAATTTAGCCGCCCTGTTTTTTGTTTATTTTAAGCAGTATGTATAAACGACTGAATACACGGCATTATAATATTAGTATGTATTAATATAATATCTGAATTATAACTGAAATCATAATTTATGCAATGTTGCGTGCACACCAAATTTAGTGACAAGAAAATAAACTCTTTAATTACTCTAATTACTGAATTACTCTTATTTGGGTAGATTATTTAAATGAGATATATATCTGGACCGCTTTTCCCTGTCAATGATTAAACCTACAAAATATTTCATAGTGATTACATGTTATTCATACACATATGGTAATACAACCTGTCCATAATCATAAATCTCAGTGATCAGAATAGGAAGTAAAATCACAGGAATTCTATTTTATGGAACGTTTATTTAAAAATTTCAAACAACTATTTTTTTTGTTATTAAGTTAACGTTATTGTTCCATTCATACATGCATATACTTAACTAGTTACATTTGTGAAACATGGAAATAGTGGTATGTACTAGCTATTATAAATATTTAATTTTACTTTAAAAAAAAAGATATTAATAATTATATTTTAATAAATATGTATAATGTTAATAAGTGTTAAAACAGTAATCAAATTAAAATGATTTTACTGTTAATAATATATGAATACATATGAATTTATTTTTATTTTACATTATTAAATAAAAATTCCTTACCCGATTGCCCATTTACTGGTTTTTCGTTTAATAGCAGTAAGCATAAAATTAACCCAAGCACTCCTGGTTTCATTCTGACTGTTACAGTTTTCGTCAATTGTACGCTGCTTTTCTAATTGTCTTGTTCCTACTGATTCAAGTGTTTCCTAAAACATTAATAACTATGATAGGAGTGACCCACCTATTTAAGATGTTGACGAAATTTTGTTTTACATCAAGGCGTGAGGACAACTGATACATGTATACAGTCATCGCGTTTTCCTGTGGGTGATCTTTACTTAAACAAACGTTCGTAAATTAAGCAGTTTACAAGTGATAAATACTGCAATTACTCCACAAATTTATTTGCCCAACGATCCCTTATTCCCTCCTCGCTAACCCGGATTAATTGATCAAACATTGGTATTTTTATGTTGAGAAATGAATTGGTTATAAGTTATTTGAGTTTAGATTTTAACCTGCTTAAATGCTTATTTGGTCAACTTGGAGTCAGAATTGTGTAAATATCAAAAAGTGGTTAAGGAATTTTGTAAATTCAATGTGTAATCCTCTATAAAATCGTCATGAGGTCAGATAACACCAAAAACAAGTTAGCAGCTGTAAAATTAATGAGATGTGCAACGATGATTGTATAGTCCTTACAGTATGCACGAGCCCCGTTCCCGTAACGGACTCAATCCGCTCATCCCATGGGCCAGTACATATAAGTTCTTCAAAGATCGCATTCTGATCCAGATCGACTGATTTCCCAGGTAGCTGCAGTCTGGAAAATTCCTAGTAATTTATTCTTTAACAATAGTTCATTACCTGGACTATATCCTATTTAGTCTGAATAATATTCAGACAATAAGCAACCTATGTTAAGATTTGGTAATTCAAAATATTTGTTTGCATAAAAAGTGCTATTCAAAATGGCCGATGGAGTAAACTGATTTGCATATTTGTTATTTCATCTTGCTTTATCTCCACTTGACAATATGCTATGTTACTTTTTATTGCATTTAATTTTACCTTACTACTTAATTGAAGTGTTTATTTTTGTGAACTAATGTTTCATCAAATTGATAATTTTGTTCAAAAAATGTCACTGCAATTTCTACAGGAATGTAGTATATCATGATGTGTATTTAATAAAGACTGCTTCTTTGATCCATCTATCCCGTTTGTTGTAACCATATCTAGTACTGTAACATTGTCTTTATTAAACTGACTGACAACATGAATAGGGACCAAGGAAATTCCCAGTTGGATAACTGTTGGGAGCCCGTGCTAAGGAGAAACCGGAAGTTGAATTAAAGTTCTGATGATGGCAACCAGAGGTGACCGAAACGTCAAAAATGTAAGTTTTTCGGGTAGTGCAAGGACAAATAGTAGCTTTAAGTACAAGTACCATGTCTGCAAAAAATGTAATTCACACTCCTTTAATTGGAAGACTTTTTTCGAACGTTAAGCATTTTGATTAATACGTGTCGTGACTTCCTGTTCACCCCGGAATAGCCTGACAACGGTAAAGTCAGATACCGTTGTCACAAATGGCGGACATAACCGTCGCTTCAACTCTTCAAACACTTGGTCCTCTTTTCATGGGACTTTATCGTCACTAATTATGTGCATGTATTAAGCTCTTGTGATAATGTATCATATGAAATCCCAATTTCGATCAAATTGGGTCGTGAATCGCCACAATATAGCGTCTTTGATATCGTCAATGACAACGGAATCTGAATTTGAGATAATTTACAAATTCAACGGCATATGAACGAGGACCAAGTGTTTGAAGAGTTGAAGCGACGGTTATTTTCGCCATTTGTGACAACGGTATCTGACTTTACCGTTGTCAGGCTATTCCGGTGTGCTGTTCATGTATACCTAATTTAAAACCAGAAATGGGTGTGATATCATTTCGAGGTAAATGCCTACCACGCGCATAAGACATGACGGGGCGTTATTGTACATGATTTAACTAACAATTTCAATTTAAAGACAACTAAAATAAGGTCCAATAGTACATTACAACCCTGTCCTCTTCTTCGTGTTTAATTTGTATTTCGGTATACTTGTTCAAGCACGATCTTAAGATTATTTGGAATTAACATCAAATTACCTTGATACATAAAAATGAGTCAAAAACAAATTCTATTCAATAGCACAGTTTCTAGATGCATTTCGTTAGGACACCGAAAAACAAGGAGAACTCAATCCCATTTGTACATGTATGTTAATTCATGAACAATATATTCTAAATGGAAAAAGGGGATGTATCAAATATAGATACCCAGGTGGTAGCTACTATGGCTTCATAAACACAATGATCTTTAGACGTGTTTCTAAGGGAATCTCTTTTTAAATCTGAATTGCCTGTCCACAAATTGATATATTTAAGAAATATATATTTACGATTGGAACATGTGCACCGAACGAAACACTTAATACAGACAGGTATTGTATCGAAAAATAAATATCGGGCGAAATATTGGCTTTGTTCACAGTTTATTGTTTGACTTATACTTTAAGTATGAGTTGGGTTTATGATTGACAACAGTACCCATATGCATCCCTCAAGGCATATATCATGTGTAACGAACCGGTTGGCTAATTCTTATGTTATTGTAGCACGTAATCATTGCTTGATTCATTTTAAGGTGCGCTTTGCGATAGCAACACCCCAAAGTCACCTTGTAGTTAAACAAGTTATTACTTAATCTGAGAAACATACTTACAAACATGGCTAAAACAAGATAAAGAAAATCAAATACGAAAAGGGAAGATCCAAAACAAAAACCTTCGAAGGATAAAAGGACTCTTAATCAGTTGAGGGAAGAACTTCAGAAATAGGGCATCAATGCGCCAAAGACTTTCCAAAGACAAGCTCTTTAGAGTAATGCGGATTTTTATTTTTAATTCAAGATATATATTTCGGTGTTTTTCAATTTCTGTGACATTATTAATAAAGTCATAAATGGTCATCCCACCGAACGAATTCCGAGGGGGATAAAGGAAAGCCATCCGCCCGCCCGTCCGTCCGTCTGTTTGTCCGGGCGATAACTCAAATACCAGTTGACGGATTTCATTCAAATTTTATAGGCTTATGCCTTATGGGGGTTGAAAATCTGCCCAAGAAGAAATTTTCAATATGGCCGCTCAATACAAAATGGCGGCCATTTTTCGTAAAAAAATCGTTGATATCTCAAATACTAGTTTACGGATTTGGTTCAAATTTTATATGCTGATGTCTATTGACAAAGCAGCTATGCTGTAGGAGAGATTTTCAAATGGCTGCTAAATATCAAAATGGCGGCCATTTTTCGTAAAAGACGTAATCTTTGATAACTCAAATACAAGTGAACAGATTTGGTTCTAATTTTATAAAATGATGCCTAGGGAAAAAGTAGATTTGTTTGAATGTACTATCCTTACTCGTTTGTTTTTAAATCGTGGTATGACGAAAGTAGTTCTATTAAAAACCCGTTTGTGGATGGTATACTACAGCACCATCTTTGGATAGAATACTCTAATTTGCAGGCATATAATGCTCAGAATAACTGGGAAACATGTGAGCATAAAAGTGAACGGTAAAATCGTTGGGATCATGTTCTGTGGATGGATGACCTTGGTCGTGGTGAATTGGTATAAATGTGATGACGTTTTGGTACTCCAACTATGTAAGAGAGCAGAACTTTTGATTTTTTGTTGCCATTTTTTTGACATGAAGGTACATGTAAGATGCGTTGCTGTATTTCTCTTAAATTCTTTGAAAATCGATGGGCTGCGATTTGAGAAATTCTAATTTGAACTTTGTCAATTTAAAATGCATCTCAATGGTACAAAAAGTAAGGAGAGTTCTTCCTTCAAGAAATAATTTTCAAGATGGCGGCTGAATTTCAAAATGGCCAACATTTTTCATAAAAATGTAATCTTTGATAATTCAAATACCAATGAACGGATTTGGTTCAAATTTTATATAATGATGCCTAGGGAAAAAGTAAATTTTTTCAAGAAAGAATTTTCAAGATGACGGGTAAATTTCAAAATGGCCACCATTTTCATAAAGAAACGTAATCTTTGATGACTCAAATACTAGTAGACGGATTTGATTTAAATTTTATATGCTGATGCCAATGGACAAAGAAGCTACAATGAACAAGAGATTTTTAGAATGGCTGATGAATATCAAAATGGAGGCCATTTTTTGTAAAAATGTAAACTTTGATAACTCAAATACCAGTAAACGGATTCGGATCAAATTTTATATGATGATGCCGAGAGACACAATACCTCTGTTTCACAAAGAATTTTCAAGATGGTAGCTGAATTTTAAAATGGTCGCCATTTTTCTTAACAAAATGTTATCTTTGATAACTCAAATAGCAGTGAATGGATTTTGTTCAAATTTTATTTGCTGATGCCTAGGGACACAGTAGCTCTGTTCGATAAAGATTTTCAAAATGGTGGCTGAATTTCAAAATTGCTGCCATTTTTCGTAAAAAGTTGTTGTTTCGTTGTTCAGTAACAATTATGGGTCCCAAAAAAACAAATATTGCCCATATTTGAAAATTTGGCCTAACAAAGTCCTTAAACGGCCAAGTCATGCCCAAAAGACCCTTTTTTGAGGCCCTACAAAATGTTTTTATAACATATTATAACACACATTTTTTTTATAAAACCTTGGATAACGATTTGCACTTTCTAATGTTGTCTAATCTCTTTCCAATCTCGTTTGATTTCCCTTGCAAGTAACTTGACGATAATGAATATGAAACTTTGCTATTTTTGAAATGCTCGACGTCCTGGTGGTGCCAATTACGGAATTATGAAATTCCCAGCTCATATGTCTAGTTTCAAGACTATGTGAAGTCGCAACTCATTCCCCATGGTGTTTTGCACAAATTACATTGCGTAAATTAATATTCAATAGCTGGATTTACATAACATACCCTCCAAGTGATCCATTCCGTGGCACGGTGGTGTGTTTGCGTAACTACGGAATATAACTAACCATTTTAGTAAAAATGTTGACCTTACCCTACGAAAAAGGAGGTAATATTTTACAGCTACATGTAGTTACTATGTAGTTACAGCGCCCAGTCACTAGGAAATTGATTGTATTTTGTATAGAAAACAATTGTAAACCTGTGAATAGAAGACATCAAAAGCCTTAGCGTAGTAACCTCTTTTATTTATATTCTCAAAACGTAAGAAAATAAAAGATGTCATAACTTTTGAAAACCTTGATTATTGGAACCAATTTCACTTGTCACTGGCTAGGGGTATTCTGATTGTTCAAGAACTGAACAGATCAGGGGGGGGGGGGCGTAACCAGGAATTGCCAAGGGGTGCTAATTGTATATGGTGCATTCTAAGCATTTCAAACTATGATTTGTTAATGTTTTTTTCAATAAATTTCCAAAAAATGCTTTTTTATTTTTTTGAAAGAAAAGACAACGTGTTACTACAAAATGGCTCATCCATAAGGTATATCCCCGGGGATGAGTCATTCTTTTCCACCTTTTCTGTGACAGATAAATAATCATGGAGTACTTCTTCTGAACCGATACAAAAATAGTTCTGAAAAATGCAATGCTGTGAACTGAGATGTAATCATGTCGAAGACATTTTTTTGATTAATTAAATGCTATTGACATTTTCGATAAAAACTTATGAATAAATGATAAATAATTTAATAGCAAAAATAATTGTTGAAATATATATAACTACTATTTAAACAGAGATAGTGGTTTCTATTGTCTTGCAAGACAAAACGTATCAGATTCATTTAATTAATTTTTAGTTAATTCATTGATTAAACAATGAACAGTTTTGAGACGACCCCTTCTTTATTGTCTATAGGCGTACAATAAAAGACAGTCAATCTCTGGTACTGGCATTGTTGACGACAGCACAGAAGCGATCTTATATGAGATGGAAACGAACCGCATCTTTGGAAACAGAATATATGGGAAGAGATGTAACTCCGAATGATATTAAAAGCATTGGAGATCGACGGAATAAAATGAAACACATTTTAAGTACGTAGGTATATTTATATTCAAAATCAAATCGTACCCTAAAACAGGTATTTCACCCGCCTCGTTTCAAACATACGGACGGTTAATATTGAGAATCGAATAATGGTACTGGGTAAGCTTAAAGGTCCAAATGCAAATTAGATTGAAAATATGTTAAAGTTAAAATGAGAGATTGGCATTATGATTTTATTATTACTGTTCATTTCTCGCTCACTTATTAACGAATGTTCGACAATCTTTTATGATGAATGCTATGCATTGGTGTGAATAACATGTATGGCTTAAAATACAGTCTGACATTTAAAAATTTAGTTTTGAATAAATCCACAATTTTTCGAACAAAAACTGATGCCATCCTAAAACATGTGTTTACCAAAGTTATTTTATCCTCGAGTTGAATGTTTGATTTACTGATGTGTTACCAGATTATCATTATAACCTTGTCCCCTTTCCAGTAACTCATATTTTCAAATACCAATTGAATTATGTTGAGTTGTAAGTGAATCAAAGGGATATTCTTTGCCAGATCATCTCTCTTCTAAAATGGTAGCTATAACCATTTATATACTTTTCATATATATAAGCAAAACACGCAAAAATTACCACTTAAAATGTAAAGCTCAGTAGGCTGCCATACCCAGGAAGAAATGTCATTGACTCTCAACTTTCAGTAAATCAAACAATCAACTCGAGGATAAAATTACTTTGGTTAGCAAACGTTTTAGGATGGCATCAGTTTTTGTTCGAAAAATCGTTAGGTATTAGGTATTGAGCTATTAGAATTACAAAACTAGCTGCATATCCTTTTTCAACTTTGTCTCTGGTTTAATCCTTCCAGAAGTCTCTTCTTTTATTTTAAGCTGACAAGCTCTGAAAATGTTTAAATACAGAAAGTAAGGACCACTTGTTTAATTTTAAAAAGCAGCTTACGGTAAATGGGCACTACATTTTACAAATGACATTAAAAAGTATCCCATTTTTGCAGAAGTACTCGAAGGCAAAAACCGCTTCTTACGTACTACAGAAGCCGGCTTCTGGAGTCACCAAGAAGCCGGCTTTTAAAAGCCGGCTTCTGAAGGACAACAGAAGCCGGCTTCTGGAGTCACCAAGAAGCCGGCTTTTACAAACTGGCATCTTATGTACTACAGAAGCCGGCTTCTACAGTCAACGAGAAGCCGGCTTTTAAAAACCGTCTTCTGAAGGACAACAGAAGCCGGCTTCTGGAGTCACCAAGAAGCCGGCTTTTAAAACTGGCTTCTTACTTACTGACGTACTGCAGAAGATGCCTTTTGAATATAGTTTATATTGTCATATTTTTGCAAAACTATACGGGTAAATTGAATTCTAAGGATAGATATCGATGAATTTGATCACGTTCATCAATTCCAAAAATATTATGCATTGTATTTCTGTTAAATAATAACGCATCGCTCATTTTTCAAAACTGGCTCCAATTTGGAGCCAGTTTTCAAATCAGCTCGCACCATTAAACACAAGCTATTAACGGACAATCTAGCCACTGGGAATCACGAGATACTGTCTCCCGATCATTTTGATGTGGATTATGCATCTTATTCTCGTATAATCTGCATGAAAATAAGGAAAAACTGAAAAATATGTAAAATTATAACATAATTCAAGATTTTTTGCAAAAAGTCATTTCAAGTCAAAACTATAAGAGAAAATTGAAGTCTAAGTAAAAATATCGATGAATTAGATCATGTTCACTAAATCAGAATAGATTATGCATTGCATTTCCGTTGTATAAAAACGCACCGCTCATTTTTCAAAACTGGCTCCAACTTGGAGCCAGTTTACAAATCAGCTCGCTCCATCTTACACAAGCTATGTAGGGACAATCTAGCAACTGGGAATCACGGGATACTGTCTCACGATCATTTCTATGTGCATAATGCATCTTATTCTCGTATAATTTGCATGAAAATGAGAAAAAACTAAAAAATGCCTTAAATTGTAACTTATTTCAAGATTTTTTGCAAAAAGTCATTTCAAGCCAAAACTATGAGAGAAAATTCATTTCTAAGTAAAAATATCGATGAATTAGATCACGTTTACTAAATGAGAATAGATTATGCATTGCATTTCCGTTAAATAAAAACGCACCACTCATTTTTCAAAACTGGCTCCAACTTGGAGCCAGTTTACAAATCAGCTCGCTCCATCTTACACAAGCTATGTAGGGGCAATCTAGCAACTGGGAATCACGGGATACTGTCTCACGATTATTTTAATGTGAATTATGCATCTTATTCTCGTATAATTTGCCTGAAAATGAGAAAAAACTGAAAAATACGTAAAATTGTAACTTATTTCAAGATTTTTTGCAAAAAGTCATTTCAAGCCAAAACTATGAGAGAAAATTCATTTCTAAGTAAAAATATCGATGAATTAGATCACGTTCACTAAATCAGAACAGATTATGCATTGCATTTCCGTTTAATAAAAACGCACCGCTCATTTTTCAAAACTGGCTCCAAGTTGTGATCGTGAGACAGTATCCCGTGATTCCCAGTTGCTAGATTGCCCCTACATAGCTTGTGTAAGATGGAGCGAGCTGATTTGCAAACTGGCTCCAAGTTGGAGCCAGTTTTGTAAAATGAGCGATGCGTTTTTATCCAACAGAAATGCAATGCATAATCTACTCTTATTTAACGAACATGATTTAATTCATCGATATTTTTACTTAGAAATGAATTTCCCCCATAGTTTTGGTTTGAAATTACTTTTTGCAAAAAATCTTGCAATATGTTACAATTTTACTTATTTTCATTTTTTTCTCATTTCCATGCTAATTATACGAGAATAAGATGTATAATGCACAACAAAATGATTGAGAGACAGAATCTGGCTTTTAAAACTGGCTTCTTGGTAACTGCAGAAACCGGCTTCTGTAAGTCATTCGAAGCCGGTTTTTAAAAGCCGGCTTCTTGGTGACGCCAGAAGCCGGCTTCTGATGTACTGTAGAAGCCGGCTTTGAAAGCCGGCTTTGTATATTTGCCTTCGACTCTTTCTCCATTTTTCGCCCACCCTGTACCATACACTGATATCACAAGAATCTTACACATTAAAATGTCATTCTATTGAAACACCACTAAGGTTAACAAACGGGCAACCGACTTCCTATTTTAGTATTCTATTATACAATTATGAATAACGTTCTCATCTGTAAAATGAATACTCTCGCCTTGTAGGCCTACTTCTGGCGGTGTCGCCTTTCGTTACAATAGGACAAAAGACTAACGAGTCCCTGGTGGATGCCGATGTAACAGCATTCGTAACTACATCTCGGGATCGAATTGGTGCCTCGACTGAGATTGACAATCAAACACAGGACATGGAGTTCAAGTTGAAACAGCACGAAACAGAAATAGAGCCATGCAGGTCGAAATGTAATCCAATCCATGGAGAAAACACAACATTAAATGGCTCAATAGTTTCAAATGAAAGCATCCCAATAGGCTTTACACTTTCGTATCAAATTATGTTTACGAGTAAAGTATTTGAAACCAGGTGTTACTTGGTTGCAGTGACGTTTATTGGTATAAACTGTAATATCATGAACATGGTTGTTTGGACGCGGAGGGATATGTTCTTTGCCGGTTTCACCCCATATCTGATATCACTTACCGTGTCGGACTTTATGGTTATGTTGACTCGTTTTCCATGTAACATTTACGATATTGTTTGTTACTATTGGCCTGAGTACCACTCGATGCCACAATCATGGTGGCTGTACTACCAGCACTCGCTTGCTTTTTACTATATTTTTTACACGTGTTCTAGTTGGACTTTGATGATTGTCGCTGTAATACGATGCATCGTAGTGCTGATGCCTCTGCGGAGTAAATCCTTGATCACAACTGTGCGGAATCGAATAACGATATGCCTTGTCTATGTTATTGCATTCGCCGTCTTTTTACCAGATTTCTTATGGAACAATAACTCGACAGTGACCTACCTGAGACAGGGCAAGCCATGGCTGATCATCCCCTTGACAAAAACCGAGAAAATAATATATGGTGTTCGGGTATGTCTACTGACGGTGGTGCCATGGTGTATTAGTGTTTGCTGTGTCACCCGACTCAGTATCAGTCTTTGGTACAATTGGAAACTTTTCAAAACGCTCAGTTGCCTTGACAAGATTACAGAGTCAAATCGAATTCGGAACCAAAACGTTGTAACAGTTACGCTTTTAGCGAATACACTTGCGTTCATTATCTTAATTATTCCCGGGTTAGTTTCGGATTTCATGGACCTCTTTTCCTTGGATATGAGTGCGACTTTCAGATATATTCATTTTCTTCTTCATTCAATCAATGAGCCTCTGATTTACACCAATAGCGCCGTTAACTTTATTTTCTATTCTCTTTCCAATGCCAAGTTCAGAATGAAGGTAATCTCGTTATTTAAAGGGATGTACCAGAGATGGAAATTTGCATACTTTGGAAGGTAATTAGCTCACATCACGTGGTCAACGAAGACAAAATGGCGCTTCAATACGCGTCGAATTCGAACAGATGAATATTACTTTCTTGAGTAATCAAACAATATTTGACTTATTATTCAATTAAATAAAGAAAGATGTCGTGAATATGACAATATCGTGTCAATTAAAATGTCACATCGTAACGATTTGTAGTAGATGGTCAATAAACGAAACGACGCGCGAGTATGCGGAAAAGTACTCATGAGGTCAACTTTGAACTACACTGTGTGTATTGGTTACCTCCCCTTCTCTTACTTTAGAAAGGATAGGTATCGATATGGTTAGCTGAATTCAACAATGTGTTTCTCTTAAACCAATTATTGAAAACATTCTTTAAAAAAACACGGTCTTTTATGTAATGTTGACTGATTGGCTACAAGTTCATGCAAACATTATTTATGAGTGAAATTCATTGTCTCAACAGCATATCAATGATGCTATTGACCAGTTTAGGCCAAAATTAAGGGCTACAATTGATCAAAATGGAGGACATATTGAACGTCTGTTTATGTAAATAAAGTTGACAATAAAACTTGGTTTTTGCGAGTTTTGGAAAACCTGTTTTGAAACGAAAATGACGTCATTTATATTATGGACGCTGGTTGACAGACATTATAATATATTTGAACTTATGATATACCAAATTGAAGATGAGTAAATCCCCTATCCATTGGTATATAATATGACATTCAATATTTATTTTTGAAATACGAGTGTCCCATTTTTTGGACCACCCTGTATATGTTTTTGTTAACATTTTTTTGTTTTTTAGTGCAATTGTTTTTTGTTCCTTTCTACCGATTCTTGAGAATGAAATAAAATGTCTTTCCGAACCTTGTTGGAACAAAATAGCATATACAACATTTTCATAGACCTCTCAATATTATAGTTTTACAAAGGAAATTTTGGTTGATTTAACAAAAAGTATGCAAAAACTTAAAACAAAACCCACAAAATAGATAAAAAATTAAGATAGACCTTTTATTTCATTAAAAAGATACTTTTTTAAAATCAACCAAACTTTCCTTTGTACAATTACAATATTGTGAGACCTAAGCACGTTGTGTTTATGTCGTTTGGTTTCAATGGGGTTCGGATAGATGTTTCATTTCATTCCGAACATATGATACAAGAACGAAAAAAGTGTCTGATGTGTTTTTAAAACAATATAGAGAAAATAATATTTATATATATAATTCAAATTATAATGCTACCATGCAAAAGATGATCATTAAATTGACGATGTGTGAATTTTCAGAATGTTTTGATGACTGGTTTAAGAGAAACGCGTGTTCGAAAAGTCCACCATATCGATACCACTCCTTTCTTCTGTAGTACGATCATGCTGCAAGCCTTGCCACTCGTTTTTTGTTTTTCGAACCGACCTTTAAGAATATATTTTTTGATCGGAATGTATTTTTGACAAGAGGTGAGAAAAGAAGAAAGTCACGTCTTGTATTTGACTTCTATTTCAATCCAAAACGGATGTTTTGAAAGCTATTTGTAATGCTTTTAAAAACTCTCTAAGTGCAATAAAAATGTTTCCGATTTTGTACGATAGATATACCATGGTGCAATTGATCGTAATATTTATAATAAACTATAGATTTTTTTATCAGTGACATCTATTTAATTCTATTATGTAACTACTTTAATGCAATGCAATGTTATATATTTTCTATTGTATTATTACGTAACATCTATTAATTAACGCATTATAATATTATGTAACTTCTATTGTAGTTTATTGTTTTAGTTTAGTTAGGTACAATAAACTATTTGACCAACTACTTGTAGTTTTTTGCGTCTATTCTTTCGTATTTGGCATTATTGGGAATTTAAGTTTAATTTCAGTTGAAATAGATTTAAATTATAGAGGTTCCCATCTGGTTCTGCAATTCATGCAAATGTCATGAACTTTTAATTTTGTCAAGATCATCTAATCACTTCAGCTACTGCAGCAAAGCACTAAACATGTACTATTTTTAGCTAATGCTCCCTCCCACACTCCCCTTAATTGAATTAGGGTGTACTGGACTGGGAGGTCATAATATTATATGCTATTATGTAACTACTTTAATGCAATGTAATGTTGTATATTTTCTATTGTATTATTTCGTAACATCTATTAATTGACGCATTATAATATTATGTAACTTCTATTGTAGTTTATTGTTTTAGTTTAGTTAGGTACAATAAACTATTTGACCAACTACTTGTAGTTTTTTGCGTCTATTTTTTTCGTATTTGGCATCATTGGGAATTTAAATCTTAGAATACCCTTAAAGCTGTAGGGATGGTTTTAAGGATATAAGAAATTATTCAAATGTGTTTTCCCGATGGGATCTTTTTCTTATCTTCTCAAAAACGATCCCACTGTTTTATCAGCACCATAAAGAGGTTACACACCTCAGTCAATGTTCTCTATGTTCTGATTGTGTTCCTTAAGATGATCTAAGAATGGAATGTTTATTTTTGTAAATACTTTTTATATAAATGAATAAACAAAATGAATAAAACTACCTTACGTTTTTTCATTTCTTACACAGTCCTTCCTTTTCTGCAAAATGATCATATATAACCTGATTCAAATTGATCCTTGACAATGATGATATCCTGATTAAAATTGATCCTTGGCAATGACCATATCCTGATTCAAATTTATCCTTGGCAAGTGGAATGCCATGTGATAAATAAAGTAAAACTGACTTCTCGCAATTATGCGAGTGTTATTTGAACCCTCGTGTAATAATTACAACAATGATAATTACAATCGAAACATGAATATGTAATCTCAATTTAAAGTTCTAAACGATTGTTTTCTTTTAAAATTCAACAGTTTATAACATTTAGCAGTATATGAAATTAATATCAATTCAATAGGGCCATAGTTATACACGTAATGTACTGATGAACGAAAAAAGCAACGTCCGAAATTCCCGGGAATTTCTGATGAGCGGCCCCGCTCACCTCAGCGGGAGATATATATATCACCCGCTCACTCCAGATATCAATTATATTCCCACATATGTTCTACCTATAACACTACTAAGTATGGGATAAATTATATTAGTATATATATTCTTTCACCCGGGTAAGAGTGTAAAAACGTGGTATCCTGTCAATATCACTATATTAGCTAACAGAAAGATTAGTGAAAGATTTTGATCTACTGCACATTTCACTGTTTGATTTCGTCAGTAGAACCCAAAAATAAGAAACCAGGAGACCATTGTACAATCATATATGGAAAAGTATATTCATATAATTGTACATTGATGACATTTGTATATATTTCAGATTATTTAGTTTTTTGTGCATTACTATGCCCTCTTGTAATTTAAAGAATTTCAGCCATGTTAATCTTTTTGAAAATAATATGGCAGAGAAGCATCAAAATATTATTAACCAAACTAGAAGCAATCCAAGATATACAAATGTCATTTATGTACAATGGGAATATATTTTCCATATATTATTGCACAATGATCTTTTGATTTCTTATTTTTTAGATTTTACTGACGAAATAAAACAATGAAATGGGCTGTAGGATTATTTGGCCTGGATAGATGTCAGAATTAGACGGATCGAGATTAGAGAACTAAAAAGATGGAACGCTGTCTAAAATAAGCATCTCAACAATGGACCGAGAAATTGAATGTCTTTCATCGTAAATTCATTTGGTATTCAAAGCTCGCACAAACCATCACAATCATGCACTGAATGAGACCCAACCTACTGTGCCCGGGGCCGGTATGGAATTTTCCCATGGAAAAACCTCACATTTGACATTATTTGCATTGAAAACAACACCCATCTAATTCCATAAAAAAGGTTACCACGTACTTATCTGTGGTAATTTCATCTTTACTGCAAATTAATATCCAGCTTTGCATACTAACTTAGCGTATTGTGAAGGAGATACTGCGATGCTCATTTCTCCAGGTAACAAAATCTGGCTCATATATTTTTAGAAGCATAAGCAGACCTGGAGCAGCTGCCGATACTGCCTATATACAAACATTCTATGTGTTTTACGGTATTCGTGTTTTTGTGAGGGCAATCAAGAGGAGGTCTGTTCCCATGGGACGAACCAAGTAGAAAAACATTTAATTTAATCAAACATTGGGTATCAAAAACAATTTCAAGAAAAACAAGATTCACATTATATATTTTAGAGTTATTGAGTCAGGTATGGCTCGTGGATGAATGAAATTGTAATTTAAGGATTAATGGTTGGATATCTGACGGAAAAGTTTCTGTGCTAGCCGGATTGACTTGGCCAACATACACCAGTCTAGTTATACCGTGTTTAGTGACTTTGGATAGAGTTATGTCAGAAGCAGCTCCAGTACAGGAGAAAATTGTTGTCATACCCGTGGATGACAGCACACATGCAGACGATGCTCTTACATGTAAGTTATAAGACTTCTGGTCCAAATTTCAACTACTTGACGAATGCTCGATAGCATGCCAAACTTAAATGATGAAGTCAAAATAAAGAAGATAGTCTGGGCATCATGTTGCTAATAACTGCATGTAGAGTGACATACCGGAATAGACCAATAATACTGAAAAAATGGATGCTGGAATTTAGTTTGAATTTCTAATAGTAGTGTCCTATCTTCTTGTACGTAGAGGGAATGTTTAATTACCTAACAACTATTTCAAGTCTATGAAATTTATCTCAGCACATAATATTCTAAATGGAATTTGGAAAATTGAGTGATATATAAGGGTTATGTACTGGGAGGTTTTGGATACTGGGTTTATCCGAAGGGAAATATGTGTATCTCACGAGGGACCGCAGGGACCGAGGGAGATACACATATTTCCCGCGGGATAAACACTGTATTGAAAACTGACCGTACATAACTGGTGTATCTCATACTTGAGTGGGTTTGGGGTAGATATAACCTTTACCACCTTTTTCAAATGACAAGATAGGCCTATACTGTAAAAGCACAATTTATATTAATAACATTTTCATAATATTCCTTCAGCTCAATACAATAGAATTGTAACATTTAAACTTTTTGAAAAATTTTAAACTTCTGAAATTTAAATTTTAAAATTTTTTAAACTTTTGAAAAAATTCCCGGGAGCGGGATGGATATATTATATCTGCCCGCATTTGGCTTAGAGCGGGACATATACAATATATCCTGCCCGCTCCTCAGATATGATATATATTCCCGGGTGATATCTACCCCAAACCCACTCAAGTATGAAATACAACACAGTACACAGTCTCAGGATCCCAAACCCCTGATATCTCCTAGAAATATGGACATAATTAGCTTACCTTTACCCAAAAAGTGTTGTAGTTGGGGCCACTATTAATGGGCCTTTTTGGGCATTAAAATGCCTTTTGAGAATTAAATGGACTTCTTGGCCTTAATTTTCAAAACATGGGCCTCATTATAGGTTTAAGGGCCCTAATTTTTCCGATTTTGACCCCCTTAACAATTTTAGAGCCCCACCCACACCCTTACCAAAAGCTGGATAGGGACGTTTATCCCATACTTGGACGTGTTACAGGTACATAAAGCCGGTTTGTAAAAACTTATATTTTCATCAGCGGGCAGATATAGCTTTACGTCCCGCTCCGAGCGGGCAGATATAGTATATCTGCCCGCTACGTCATAATCGCTGTTCCCGTATTGATTCTTTTTTTGTAACGTTCGATCATACTGTAAACGACAATGGAGAAAAACGCAGACAATCGCGATCTGTTTGATGCTTTTAAGAAGGGAAGGAGCAGTATGCCCCATTAATAATCAAAGATTTGAACAGGAAAATCCGGCTACGGGACAATAATACAAAACTGGACATGAATATTTTTAAATAACTCCACAGTTGGTTGCAAAGTTTCTGAACTGTGGCCAATTGGACAATGTGATTGGTATGGGATAAACAGATCATCCTATAGTCGGTTCAGGATATTCGGATTATCCCTTGGCCAATATAATACATCTACCCTCGGGACCTACGGCCCTCGGGCAGATATATTATATTGGCCTTGGGATAATCCCAATATCCTGAACCTCATATAGGATAATCTCTATATATCCTCATGATCTGCATTTATGTTTACACTATATTGTTGAGAACAGATTGAAGTAGAATGCATTATTATTGTACCTACTAATTTTGCTCAAGTAATCTCCTCATTTTAGATCTTGTCTTATTCTTATTCTTGTTTACGTTAGTGTTGAACTCGTATACATACATTCCAAAAGGTTGTTGTTGCTATACAACGGATATCTGGTGATTCTAAATAAAGGGACTACAGTGGTAAACAATGATATATTTTATGCTACTCGATCTGCAACAGAAGACATGCATATTTGTGATATTTAAATCTCGACCGTAAGGAAGTTTAAAAGCATCCGATTCGATGTATAATGTTTTATTGAAAAACACAACAGTCTCTGATTCTCAGTTATGTTCAAAACAGGAATCATCCTACCTGTCCAATTCAATTACAATACCTCCTGTCAGGTACAACTTAACAAGTACCTAGTCAAATTATACCTGTTATTTCGCAAATCATCAGGAAAACTTGAAGAAGAGGAACTCTCCTGGGGGTCAGGTTACTTGGGATTGAGAGGATGTTTTCGCACTCAACACCCAAAACAACACCATGCACTTTTCAATAATAAATGTATGGATATATCAGAGTGTAAATTCCAAATTAATGTGAGGTGATTTGGTCTGATGGACGACTGAAGAACTACTTAGAGTAATCTTTATCCTCATAAGTAGCGGTTACATCCTTACAGAATGGGGATATAAGTCGTGTTTCATCGCCGATAAGGTCTATGAAGCGTACATTAGAAGAGCTGCTGTTGGTCAGACGCATCAAACGATCATATGCAATCGATTGATTTTGATAACTACCAATTTATGTGTTTTCAAAACCAGACGTATGCGCTTGTACTTGGAATTGAGCAAATCATGAACATTTCGAATCCAAAGTAATAAACTAACTCCTAGAATCCTGAACCCCTTCAATTTTGACATTATATGCCCATTGTGATATACATTTTGCTGTTTGATTGTTCTGGTAGGGAACAAAATATGTTTGGAATAAACAAATGGTGAAAGCCTTAGTATGAAACAATTTGCTGGCGAACGATTATCATCCCAACGAACGAAGTTCGGTAGGGATATAGTGACGTCCTCCCTTCGTCAGTCCCTCCGTCAGTTCGTCCGACGTGTCTGTAGAAGTCTGCATAACCAATACGAAACAAAACCAAGTGAAATAGTACAGGAAGTAAAAAGGGCTTTGTATAAAAAACCTCCTTCCTCATACCCACCTACCCACCTACGTGGAACATGATACGGTCATTGAAGGGTTCAATTTTAAAGATTATTAATCTCAAAATTATTAACATTTCTACAATTCTGGCTTTATTTTATGATTAGACAGATGACAGATCCATAGATAAAGGCATATGGATGCATTTTAATGTGTAATGACCCGAGGGCGCCCCAGGGGAATAAATAACTAACGACCGCGAGCATAGGTCCAACAAGCCAGATAAAGAAATTGAAAGAAATTGTGCTAAATTCGATTTAGTAGCAACTTGCTATCAAGTGTCGTTACAAATGCATCTATAATTCATCATAAACTAAGATTTAATAAACTAAGATCTTTAAAATTGAACCCTTCAAAGACCGTATCATGTTCCACGTACGTGGGTAGGTGGGTATGAGGTAGGCGTTTTTTTTATACAAAGCCAGTAAAAAGACCAAGAAAGAAGAAATAAAGGAGTAAACAGCTCAAATAGGGGGCGTATTTTCGTAATAGTTGGTGGAAAAATTGGTGATTAGTTTTAGATCTCTCTAAAGTATGAATTTTTCATATTCAAATTAAACAGATTTTAGATAAATTGCAAATATATCATTTTTAGATTCGTGCCTCATGAAATCCCAAATGGCCGCCTGGTATTTTTCCCAAAAATCTAATTTTTCACTTCCAACTAAAGTAATAGGTGTTCACACTTTGAAATGAAATCTTGGCACTTCAATCTGAAATGTATCTATTCCACATATCATCCGTTGTACGAGGGGTCGAGAAAACAGACATTTTCATTAATTTTGAGATCTCTCATTTGAAATCTCTTCAAAGTACAGCTCAAATCCAAGATATTTCATTTAATTTAGAGTTATTGCATTATTCATCTTATTTGTGCTTCGGAAAATCTATTTAAGTGTCACCTCATACAAATACGAGGTCTCTTGAATGACTGTTATTATACTGATATATCGTGATATGATATTGTAACATTTCAGATTCATGTATAAGTAGTTCGTTGGATTTTGCTACTCCGCAGAATTGCCGTTTTCTGATTCATTTCGATAAAATAAGAGATTCTCCAATATATTAGAACATTCATAACAAACATTGAACTATAATCTGTTTAGGCAGTTTTTACCAACAATAAACGCCATCAAACAATCAGACAATAAGAAAACAAAGAATTAGACAAACACAACAGCATCCCATAATCAGATGTTGTTTACCATGTTTAGAGTGACATAGATGAAAAGGTTCCGAGATATGAGCTGATAGGCTTGATAGATCTTTAATTAGTTTTTTAGGATGATTTATTGTATAGATCCATATCCATTCGTTTGTACCATGCTATGGCATGCAGATTATCTATATGAATGGGTTTTAAGTGAGGAAAAATAATACGTTGAGAAAATATATTTTGGATCTTTAGGAACGTTATCTTTTCAACGATTTGATAATCTAGCTAAGTGCTCTTGTGATACCCCCTCACTACACCCCTCCTCACAAGGTATCGCATGTTTCATAGGCCTATCGCTGATAAGAAGTATTTCGTCTATTCAACAAGTATAATATGGGAAACTATTTTAGATATGAAAACATTACCCTTTAATACAATGTTGTACTACTTTCAAATATAGCTATCTTAAGTACAGGGTAACCACAAAAAGTTACCCTCTATTTTTGGAATTCGTTATGTCGTATACTGTTCTCATAACCACTGAGCTACACAATATAATAATTTATAGTGTTTTACTCTAGGCTTCAAAATCACTGCAATGTAATTTGGTATATTTACAGGGTACTTGGAACACATTCACAGGGAGGAGTTTTACGTCGTTGTGGTCCATTGCTTTGATGTCTCCCTGTCATTATATGGAGCGTACCATAGTCGTAAGTATGGTGTGTGTCCGCTTTATTTTATATTTCCTTACTAATACTTTCCTAAATATTTCTAACCATTTGGAATACATAACTATAACATTATTTAAATGTATGGTGGTGACTTTCCGATTGTGGTGTCGTTATATATAACACCAAACAATTAGAACTAATGAAAAAAGAATATATTAAATTCAGAACACAACTACTAGTATACAATCAAATATTAATTGGTTTAATTCCCTTATGCTTCAAAGAATTCATTGAAAAATTATTGCCAAGTCACTGTTGTGACGCAATTTATAAGGATTTAAAGGTTGTATGTAAAGATAAAAGTGTTTTCACTCCTCTTCAAAGCCTCATAATGCATGTTGCTATATTACTTTAAATATGGGGTCTAATAAGTCCCGTCCTCCCTCTACAGCCAAAACCAAGATATATGGCACCAGGTGTACATATACCATTGAAGAGAACGTCCAAAGATACGTTGATTGGCATATATCTGATACCATGGACTTCTAATCACTGTTATTTGAAGTCCATGCTGATACCTGTCTATTAATGTCACAAATTACTCCATTACGTAATGTCGATCAATTGAGGGGCGAGAGACAATATATTCGCCATATGTGGCAGAATTTTAAGAACCAGGCATCAGAAAAGTCAAACGAGCTCAAGATGAAAACACACAGAGTGTATGTATTTGGAAGTAAAAAACAATTTCTGGATAAATAGTGTAGAAAAAGAGGGGCGTGGTCGTGAAGACTTTTTGTAACAAGTAGAATTCGGGGTATTGCTGAGGTCATAACTGTCTCATTTTGACGCAATAAAAGCTGAATATAAAAAATTTAAATCTTAAACCTATCTACATTCCCACAACTTGTGTTTAAAGTATCTCAGAGGACAAAATAGTAAGATTTATAGTCATTTGCGGTAAGTAGACATCTGTACTCCTGCTTACTGAGTTTAATTTCATCAATATTGTGGACAAAATTGAAAATTTGTTAATATCGATAAACCGTCGATTTCAAAGTTTAACATTAATTCATTACTAGTATATTTCGCCATGCAAACTCATATTGTTGAAAACTACAAAGTAATGTTCAGATACACCTCTCAAGTCGGAACTTTATATTCTTAAACATTCTCTAGTTTAACATGTATTAACTTTGTTGTTTGCACCTATAAACTTTACATCAGATAAATAAGTGATTGAACAATACTCAGTAAAATGTCGGTGCTGTTTTTTTGGACCACCCTGTAGAAAACAACTTCCCGTTTAGGAACATTTAATCATATAAAAAGATCATTTGAACATTTGACATAAGTATATATTTTGTCAACTATTTTGAATAAAACAAAGTCTAGTCAGCTTCTAACTGGTTAATAATAAAACGCTAATTGTTTGAAAAATCCACTTGCAATCAAATTCTACATTTATATTGTACACAACTTTGGGACTTGGGTGATACTGTTATGCAGTCAACTCGATTCGGGGTCGTCAACTCCCCTGAAATTACCAACGGATTTGATTGGTGAGGTCAGTGTGAAAAATGTTGTGATTGGCGGATGAACTGACAGGCCTTAGAATTTGATCAGATAATTATGATGACGGGTATCAAAAACTGAGTCGACGGGTACGAGAAACTGATTTTACGGGTAGCAGAAAATAAAATGACGGCGCTAAATCTGAGATGACGGGTACCTGAGAAAAACATGACTGAGATAGCGACACTGTATTTCAAATTAATTCCGGCAGAGGCGCCAGTTTTTGGTCTCGAACTATCATTTACCTTGAATTATTTTATACATAATGTTATCTTTTATATTTGAGCTTAAGAGCGTTTGAATAAAAGTGAAATGATGGGTATGGCTATTGAGATGACAAATATGACTAAAAATGACGTGTGGCACGAATGCGTACTGATGTTCAACTGACATGATGACCGGGCAGCTTCGGTATTTTCCGGAAAAGTATTCAGTTGACGACAGAAGAGTGTCTCCCTTTAGGAGTTCAGTAATATGAAGCATATTCAATATATGAGATAAGATTCAATGCGAAAATGCATGTTTCATTGTACCCAAGCTTATAGTATGACTGACGCAAATGGCTGAATGAATGGAGGTGGTGTGAAAAATAGCCGAACTGTCTTAAATGTGCTTATACCAATGTCATGTAGTTTGATTTAAAATATAATTAATTAAAACAGAACCAAAAACCAACTTCATCCTACTGTTGATCACGTTTGTTCATGAAGATATACGCGTACACTGGTACGTGAACGCATTATATCATAGCTAGAAAAGCATGACATGATTTCTATGCATAGTTGGTCGTGATTCTGGTATGTTAATGTGATATATAATTTTTATAAGTTATACGTTTTCCAATATATATAAAAAATATCAGGAAAATAACCTTCAAAGTTTTGAAAGTAAAATACTATGCCAACTGAATTACTTTATTCATATTGAATTAGATTCAATAAATATTTGGAAAGATTAGCTTATGTAAGGAGTACAAATCCCAATATATGATATACCCAAATATTAATATTTCAGCATTGCAATATTTTGAATAGCTCGCTCATATTTTGCCACGCTTGACACTAGTGTCATTTATATTGCATTGTTGCTCTGTTACACAATATGCATCACTCATTGTATGTACTATTCAATTAGAACGATGTATTCATGTTTCGATAACTAGTTATGGTATATACTTTCAGCGGAGGCAGTGCATGTCGTATTAGAGGAAGAAAAAGCCAGAATGAATGAACTGATTCAACGATATAAGACAAAACTTGAGTCAACGATGGCACGACACGCTGTAAGTTACGATAAAATATGTACAACCTTTTTATTCTGATTATCAATTACTTTTTTTTGTCCAACAAAACCAAAACTTGTTTAACTGAGTCAAACATACATATTTGTAAAGTAACTTTCTGATCTCGACTATGACGCATGTTTCAGATTAAGGGCAGAGTGACGTCATTAAGCGGCAAAGCGGGTGAAGCTATCGTCAAATTCGCTAAGGAGGAGAACGCCACTATGATCGTCATGGGGAGCAGAGGCCTGGGGGCAGTCAGAAGAACTATTCTGGGATCCGTGTCGGACTATGTTTTACATCATTTTAAAGGACCTGTTCTTATCATACCCAAACAAACCAAACAAATGGAGATAAGTAACAAGGAATGCGATGCTAAGATGATAAATTTATGATTAATTTAAGAGTTTGACTATGTTGTTGTTTGGTTTAGTATATAAATGGTGTGGTAATAAATAGCATTGTATAAAAACATATAAACCGTATCGACTATACCGTTTTCAAGAGCTTTATATGATTCCTATACCCCAAATAGCACTAGACAGAACCATTGCAAAATACAACCCCATCTTCCGAGTTATTTGGCACATCGATGGCATTAAACTTTATTGTCTTTACCCGTTTATTCCAATACATGTATAAGTGTTCTATAAATCTTGCTCATTCAGTCTTTGACTTTTGTGCATATGCATCAGCAATACAGGATTAATGACGTCATGATGAATTGTCATGGGAACGACTCTCGAGAAATGACAAACATTTAGCTGATTTTACAGATATGCATGTGTATTTGTTGTAACAAGATGCCATGCAATTTACGGCAATCGCTGATGAAAATGCCGTTCAGAGGGACAACGAGCATAGATTGGATTCAGATGACGGTCAGAATTATTGCCTAATAGTTGTAAGCTCAGGGGACAATATTAAACAAAGCGGTGATGCACATTCGGATGATAAAGACATAACTGAATTACCCAATTGCGGGGTAGATTCCGTAATTGATTCCAAGAGTAACAAGACAGAAGCTCTATCCGAAACTTGTGAACCAGATTGTGATTGTACAAACACTGTTACCACTGAAGAACACGATGAGACTTATTTCCATTCTCCTTCATCAATTACGAGCGTGGCATCCTCCACTAGTACACTATCAAATGGTAATATCTGTCGAATATGCTTGAGTAATGATCACGAAACGCCTATGGTATCCCCCTGTAACTGCAACGGAACTGTTAAATTCTGTCACCAAGAATGCCTTCTCGAATGGCTCTCTATCAAAAGATCTAAAGAATGTGAACTTTGTGGAACAAAATTTAGAGTGTGGAACTCCGGCTATAAACAATTTCGACAATGGGTTTGCCCACCTTTATCAGGTGTTGACAAAACTCATTTAGCTCTTTTTCTTGTCTGCGTGCTTACTCTGTTTATTTCCCTCGGCTGGATACTGTGGAATGTCAGCAACAAATCTGGGAGTGTTTATCACTCACGAATACGCACTGCAGCAATTATTACATATTCAATATACGGACCGTTGGATATTATAAGTCTCGTCCTTATTATTTTGGAAATCAAATACACAATTCTCCCCATTTTTGATGCCTTTAGAACTTTAAATAGTATTATGATTATTAAGAACCATACCAGATTCTCAGAAGAAAATATAAGTATCAATAAAGATGGCGCGTGGATTGATACTGAGCAATTTACAATATGTGAAAGTGAAGTGCTGGCCTGAGAATCGCCAAATGAACATTCTACATTTATAACTTACTTATTATGATTTTAAATCAGCTAGTTCTATGAATACTAAATAAATACAGCAAGAGATCTTATTTGATTGTTCTATGTGACAATGAATATCATATGGTTAATAGACTAGATGCGAGTAGAAATGATCTTGATTTACGTCATTAAATATTCAAAATTCAGTCAAAGTGATGTCATATTTGAAATCTACATGTAAAAATACATCTAAAAATAAGGTTTCGAAAATTGTTTATCTACTTTGAAAATTTAATCTTTTTTGAAAATGTAACTTCTAATTCGGGTTGATTCCCCATAGACCCCATATTACAAAATCACAAAAAGTGAAATACCTTTTCTTGTATTGGACATATAACATTTTATTTTACTAGACATACTTTAATTTGCATAACTCTTCGATACATAAGGGCTATATGAAAATTGAACCACTAAAGCAGATGTAATTTAAGTTAAAGGGAACTTTCTACTATACCCGCCATGCTATCTGAGCTTCCTAGTCAACTCGTACCCAAGACAAGTCGTACCCAAGACAAGTCGTACCCAAGACAACTCGTACCCAAGACAACTCGTACCCAAGTTTATTATCAGTATTAAGGGTGCATATTAGGAAAACAAATTGAGTTTGTATAATAATGTTTTCATGTTAAAATGTGAATCAAATAAGCCTCAATATTTTCTTTTGAATTTAGAAGACATTTTTTCTCGATTCATTGAGTTAAGCATTTTGATTTAACTTTTGAGTCACTTTTTTTATACAAAATAGAAGAAGTACTTGAAGAGCTTGTTACAACATTTTTTGTAAATAAATATAATTACAATTGTAACTTTTCTACAAATGAATCAAACAATTAATTTTGTGCATTTAGAGAAAGTTTAAAGGAAGTTTAATCTGTTAATTTATTTTTTTCTACTTGGAACTAAATTGGATTATGTTTGAGCACATGTGAACAAAATGTATTATATCATGTATGAATATTAATATTATAAATTAAAATATTTTAATTTCTGATAATATGAAATCCTAGACAAATAGACTATCTGTTAAATAAGAAATAAGGCCCAAGATTTGATAAATCTATACATTTATAATAATACCACCCTTCAAGATGAATTAGATCTGACACTTGTTCTAAACACTCATAAACATTTTGAAAAATGATTAGAAATATGTGTAATAAACATAGGTCTCTTCACTCAAACATCCTGAATCTATGACCAATATAAAATAACAGTCAAAATAAATTGACAATCAAAGCTCAAAATGTCACAAAATTAAATTAATTTCTTCCGAAAATGCTTCTTCAAACTTTAAACTATTCTGAAGAGTATGTAACAATTATAATATGTATATCTTTTTACATTCCCAGTCCAACGTTTGATTCAAAACAAAATATATACTTGGGTACGAGTTGTCTTGGGTACGAGTTGTCTTGGGTACGACTTGTCTTGGGTACGAGTTGACCAGTTACCCTATCTGACCCGAGCGAGCCACCTGGTGGTGAAACTGGTAACTACCTACTCGCATTTGCATATAATTCTTTGCAATTGATTCGTTAATGTTGGCTTTAATTCTCCATTCATTCGTCGTGCTCACTGGTGGAGATACTTAATAATGTATATCCTTATTCATCCATTATTGTCCAACTTGACCGCAAATCTGAGAGAGAAATGAGAATATTAAACTATCATTTATAAATAACAATCAAATAGAGATAATAACTTACATGTTTATGATTTATAAAGTCATACAGATAAACATATTTACATAAACAAAACTAGAATAAAATAACCTACGATCTACTTTGGCTTGATGCTAATCCTACGCACTATTAAATTGTATAAAGTGGCATTCAAAGTCATTCCTGTTCAAGAATACGGTAATTAATGACGTTACGTAATGAAGTATCACGTAAAGAGGGGTATCTGACACATGTACACATGCTGCTGATCAGACAAACGAATGCCCAGTAGATACTATAGCTCCCATGATAGAAAGGGGGTGGTGAGGAATCTGACTCCCGACCATGCTTGGTAGACAAATAGTGCGGTAGATAGCCCCATGAAGAGATGTACGTACGTAAAGTACGGAAGATGGGTAATTCTGACATAAAATACTGCCGGAAAATGAGAGTGTGAAATTACTTGGGGGTTAGAACGAAGTAATGAGTGTGAATGCCATATCATTTTTCCATTTAGAAGTTAATAACTTACAGTAAAATAGTGGTGAAACAATGCAATTGTATTGGTAAAATGAGAGCAACAAGTAAGATCATTAAATTATGTATATTGGCCTTACAGTTATTGGTTATATCCCACTGTCTCCGTAGCAAATGTTACCGAGGCATCAATGCAAAATAAAAGCACATGATTTCAAATGGATACACCAGATGGGCAATGGTTGTGCATCATAACCCTCCTGATATCATGTCTGATTTCAGGTAATATTTTACAGCGTTTTACAGACATCCAGTTACCCTGGATGAAGCTCTCTTTTAAGAAGTGAAATCGAACGAATACAAAGGGTAACATTCAGTCTATATCCATACTATGTACATATCATAACACATACATTATACAATAACAACATAGCTCAAATTCAAAAACAGCATTGGCCTAGGTGAAAATGTTTCAGCCTGGTATTTCTATCGTCTATTATATCACTTGCTCAGTGTGTTCGTGAGATTCACAATTATATTTCTTGGTCAGTTGATCGTTTTTTATTCCGTCACGCAGTGCTTCCTTCCTCAGTTATAATGTTTTCTTTGATCTTTTCATTCTTCAAATCTTTTACCATCTTCTCCATCTATAATCAAAGCATCAATAATACATCAAATCTAATTGCATTGTTGATGAATAGAAATTTTCTAAATGAGCTTTGGGTTATTTGAAATATGTGGGGCAAACATATCTTCCCGAGGTCGAATGTATTTCTCTGAAAAAGATGTCTTGTATGCCAAACTTACCGCACTGAGCTTGGCCTTAGTAACATTAAGTTCTTCCCTGAGTTCAATCGCCTTCTTGTCCTCAATTGCGGTCACTTCCGTTCGTGTACCTCCGTTGTTTCTCCCTGTGTATTCATCTTCAGTATCCTCCGAACCAGCCTTTCTCGACTGGCGCAGTTTGAGCAACTATAAACAGGATTATTTACGATGATTGGTATACGACTATCGAATTCATGTTGGGCATTGATAATTTATTGTTCCTTGAAAATAATGAAAGCCTAACTAATACTAAATAAAATTTTGACGTAACTTGAAACATTTGGATTTCGAACTTCAATACCTTTGGTACAAAAATGATGCCTTGTGTCATGCTTGTCCCTAGTATGATAAAACACGATGTAAACGCATACTGTAACTCAGGCTGCGCCTCCAAGACCATCGTCAAGGTAACACCAATGACACTCAACACAACCACGTTGTAGATACAAATCCCGATGTTTTGTGAGTCGTTCAACACAGGAATCTTTACCTTTGAAAATATTGCGGAACATTGAATGACAGTTTCCAATCGAAGTTATTACAATGAACGTCAATATCATAATTTTTTATGTCATCATCACATAGACGCCGTTTCTCACGAGCGGTGTTTGACTTCGACGTCTGTAACAAATAATTGTGACACTTTCAAGGTGGTGACATCTTGTAATGTCAACGCATTCAGATTACTTACTTACCTTTCTAGTTTCCCAAGCTAGGAAACAACCAAATATGAGCAAAAGTCCCTGAATACCGTACAGTGTAACCAAAAAGTATATTTTCTTCTCAGAATCGCAAATGAAGTGCTGGTAGTGCACAATCGTATCTCCGCCATCTTTCTCCTAAACATAGGTGTTCATGGATATATTGTTTATTCAATCGTACAAATAGACTTCCTGGAGTACATATTTTTAAAGGAATAGTAAAGGAAAAGGAATTTCTTTCATGACAATCTTTTCAAGAAGCAGGCTAATGTTTAATTTACAATCCTGATATCGTTTTCTAACATATACCCCTACCTTTCGAATATAAAAGTTGTTTGAATTTCAAATGTAGAAATGTCCAAATTCATTAGAATTGAGCAGGGTCATCAAATCTATCATATTCGCCAGATATCCTTACAAAATTAGAGGAGTATCTGATTCTATTCTTCTCTCATATACTCAATTTCAATAAACAAAAACAATCACTTAGCTAATGAGATTATAATATGTTGATTCAGCTGGTCGCATCAGCTATGCTAATGATTATTACTTTTTTTAATTGTGCCATGATAATTTAGATCATTATTGTTTTGTTCAAAAAGGTTGCGTAAAAAACGTCTATATTTTTTATTCAGAACCTTTTGAGTTGTTTTTTGGTGTTGGTACGAATTTCATTAGTTTTTGTTTCCGCAGACCAGGTTTGCAATTTGTGCTAAAGTACCATAAACGTCCCAATGGGATTCTGAATCAGCAAGGTTAATACATGGGGGTCTGAATGCTAGAATAGTTGTCAACAGAACGTCATTTTTACACGAAGTTGTAAGTATTAAAACAAAAGAACATAGAATGTGCTTTGTAGGGAAAGATATCTGGCATGTGGCATACCTCAGACTTCGACTCGTGCGCCTCCTCATACAATGGGTCAACTACCATCCATACAATAAGTATGATTGAATTGATCAACACCAGTCCCATTGTCATAATGATTAGCTGACTATCCTTCACAACCTGTATCACACAATGGCGTACGTCAAAGTAACCCAAATCAATTATATTGTTTACACTATTTCGCATTGACATGAACTACATAATGTAGACTATCCAATAAATTAATTGACGCTGAAAGATCAATTGGGACATAACTGACCTTTTTCTTTAGTTGAACATTTGTGAATATTGCGTGTACTCTCCATGTTTTGGAGAACAACGCTCCGAATGCCATGGAGAATCCGATCGTCAGTGAGAATGCATTCAACTAAAACAATCGGAGTAAAATCGAATAATGTATAACATACAGTAACTATTGATAGATCACTGAATACATTTTATATCTCACAATAAGATCAATTTCAGAGGTCATCTACACATTTCCTTTGCGAAGCGTAAAGTAGACAATTATTTAAAAATTATTTATCGAAATATCCTGATATTAACTATGGTCTGATTAAAACAGTTTAAATAGTAAATAAACTGTTGATTTACCCTACAAAACAAAGCTTCTGGATCTGGCTGAAGGGCCTGCATAAACACAGCTGCATACGAGAAAATACAACCCAGTAGAATGAGGTTGTTTAATAATGGTGAAGACATCTTGATGATCCTATATGAGCAAAACAAAATCTTGAAAATAGAGAATGGTCATAATGATCGCATTTACTTGCAACAATCAGAACAGTCGGTGGCGATATTGAAATACCAAGGCAAAATTAATTAACGTATGTATGTGTTACTTATTTCGAGTATACCATTCGATGGGTGTGATATTCATGTTGTACTTGGCTGGATGTTGACGTTTGAAGCAATTAGGAAGAGCTGTACGAAGCAGTTTAGTTATCAGAATTCATAAACGTTTTGTCATTCTACCGGTCAAAACCCCTTTTGTCGAGACATGTGATTAGTTGAGTCAAAATATGAGTATCAGAGTATATCACCGAAAATGCAGTCTTAAAAATGATGATGAATTCTCATATTTAAAAAAACGCTGTTATCTGATGAACACAGTGAACAGCTGGAAACGCTGCGGTTGTAGTCTAAATATGTTTAGGAATTTGCTTGGCTTTGGTTTTCAGGAATTTCCGCGAGAATGAAACGCTCCATCATGCATGTAAGAGCGTTTGGGTTGGACACCGTGGTCTACTGCAGACTTCTAGGGTACATAGCATACCATTATTTGTATCGTACTATAAACATTCCAAGGTAAAAAGTCAATATCTAGATATTTGGCTTTTTAGATCCTTGGTCTGTGCTTTGAGCCTCAACGACCTATGATCAGTTGACCCGAGGTCAAGGTCAACTTTGTGGGTCAAATTCATTCACAGTCAAAGCTCAATATTTTGTTATTTGCTGTGTTAATGCATTTGGGGCTGTTGTGACCCTTTGCGACCCATGATTAGGTGACCTGGGGTCAAGATCATTCTTAGATCGAAGGCCAATATCTACATGTAGATATTTGATGATTTAAGGTCATTAGGGCTGTTGTGACCCCTGGGGACAAATGATTTGATGACCTGAGGTCAAGGTCAATGACAAGACACTGCGATAATGAGGTTCGACGACATAAAACCCAAATGCTCAGCTCTTTCAAACTTAATCACGTGCTATTAAAGTGTCTAGACTCCAGGCCATGGGCCAAATATAATTTGTGACAACAACGAGATGTAATGTTAGCATTAATATAAAACATAATCTGAATATATTCTTATTTAGGGAGATACAATGACAGCATAATAAAACATAAACGGTATTTGGATGTTATGCCCGCATTCTGTTTAATGCTATATTTTTTTATTTATGTAAGAGCAACCAATAAGCTGAAACTGTTGAATACACATTCTATCTCACCGCGGAAAAGTTTTCCCATTTACTCAATTTCCGTTCAATTAGGAGTTACTTGACACACATTGAACGACAGTTTGTGCCCTCGGTTACCATCGAAAGTTTGGCATTTTTCTTTGTTGACCAAACTCATTATTTACACTGAGCAATTGATCAAAATAATTCCTTTTGATACAATTACAATATAAGTACTGATCAATTTTAACTTCAAGGATACTAACCTAACGTTTCTATATATGCTATTGATAATGAGAAAGACAATAGCAACAATGATCCCAATGGCTGATAATGTACACATTGTACCATAGACAGCTAACGATACACGCTGGGGGGAATCGATTGACTGTGTAGCATCCTTTGGAGGCGACCCACCTGAAGGACAATACATCAAGTTTTAAACAAAAATCTAAAATTATAGTAATCTTTCATAAATTAAAAGGAGGTTTATCTACATTTATATCCAACGGGCTTACAGTATATCCCCAAAATTAATGATTATACTATACTCTAAAATATTTTGACCAATTTACTTCAATATTGTGAAAATGGGAATTTTGCACCCACTTGAGAAAAACTATGTGGAGATCACTGTAACTTATGAGAAAATAAGCGCATTGTATACCTTCCCAAACAAGTGGAGAAGAAGATGACCATTGCAACTTGTTACCACTTTCTCCGTCGGGATGGTAGAACCCTACTTTCTGTTTCACACCACCTGAAATAATGACAAATAGGCAATAGTAAATAAATAAATAATAACGAAACATAATCATGTAAACGCAGTTTTATTCATTATATTTGCTTGGTCGATGTATCGGTCTGATTGCCCTTAAATCTTCTTATGATATCATCTTCCTTTAGAATATATAATTAATGAGCACATTAAGTCAAAAACGTATCACCTTGCTTTCGATCAATCTGTACCATACCAACAGGATCAAAGTTGTCATTAAAAGACAAAGCGCCCCTGACACCAGTGAACGATACCCTCTTCATGGATTCAAACACCATCTCTGTAAGTTCACTATCATGGTAATCAAAATCTTCTAGTCCTTTCGAACTGCCTAAAATAAATGAAACTAGTGTTAAATATGGTACCAATGTGTCACCAAAATGAACACGAAACAGGGGAACTGAATAGATGTGAAATAGTAGACACATTACCCGAAGCTGCAAGCTGCTCCATCGTATCATGAAGACCAAGGGCTACGGCCCAAGCAGCATCATATCCCTGGGGGGCCATTACGGCGCCAAACAATACTTCATGATTCGTTCTTATGCCATATTCCTCCAAAAAATCGTCTGGTGTTATGCCACCTATTCCTGCTTCTTGCACTGGGTTAAGATACACAATTCCTTCAAAATATATAGACAAAATAGAAAGGACATGACCCGAGATAATAAATAGAGTATTTGACCGTCTTCTGATATACTTTGCTTACAGAAGAAACACATATGACAACGTTACTGCACATAGGCCCAATTTGCGTTATCATGTTCTTTCATCTGGCTGACATAATAATAAATATATACATTTTACATTCTATTCTATTCTATCACTGTTAAATTATATATCTGCTTTATATGGGCTTCATTAGCATTTTGCAGACATAGACATAGACTAATGGAATCCATGTTTTACCTGTCGCAATATATCCCTCTGCCGCCGTAGCTACCTCTTCTGGTGTACACGTGATAGAATCATCTTCGATAGACCACCATTCATCATCCCACCAACCTACCACAATCCATTGATATCTCGGTCCATAAAGGTCATTCTTGTACGCCTAGAAGCAAGTTTAATATCTCTTTGATTCAGGAAATTTGAACATACAAAGTATCTCGAGTTTAGCATGGCATTCTTCACTTTTGAATCGAACTCACTAGATGGCCATGGATCGTTTAGATTCTTTTATTATGACTAGTTGTATAATCATTCTATTGTCAATTCTCCTTTCAACAAGGGTTCTTTTTTACCCGGCGTGCAGAGTTTAGTTAGGAGACGAAGCTCTCTTTTAAGAAGTGAAGTCAAACGAATGCAAAGGGTAGTTCTTTTTTGAAAGTTGTATCTAACGAAATGAAGAAATCAAAGATTCGGACATGTAAAATGCGGTCAACTTGGACATTAATGGAGGACAATTTGCCAACCACAGTAAGAAGTGAGAAAGCACAGATAGCACTTTTACATACTAACCTCACAAAATACTTTTCTTGCCATATCCTGATAAAATCCACCAACTATTATTCGCGCATCTTGGTTCTGCAATACATTGATGATGTCATTGTAAGCATTGTAAGGATTTCAGAATATTTTTGTACGTATCTTTGTCTCTTGTTCTAAGAATTTTGGGGAAGGATGATTCAGTTTTCACAGGGACCATATTCATTTTTTTTGATACAACTGATTCCATTATTTGGTAGCTCTGATTTCTTTAAATACCAGTATATCATTTACTATAGTACATATGTTATGCTTCTAAAATTTGCTACGTCACGGATATACCTTCAGACTCTCGACTTGTAGAGATGGATCATTGCTGAATATTTCTGACGTCACCAGTGTCATATTCTCGTCCTTCAATCTGGCAACAAGATCCGTTGTCACCTGGCAAGAGGAAAGGTGTTTTATATTACTTATAGGCAGACAAGAAAGCCACTTTCATCTATCATATTAAAGTCTAGTTCATCCTTGCTTGATTTGAAAAGCGAGAGACAACAGTAATAATTAAACGAGGCCCCTCTTTCGGGTTGTTTGTGAAATCACAATGATGTAATTACACCAGGGACAAAAAGTACTTATCAAAACACCACGTCGATGTGTAATCCTTAAACCATATCATGAAATGTTAGCCTAAAATCTTACATCTAGTCATTGTTCATATTTTTAGTGAGTAGCTTTTACATCTTCAAGGCATTTTACTTAGCAAGTTCGAAGTCAAATTATTGTATGGTTGCTATGGTAACCCTTGTATAACTCAATCAAAATTAGTCAAGTGGGTATGACTTAAAAATAAAAATGCGGCAATGTTTTAAACTAGTTAAGTTGCATTTTCAAAGAACACATCATTAGTGATATGTTAAAAAACTGTTCACTTTCGTGTTTGAAGTTTGTCAAATATTTCACAAAATGCACAAAGAATAACACAGTCAATTATCAGTTCTGTCAAGTTGAGAAATATCCGAGACCTTTGGATTCACTCGATATTAATATTCATCATATCGGTTTTACTTACGGCTGAAAACAGCTCCAATGACTGATGTATCGTAGCTATGCGGTTCCAATTAAACTGCTTCATAATTTCAATCCTTGATGGGTTAACGGTCACATCCGGGGCACTGACCCGGAAGAACTTGGGAAATCTCGTCTTGTCTGACAATGCTGGAGACACACTGGCATATGATATCTATGAAGCAAAAACAGATGGTATCGTAAAAGGGATGGGTCGCTCACGTTAAGAGTGTTACATGGTAAACAAAAATCATTCAGAAATACATATTATCTTTCTTAAATGAAATGTCGATATTTTGTTTTACTCTGGTGCCGTCCTACTGACCTGTACAATATTCCAGTTGTGTGAAGCCTGGGATGTCGCCTGACTGACTGCTGAACAGGCAGCCCCAATAATCATGATTTTAGTTGGCGCTGAATACAGAAGCTCGTACATGACATTAGTGCCGTGACCTGGATTACACTGAAAAAAATGAAATAGGCTGTTGGACACACTGTCTTTCCATAAATAAACGAAGTACCATTATATTATACCAGTGGCGGGTTCGCTTTTGAAGGAGGTGATGGAGTATGGGACTCGCTTTGCAATGGGTGTTAGCCCAATATTAGACATAGACATAATATTGTTTTGTATTTGACTGTATACATGTATTTTGTAAACTACACTCCCCTCCATAAGTTTGGCAACCTTTTTTCCCCATTGAACTACGTGTTAAAGCCTCTTTACTTTTGAATTTTTATTTACTTAACCGGCGATGAAATAACTTATAATATTGATGGAAAAGTAACTTGACTTTATTTCCAATACCTCCAAATTTTCTCAATTTTTTTCATCAATTACAATAGGTCGACAATTGATGATAAATTTGATGAATTTTTGAAAATCGTCATTCTCATGTAATCCAATGGAAAATGGAGGGTTCTGGGCAAATCAGAAATCAGGATATCTTTTCAGTAAATGATTCAGCAAAAAATATTTTTATATAGAAAATTGAATTGTCTAACTTTTTTTAACACTAAGTGTTTAGTTTATTTGATGAATATTAAAGTTACAGCGCTTCAAACTCATGTTTGAAAATAATTTTTCGCCTCCTGTGTTATTTCAATGGGAGAGGTTTTTTGAAAAACAATTTTGACTTTAAAGCCCTATAACTTTGTTGAACCTGAAGAAACATATCAATTTTTTGTTAAATAAAGTTAGCAAATTCGATTGCCTGCCTAACTCGTATTTTTTGCAAGGACTCGGATGGATGGATATTCTGTCATATAACTTGTGGCAAACCTACCATTTCCCATTGGTTAACATGGGAATTTCGATTTTCAAAAATTCATCAAATTCATCATCAATTTTCGACCAATTGTAATTGAGGAAAAAAATTGAGAAAATTTGGAGGTATTGGAATTAAAGTCAAATTACGTTTCCATCAATAGTATAAGTATTTTCATCGCGGGTTAAGTAAATAAAAATGCAAAGGTAAAGAGGCGTTAACACGTAGTTCAATGGGGAAAAAAGGTTGCCAAACTTATGGAGGGGAGTGTATATATGACGTGCAATTCTATCATTTTTAAAGATTATAGAAACAAATTGAGCCACCAACTACACTTTTACACGCTATTCTTTCTATTGGGGTAAAGTATTACTTCCACAAGCAATCTGGAAATACTAATTTTCTCAACGTGATCACATTTAAGATTAACTTGTCTTGACTCCAACCGCGTCAATGTAGTGTCTGTCACCTTAAAGTTCTTCATTTTTGTCGTATGGAACAGTATACCAATATTAAGACGTGCGTGCGTTCGTCATGTGTTGAAATGAAATGATTAAGACACAGCTGTTTGAAATGATAGCTATTTTTATACATACATGTCGCACGAAACTGGTGACAATTAGCGTCACATTATGGCGTCAAAATACAAAAACAAAAAACAATGGGCAATAGGGCGTAATCAGTGTACTCATTTGACCTCTGCGCTGATTGGTCGATGAAAATCAATGACGTCAAAGCAGGGCACATTTCGCGCCAAAACTTCAATTACTATTAGATCGTCGAATGAGTGAAATATATTTTTCTGACTATTTTGCCTTAAACTGTGTCTTAAATACACCATCCGGTAAATCAAACCATAGAAATAATTGTGATACGAGTGCTAGTCTGTTAACAAAGTGAATCCAATTACGCAAACCAAAGATTGACAATCATTCAACCAATAAGACTGTATGGATTAAGAATATACATTTATCATGATTATTCAATTAAATAGTTCATTATGCTTAAATGTTAGAGTCCACTTGCATTTGCATTTTTCTCACCGGATTGCCCAAATAATTCGCGATTGGGCATGTATAATGATTTGCAATTTATATATATTGAAGAAACTAATATTCATCATACTGTAGTAGTTTGCATCTTAATTGCAATTCTAAGCTTAATTACAAGCCCGTAGCAAAGGGGGGGGGGGGGGGTGAGCGGAAGAAGCGGCCGCCCTAGCCAGACATTATTTCAAAATCATGCAGTTTTTCACCATTCTGAGCACCTTTCGCATGATTTTTTGCCAAAACAGTCAAAAACCTCCCCCAGGTAAATCCTTACTACGGGCTTGAAATGCTGGAGCTTCTTGTAGGTCTAGCTACGTCCAAAATTATCCTGAAAGTTCTCTAAAAAGTTTGAAAAGAACGCCCCTGGGCTTTTCGAGATATAAATCTCTTCAAATAGACGATCGTGGGTAAAACAAGCAACTCTGGTACATTATCTCATACATAAATGGCCTTAACATTGTTCAATGAAATTAGTCATCACTTACGTAACCATTGTCAAATTCTTCGGCAGTAGACATAAAAGTAACATTGTCATGTGGTATAATAGGTGGCTGAACGTAAGTGAAAATAACGCATGTTGGCTTAGATTTGAGAGTCGAATACTTTTTCTTCAAGGTTAATCCCTTCTTCACCCCATGAGAAAATATTACACGAACTAAGATTACCATGGGATTTTGACAGTCAAGAACTAAACATGGGCTTTTGTACAGTCGGCGTATTTTTGAAAATGTACAGGAAACATTGGACTCTTCACATTAATATTTCTCTATTCATTTGATTCCCCAGAACAATATAAAGAAGGGGGAATATAGACGTGAGTATAATTATTAAATCCCATGACATTTATCACAAATATTATTACTACTCAACATAATTTGACAATAAAATTAGCCTGTTTCCGTCACGATTCACATTGGGTTCTAATGTGTTAAGATTTTCCCGCGAAAATCTGCCCTACTCTGACTGTCAGAGATTTCAGGTTTGCTAATTATAATATCCATGAGCTGACTTTAGGGAAAGGTGATACATTTTGTCAAGTTTAGTCAACCTAAAAATAACATGCTTTATTCTTATTCAATCCTGGTAAAATTCACAGAGCAACAAGATCTCGAAGACAATATTTCGGGATTTGTGGTAAAAAATCGATGCGTTACATTTTTCAAGGTCTCTAAAAGCAACTCTTATTTTTATATTATTTGAAAAATAAAGAAATCGGTTATTGTTTTGTAAATTTCGCCATGACAATATTGTGCAGTTAATTTTCTTTTGAAATCAGACCTAAATTAGAAGGTTAAATAAAGGTAACCTTATTGCTTGTCTCTTTCGCCTTCAAAACCTTACACAATTTCAAAAATTTCAAAAGCGTTCATATAAGACAATTTGAACTGTAGCCGTTATGCAATTGTGACATCATAAATGCACATGTTCTTTTGAATAAAATGTGAAATTATAGACGTGTCGCAAAAAGGTGGCGCATTTGTTTTTTAAGGGTATCGCGTGAATGTAACTTTGATTCCCCGGATTATAAGATAATATTCTAATTAAAGTTATATATCATTTTAAAGCTGTTTCGATGAAGATTTTAGATCAACTACACTCCGTTCACATTTTTTGCGCGTTCGTTTTTAAAAAAGAGTTTTTTACCAAAACATCTGGCAAATATCCCATGTCGACACGTTACATTTTGAATTATTTTTCGTCTTTAAACGCTCATAACTCAAACAATATATGACTATTATACTTATTTTTCGTCTTGATAAAGGTAGATGGAAGTTTTATTTCAAAGGATGAATTTTAGTAAGCGTCCCATATTGTGACGTCATAGAGTCTGAAAAATAGAATCTGTTGACAGCGACCTTTTTTGCTCATTTTTTGGTACCTTCAACTTTTCAGGTGTACATTAAACAAAAAATACGAGATCAATTTTTAATAAATCATACATGATTATTTTGCTCCTAAACTCTAGTTTATTAATAAATAGTTGATTTTGTTCACAAAAGTATGTGTTTTCTGTTGTATGTGGAAAAGTGGAGGACGAAAGGTTTTCAAAATTCATTAAAATATGGCTAATTTACGCCATTCGCCTATTTTCAAGCACAGCAACACGTATATTTATTTCACCTAAAATATCAATTGATTCGTGTTTTATGATGCTCCTAGCCCATTAACAATATATATATGATATCAGAGTTATTTGTCTAAAATGTTTTGAGATATAGAGGTAAATGTGGAGGACGAAAGGATTTTCATGTGTGTACATTTTTCTCAAAAACGTCACATTCTATTATGTTAAAAGCGAGGATCCTCTGGATTACGCCACAAAATGTGTAACAATGCGTGCGCGAGCTTTTTGCGACACGTCATAGTAAAATTCTGATCAGTATTTCAAAAGTTATCCCGATTTCAACTTTTCAGGTATACATAAAACAAATAATACGAGACCAATTTTTGATAAATCATACATGATTATTTTGCTCATAAACTCTAGTTTACAATAATTAATTGATTTTGTTCGCAAACGTACGTGTTTTCTGTTGTATGTGCCTTAAATATTTTGAGATATAGAGGCAAATGGGGAGGACGAAAGGATTTCCATATGTGTACATTTTTCTCAAAAAGCGTCACATTCTGCCGTGTTAAATAGCGAAAATGTGTACAGCACGTGCGCGAACTTTTTGCGACGTGTCTATGGTTTTTAACTAAAAAAATAACGCCAAAGTCTGGGCTGACAGTATAATCCACGTGTCAAAGTGTGACAAAAAGCCAAATATGTATAAAAAAGCTAAGATTTCAATGAAATAATTTGGAATAATGAGAACATTGTCATTAGAAATAAATCAATATTTTGGAAAGAATTTAAAGGTTTTCTAAGAATCAAAGATTTTTTTTCAGAATCAAAACATATTTACATATACAGAATCAAAGATGTTATACTTAATGGTATGATTAAATCATGGAAAATGCAAACTGGACTTTCACACAATTATCTGCTAAAATGGTATGGCCTCTCAATCAGGCAATACCATCAGATTGGTTAAGAGTACCGAATGGAAACATGGATGACCTGCAGGTATCTCTAGAGAATATAACGGTAATAAAAAGCGATACAGAAGTCAACTTTTTAAAATGCACATCTAGAGGATTTTATAAAATATTGCTGGAAGCTATTGCAGAATATCCAACAGCAAAACACACTTTATCAGATAAATATCATATTAAAGAAGAAGATTGGTCATTTTACTATGAACACTTTCATAAAACCCTGACATATTCAAGACATAAGGCATTTCAATATAAGCTCTTAAACAATATTTTGTATACAAACAGTGAACTCTTTCAATACAAAATAACACCTTCACCAATGTGTGAATTTTGCCATGTGAACATAGAAACTTGTGACCACATCTTCTTTAATTGTGATTATACGAAACAGTTTTGGAAATCAATAATAGATAATACATTAAAAGATCTCGAAAAATTTTCTCTGCTTATTTGGTAACCCAAAATGGAGTGATTTTGAAAATATGGTAATTATTATAGGAAAGTACTACTTATATAATAAGAAAATGCAACAAGAGCCTCCAAATTATTACAACTTTAAGGCATATTTAGATTATTGTTTAAAAATGAAAACGGATTTTAACAGTATGCTGGTATGAGTGGAGAATGTGAATGAATGGGTGATAGAGTGACTTGTATAATTTTTCACCAAGATGTATACTTTTTAAATTTGATGAAAAAAAGTAAATAAAATGTAAATCAAATTATCAAACTACTTCAGACAAAATAGAATCAGGGGATGGTCTCGCGTTGAGTGTTACAAATTGACAGCTAAAGATAACTTATTCACGGGGGTAAAGCAGACCCAATGATGCAATGAGCTTGCTCGGCGGTATCATGACTGTGTAACGGGTCTTAATGTATAAGTGTGCTCGGCGGTAGGTTCAAACAACGCGGATCCTCAAAGCATGTGCTCGTGGTATATTCGTGTTTTAACACCCGTGTTATTGCTCTGGGCCTCATTGGAGCTAGCTGTCAACAGCCTTTAATTGATTCTGCCGAGACAGACAATGTTCTCTGTTAATAAACCAGATTTAAAATCTTGTAAAATCAAAATTTTATATCCAAAGAACACGTGTACGTAAGGTAATATAAAATAAAAAATCTAACATCAAGGTATACAAATTGTTTGACATAGGGAGACGGCTATCTATCGCGGAAGAGCTTTATTCGTAATCTTATCTAAAGGAAACGATTACATAAACACACGGGCATAAACATAACAATTATAAATTACAATGTCACGCAATGACAACGCAAATGCATGATTGCACAACATAGTATGATAATTAATCTCTGGGCCTAGGGATATGAGTCAAAAGTATACTGGTGAAGGAGAAAGTGAATTACAATGAAAATTGCTTCGTGAGCGATAGAATAAGCCGTTCCCCAAAGATTAGCTGAATGAGGCAAAAATCACGAATAACTGCGTTGATAATAACTGCATTGCATTGATAGATTATGAGGAGAAACGCCGAAGAATTGATAAATACGATCGGGCGGATTTATTATCAAAACTAACTTTAGTACTATTATGTAAGTTGTAGTTGTTTCAAAGAAATGACATATATGGTAAAATCACGAATATGCTCTTGTCTAACAGGCGTGATAATTTAATTTTTCTAGTTATCTTCGCAATATCTAATTAATAGCTCATAGATGTCAAACTTCATGATCAATCGTGACATCGAACAATTACTGAGCTACATCAGACATTACAGGCTTATGTCAATTGTTGTAACTATGGCAATAATGAAGTCATAAAAAGGAAACAATAGACTAAGGAATTCTTAAAGGCCCAACAAAGTTTAAACCACATAGTATAGGCGTAGCCAGGGGGGGGGGGGGGGGGGGTTGTGGGTGCGATGGGTGCGAAGTTCCATCAATTTTTGTAAAATGCAAAACAAATCTCAAAAGGGGTTGCTTATGTCACGGTCGCGCCCCTCTGACTGTTAACCGAAATTTTTTGGCGATCGCACCTTCCTGACTGAAAGCTGGCTACGCACCTGCTTAGGCTTATATTGTAGTATTACCCATTATTATCAACATGTTTGTATGTGAAACACTTTTTTAGTTTCAAAAATGGCTTTTGAGGGAAATTTTGTGCGAAAAATAATTAGGGATAACACATATGTTCTGATACGCGATAATTAACACAAAGCAGCATACATCATCACGTCGTAATTTTGTTTAAAGAATTAAGGATATTGTTTAATTAATAAGCGAGAAATGTCGTGGGGATTCTCCCTACAACGCGTGAAATAAGGAAAAGGGAAATCGTACCTTCGACGTTCCGACATTTTGTTACCAAAACGGTTCCGTTTCAGTAACCAGCGTGGAGCGGATCACCAGTGTTACATGGGGCTTTTTACGATACGATGATACATAAAAGTGCAATTTACCTTTTTACTGTTAACCTTCAAACGGGATAATTTTGTATATCTATGCGCGCTGGATTAATAGAATTAATAGAATCATCAGAGATAGCACTGTACTTTCTGTGTCAGTTACAATCCCCGGGGTTACCCGGTATATTCTAATGTAATTTAGTAATAAATAATCCAGTTCATTAACTTGATGATATAATTACTAATAAGTCGTATGTATCAATATGAATATACGTGATACATTCACCTTCCCAGCGGTGTAGCACCACATCGGCAGATAGATAGATTGAAGGTTTTATTTCATTATGTCATTAAGTCATGTATTATGTCACCATCACAAGCGGTGAGATATTGTTAAAGTCTTTGGACTCGTTTGGTGGACGGCGTTTGGCGTTCGGTTGCCGGCGTCGTAAGTAATGAGTAACTGAAGACAATGCGCTGGCCGTTTAAGCATTTTAAACTATTCACTTGTCAAGTGTAGCTTAACACATTTATGCTTTCACTTTAACCTCTTTGATATGACGAAGTTCTGAAACGTTTATATTGTAAAAATCAATTAGATCGTAGATGACATACAATTTCATGAGCATATAAAGCCCAGAAGCTAGACAAAACCATTAAATCATACGTGATTTTGTATAATTACGAGAAATATACGTGGTATTCGTTTATCATTCTGGTACACATTCCTTTTAACAAATTAGATTACCATATCTATTTAGCTGTACATAAGATAAATTAATTTTTATATTCAGCAAATTGTGTAAAACATCGAGATATCGAGACAGAAATAATAACTATAAACGAATAGCTTTTTACTACATGTTATTACACGATATAATATCCAGTGTTATGATTAGGTGAATACCATAATTTAAAAAAAAACACGCATCCACTATCCACTATCCCGTCTTAATTGAATATGACTCCACAAATAATTTTTTTTCAAAATCATCTACGTGTTCTCAGAAATTCAAATCTGACTTAAGATCTGACATTTGACCTTCAATGACCTTCTCAAGGTCAAAAAAGGTCAAAAAGGTCTGTTTTCAACTTGCTTCAAATTGACTAAAAAAAATTTTCAAAATCATCTACGTGTTCTCAGAAATTCAAATCTGACTTTAGATTTGACTTACGATTTGACATTTGACCTTCAATGACCTTCTCAAAGTCAAAAAAAGGTCAAAAAGGTCTTTTTTCAACTTGCTTCAAATTGACTAATTTTTTTTTCAAAATCATCTACGTGTTCTCAGAAATTCAAATCTGACTTTAGATTTGACATTTGACCCTCAATGACCTTCTCAATGTCAAAAAAGGTATTTTTTCATCTTGCTTCAAATTGACTAAATTTTTTTTTCAAAATCATCTACATGTTCTCAGAAATTCAAATATGACTTTAGATTTGACTTTACATTTGACATTTGACCTTCAATGACCTTCTCAAGGTCAAAAAGGTCTTTTTTCAACTTGCTTCAAATTGACTAATTTTTTTTCAAAATCATCTACATGTTCTCAGAAATTCAAATCTGACTTTAGATTTGACATTTGACCTTTAATGACCTTCTCAAGGTCAAAAAAGGTCAAAAAGGTCTGTTTTCAACTTGCTTCAAATTGACTAAAAAAAATTTCAAAATCATCTACGTGTTCTCAGAAATTCTAATCTGACTTTAGATTTGACTTAAGATTTGACATTTGACCTTCAATGACCTTCTCAAGGTCAAAAAAGCTCTTTTTTTCAACTTGCTTCAAATTGACTAATTTTTTTTTTCAAAATCATCTACATGTTCTCAGAAATTCAAATCTGACTTTAGATTTGACATTTGACCTTTAATGACCTTCTCAAGGTCAAAAAAGGTCAAAAAAGCTCTTTTTTTCAACTTGCTTCAAATTGACTAATTTTTTTTTTCAAAATCATCTACATGTTCTCAGAAATTCAAATCTGACTTTAGATTTGACCTTTGACCTTCAATGACCTTCTCAAGGTCAAAAAGGTCTTTTTTCAACTTGCTTCAAATTGACTAATTTCTTTTTCAAAATCATCTACATGTTCTCAGAAGTTCTTCTTAAGGTCAAAAGGTATTTTCCAACTTGCTTTAAATTGACCAAATTGTTTTAGGTGGTGACATTTTGTCATGTTAATGCCTTGTCCTACATACTATTGTGAATTGAATTATCTTTAATTTGATACACACTTTATCTATTCCTGACTTTACAAAGAACATGACAATACTTACTTTTGTGTCATTCCACATAATGTTGAGCCTATAACCAGGGAGGATATCAGATCGGCCATTAATATGATCGAGCCCCATCTGAACTGACGCCAACAAGCTTCTTCCGCCATACCAAGCTCCCTCCATAGGAAAAAGACCCAGGAGGTACAAGTCAGTTACAGATTGTACTTCCAAAAGTCCAAAAACTACAATGACACATATCGTCAATCTTTGTGAAATCATCATCACAATAGTGGATTTTTATGATTGCGAGGTGATGATTTTATATATATTGGTGCTGCAAATTGCTCAGGAGCCACACTTTCGAATTTGAAACAAGACCGTCTAGGTGATATATCAGCCTATTAGTTGTGCTCTCATCTTCGATCTCTCTATGTCATTGGTTCCCTACAACTGCTTGTCACTTATAAAGGTATCGAGTGTAAAATTCTTCACCTGGATTGATTTCCCATTACTTGATGAATTGTCATGTAACTAGTGATGTGACTATCGGTAAGGGTCACAGACCTTACCGAACACTGCACATGTAACCTGAACGCGTGAGATAGCACAACCAAGTGCCACTGGGCCCCTAAATCCAATTAAGACCGATTTTTGGTGAATTGGCCCAGAAAGGCCAAATTATGTCCAAAAAGGCCCATTTTTGGAGGCCCTACAAAATGTTGGGGCCCAAAATATGATGTAACAAAGGTGGCAGGTTTTAGAACATCCAACTCTTCCGCGTATTGTTTTTATAGTTTAGTTAATTAGTTTATTTATTTGTAACTGAAATACAACAAGAGCGTTGCAATACTCCTATTCGCGATAAGAGTTCAGGTGGTAATTTACATAAATATCTCCCATGATGCATCGCTTTAGAAGGGACAAAATTTCATTGGCCCGCCGAACGAGTTGAATACTCTGAACGTTTCTCAGCTTCTGATCTTCCATCAGACCTCATCATCAAGCAAAGTTATATGATCCAATCTATTGAATAATCAGAAAGATAATCGGAGATTCAAAGTAACATTATTGATATTTTTTCGATCTTCGATGAAGTCTGAGCAATTTCTGGGGAATCAGTGACGTCACTGGAATTGGACGGCATTTTCAACTACAGTTTTCTTCGGATTTGGGGATTACAGTTCAAAAAGCCTTGTTTTGTATCTTAATTACATAAATACCTATCATTGGTGCAAATGCAACTCTACATAATTGTTTAATAGAATCGCAGTGCGGCATTAAAAATAGCACCACTGTGTAATTCAATGGGAAAGAATCCGGATGTAGACGAAGTTGTACCATACATGAGAGCTCTTCAAAGGGGAGGTAACTAAACTGAACGAAAACGAAACGTTATCGCGTATTGGTATATAGGTATTCATCGACTTTTTGTGTTCCAAAAAATCGAATAAAGAATGTCTAAAGACACTTTTTGAAATCGGCGGCAAATTACTTTGTGGAAGCATTTTAATAATATTGAGCAATTTAATGTCTATGTTTTGATCTACTCATTTCAACGACATATTCTAATCATAGCTGTAATTTTACAAATTAAATGTCGTTTTTGCTGCACTGCTAACCGTCGCGTGTCGTCATTATAAATAGTGAAGACAAATGCTCAAATCATAATGTGTCAACGAGAATGATGTAGCAACACATGAACATTACATTCCTTTTAAATCCGATGATAGCGTTTATCTATCGTGGATATAATATATATAATGTATATATACTACTATATATTGCGGCTGATCAGGCTGATCTTCAGGCTGATTGACCAATCAAAACGTTACCAGGTTGACCTGCATAAACAAAGCAAACTACCCGTCTAGAACTTGAAATTCAATGATCTGATCGAGTGTTTCTTTAGAGTTACAATATAGTATGTACCCGGATTATGTAATTAAATGTACATTGGAATATAAGCGGTCATTAATTAAGAAATATAGACCGAAAAGCAGGGGTTATATCGTCGAATACAACCCGCAGGGCTAGGCACAAACGTTTTCTGTACCCCGAACGACAGAAGGGAATGAAGGGTTCGAAAGCTTTTGTGCCTCGCCCCAAGGGGTGTATTCGACGACATTACCCCTGAAAACTACATATTAATAACTTTATTTAGATTAAACATAAATTAGTTATAGCATAACCTCTTACAGCTGAAAGAACAAAGATTGACCAATTGCAAACCATTTCAGCCTATCAAGACATTCACAAAATCTATTCAATTCAATGACGTCATATGGACCATGGGCCCATCGGTTCAAATATTAAAGTCAATGTATCTCAGGAAGGGCAATGCTTATGGTCCTGAAATTTCAAATATATTATATATTAGAAGGGTGATACTATATCTGTATCAAAATGCATGTAAAAGGGACAAAATCTCTTCTCTTGAGAAGCTTTCATGCAAGACTTTTTGAACGACCCTAATATCATCATACACTATATAGAAATCACCACAAGCCGAATCAAACGTTGTTTTGAGATATAAAATCATCCATAGCGTTGTATATGATCATGAATTTATTACCATAAAAACCTTATCACATTATTTTTTTGCATTGGAAGCTTATAAAATTGGTGACCCCAGCCATTGTAATTCTTGGCTATATCAAATATGGCAAAACGGTGTCAATCTAGATATATCACTCTAAATGAATAAAAATGTAAAGAAAAGCAGGTGTCAGTCTATATGTTATATATTGTACTTTGTTTACCACGAGTCCCTCCTTAAAGGAGGGCTAGCTGAGTTGTAGTAAAGACATACATGTACACATGATTATATTTGACCATATTCTAGATCATTTCAAGATTAATTGTTCATTGAATATTCTTCGAATTGGAGCTTCTTTCACCGTCCATGTGCTCTCCAACTGTATTTTGTCAACAACGATACCAATTATTTCCAATTAGAGGGGTACCTTCTTTATGTACAGGTCATTTAGGTTAATTTAATGTAGTCCATCCTTTTATACACTCAGTTCTGCAAAGAGAGAACACGTCAAACTACGAATTTGAAAAAGCATTTGATACACATTTTTCGGTGTCCAAAATATACAGTTAAGTTAATGAACATAACTGAACATAATATAGAATGACATTCAATGACTGATCATGTTACTGATAAAAAATGAAATTTTTTAATTTACAATTTTCATATTCTAAAGATAAAATATATGACGGATACGTTACCTTGACAACTGATCCCATCCCCTACATATCCCGGCAAGCATTCGCAGGCTAGTTCCACCGTTTCCAAAGAATCTGTACATGGCTCATCATCAACGTCTGTATCAAAACCTAGAAAGAAATTATAATTACTGTAATGTTCATACACAGTGAATCTTTATTTGATTATAATTACTGTAATGTTCATACAAGTACACAGTGAATCTTTATTATTAATTGGTATCGTTTTACCATATTTAATACATAACTCAAAATATATGCCATCAACATCAAACTCAGGTGAAGATCCAATACCTCAAAATTAATTCCAACATATCTGCCAATGCATTAGATGATCGTCGCTCATACCTCAGGCTGGATCATGTTTTTGATTATGGACTTATTATTCTGATAAATCATTATTACCTATTTAATGACAGAACGAAAGATACAAACCAGTGCAGTTGTAAGCGCCAACATCGAGATAATAATCATCGTCATCCTCACATTCACCATAAACCACGTCCTCTAAAGACGTACACAGAGGATCTGGTCCATCCTCCCAAGCTAAGTCATCCAACATTTCACACTGTTCTACGGCTAAAGATCATAAACAGGCCTTACGTCTTTGGGGAAAATAATGCCATTTGAACTACGGCAATCGCACAGCAACCGTAGCTTCCAAAAAAATCGTGAGAAACTTGTAGCACAAAATAATAGGGATAAGCAGTATGATGTAGAATTTCTATATCGATTTTGTGAAGCTACGGCCATCGTACGCCCGCCGTAGAGCAAATGTGACTGAGACTTTAGTCAAAAACTATCAAAAAGAATGTCAGGGAATTTCTTGTACCAATAATTTCCCAATATTGTTTTTCTGTAAAATATTTCAAATACACCTTACGTAAACATGTGTCCGGTGTCCCTGGTACGCTGGCATCTGCACAATCACAGAGGTTAATATCATCTGACGTCAAACACAGCCCTGGTGTTGCTAAGCAACTGTCATTATCCTGTTTCTTATCATCAACATCTACAAAAATTATTGAAATACTTATACATTTTCCTTATTATTACTATATTACAAAATACACAAGCCATTTACTGTTTGACAACATCTGCGCTATGCATGCTATCGACAACGGCATAGAGCAATATCTAAATTACACTCACAACAGTTATAATAGCAAGTGGTTCCATGAATCGTATACAATTCGTTGAAACTCTTAAACATGTTCTTCAGTTTAGATTATTTTCTTTTCCCAACCTTTATTTTACTAAACAGGACGTTTCGGATCCTGTCGGGATCCTTTTTCAACTGTATAGAAACTGAACCGAAGCGCTACAAAACAATTAAATACGTCATATTAATTCACCAAAAATTCATTCCAAATTCCCGCCAATTCATAGTTCCCTAGATATATTATTATCATTTTTCTTTATAAAAATAGATTCTTTAATCCATCTCTCAAGTCTCTCATTGTTATTGTCCAAAACCGTAGTATTGTTCCAGTCCATTACGCAATTATTCATCTAGGGAACTATAAATTGGCGGGAATTTGGAATGAATTTTTGGTGAATTAATATGACGTAATATTGTTTTTATTTGTTTTGTAGCGCTTCAGTTCAGTTTTTATACAGTTGAAAAAGGATCAGGATCCGAAACGTCCTGTTAAGTAAAATAAAGGTTGCGAAAAGAGAAAAAATAATTTTTGTGAGTTCGTTGAAACGTTTCACAGTTATCTGAAGATGAAGATTTAGTGTAATGATATTTCAGACAGTTTTCTTGCTATAACGTTTAGAATCGAAGATTTGTCTTTTTATTCAGTTTTGTTAAAATATAAATGTCGATTTTTCAATTAAAAACGTATCGCTATATAACTGAATTAATATGATGAATTAGATATGGCCTATCAGTGATAGTATCATAACCCACCCTGTACTGCCAATGTGTATCTGCACAGTTCTTTCGAATCCAACAGCCCATTTATTGAGATACTGCATGTGAGGACTGCTCCATCGAAAGCAACCTCTGCCTCTTTCGAAATTGCAATATTCATCTGTCCAGCGATGACTCCACTAAAATGAATGTTCAATTAACGTAAGTGCAAAATGACAAACGAGATACGACCAGTTTGTTGTAATTATAAGTTTGTCAAAGATGTCAAAACAAGAGGTAGAATTTCATTCATCCACTTGGCCGACACTAAGGTGGCAGGTGTTCAGAATCCGCACCTCCGGGAAAGAGAGAAAATATACTCCATCCTGGAACTCTGTGCTCGGAGGATACTGAACCGAAAATAGACACTGGAGACATTAAACTACAAATCAATTTGAAATGAGTACATTACTATATTATTATATTGGTAATGGCATGTTATTTTATCTAAAGGGAAGGGACAAAACTGGATTGTATTACCTGATGTCGTCAGTTTCAGCTAAAATGTCACCATTTTGGAAAATGGTTAGCTTAGGTCGAAGATCAGATGCAATTGTTCCAAACACTTCCGCGGAGCATCCGATTTCATAGTTTGTCCCTGTAGTCACACGTATTGTCGCATCGGGCTGGCATATTCCCGGAACTAAATATACGAGAAAAATACTGTTTTATCGTTCTATGTTGTTTGTAACTGTCGTCGGCCTAATATGGAATGGGACAAAAACGTCCAAACATTAAATCAGAGTCAATGGTCAGCATAGTGAGATGCAAATGCAAATCCGAATCAGCATTCACTCAAATTCAAAATGCTTCGTGACCAGATACTGACAAAGCAAAAGAATTACAATTGTTAAAACCAGAATTCATACGAAGTAACGCAACAAAGGAGTAGTATCCTTATGGAGAACTGAATTCAACAATGTTTTTCTCTTTTTCTGTAAAAAAACACGGTCCTTTAAGTAATGTTGACTGATTGACAACAATTTGATGCGAAAATAATTTATATATATTTTATATAACAGTTTTTGTTAACATTTTTTTGTTTTTAATGCAATTGATTTTTGTTCCTTTTTACCATTTCTTGAGAATGAAATAAAATATATTTCCGAAGCTTGTTTGAACAAAATAGCATATACAACATTTTCTTAGACTTCCTACTATTATAGTTGTACAAATGAAATTTTGGTTGATTTAACAAAAAGTATTCAAAAAATTAAAAACAAAAACCCCGAAATATATAAAATTAACAAAGAATCAACCAAACTTTCCTTTGTATATTACGAGACATAAGCACGTTGTGTTTATGTTATTTTGTTCCAATGAGGTTCGGATAGATGTTTCATTTCATTCCGAACATATGATACCAAGAAAAACAGAAGTGTCCGATGTGTTTTCTAAAACAATATAGAGAAAAGTATATATATTTCAAATTATATTGTTACCCTTCAAAAGATGACCATTAAATTGACAATGTGTAAAGTTTTCTGATGACTGGTTTAAGAGAAACATGTGTTCAAAAGGTTCACCATATCGATACCCATCCTTTTAACAAACTCCTCACCCAAAGCTACTATATTAGCGGATGCTATGTCCCCTTTGATGAAGTCTGAACAAATGTATTTTCCAGCGTCTTCAATTGAGGCTTCCGGGATCAGCAGTCCATACGAATCTGTTAAGAAGTAAGCGTCTTGTACCAGTGATGTGATTCTGTCATTGATAGAGATGCGACTGTTATTCACCGACTCTAGTCTTGGAGTGTATCCTCGCCACATGTGGTATCTCACATCGTTTGGGTCGACTGTGCAGTTTAGCAGGACTGATGAGGAGGGTTCATCCCGAGGGAAAATCACACGATCAGATGGGTATTCAAGTGGAGTAGGTGGTGTGGCTGAACAAAAAGAGAACATTTTAACAGGCTTATTTGTGCTCATTTGTGTCATCTTGAACACAATCAAATATAATATTATTATCCATGTTAAAGAAAAGAATTATTGTAGAACAAACTCTAGAACCCCCAAAAAATCTTTAAAATCATATTTAGTTATAAATTATGTTTTAGGCATCTCTTCTTTATCTATTGGTTTAATCTTTACTACGGATAAATCAAGAAAAGATTTCACGAGAAAATTCCAACAAACTAAAATAGAGTTAACAAATTCGCTACGTACGAGTGACGTCTATCAAAGCAGCACAAATTTGGACTTCCGGCAACTCAGCTTCCAACCTGTACTTGCACTCAATACGCGTCCCGTCTATCCCAAAATCTGCAGAAAGGGTAACTGTTGACACCACTGTCACATCTGCACTCAGGATCGGCTCTGGTCTGATATTGATTGTGGTATGTTGTGATACGATCCCTTCGGAGATAACATCGTCACCGTGGTACCAAACAATAACGGGTAAGGCGCCCTCATTTGCAGGTTTTACACCAAAGTAATCGACTGCACACTGTAGTACGATGTCATCCCCTTCGTTGTAAAGAAGGACGCCGGCTACGCTGCACCTCTGAGGTTCTGCAGGTTAAGCCATAAAAACTAGACAACTGGTAAATTTTCCTTGAGTATTGTGCACTTTTGGAGCTGTATATGTTACGCTCATGGTAACTGGGAGGTCATACTATTAAAAGTTCATGCACGGACAAGTTCTTTTAAAACGTGTACCTCAACCTTCCTGTCTACTTTTATTTTACTTTTGAACTATCAAATCGTGTTCACCCACCTGCCCATGTAAGGTATACATCAGCTGTAACTGCATTAGAACTCCAAGAATAACAGAGATATCTTCCCGCGTCATCTTTACCAGCATTAGTAACACTAAGATCATCACTAACGGCATCCACCGAATATTTGAAGGTCATCACATTGTTCGCTATGTCCGTCCCCATGCTGAGTCGACCATAACGCCCGTTCTGTGAATAACCATACCTGCACATAAGCGATAAGATGGCCTTCATAATTACTAGCCAGGTAGATGTACATATATGAGCCCAGCAAATTATTACTCAACAGAATAGTTGCATATTACTGCCATCTTTCTATCTAATTTGTCTCACGATATCACACGATCGTGAATATACGGAGCTAATTTCAAAGGTATGGAAAATATCAAAAATACAATTGAGCACTGATAAGTCAATTGATTTAGAACACTATATGCAACCCATTGTACTCATATCTTCAAAACCCCGCAAACGGACGGTCAAATGGACTTCTTTGCCACTTTGATATATAACTATTACCCATTCTTAACAAAAGTTAAACGTACCAACTCTTGATTGGTTCTTTATCAGTAGAACATTGAAGTGTCACATCACGAACATCAGCTAAAACTTTGTCTTTAGATCCAGCTACAAAAAACTTCTAAATTATTGTCTATAAGATGCAGGCCCGTAAGACACTTTTCTCCAAGGGGGGGGGGGGGGGTGCGGTTTTTACTACAGAGTATATGAAATCGTCAATGTTAAATATACGTTTGTGCATAGACGTTCAGTGGGCGACCGTTTCAAACTCACGTTTATAAACAATATATTTAAGAAAGTAATAAACTTTGAATGAATGCGATGAAATTATATTATTTTACTTCCTCGTTGAAAAGTTCAAATGAAATGGAAATAAGGGGTATCCTTGGACTTTCGTTATCATTATCGGTCTCACCCTAAATGCGACGAATCCTGTTGAAATACGGCTATACACAAAGCATAACTTACGGGATGTTTGCCTCTTCTTTCGAGATAGCTGTTGTTTGTGCGCGAGCGTGTCCATGTAACATCCTAGTCTCTTGATTTCAACCACATCGGAATATTTTCTTTCCTCGTTAACTCGAAGAAGCTTTGGAGAAAAATTGAGCTCCATCGCCTCCTCATCATTAATTCCTTGGCGTTGATACTCTTCCAATGTTGCCTTTGTATTCGGGAAGTACCAATTCACATGGTCATCTAACTGCACCAATAGTGTGTCTGAATGTTCAGCGATTGCATCGATGTTGACAGTTGAACAGTCCTGCGTACATGTATTATATCCAGGCGGGACACTACTTAGTGGAATGTCGTTGATATTACAACAAAAACAATTAATGAGCATCACACAGATTGCTACATCCATGTTGATTATTCAGGTAAATATAACTGCAATATGACTACCGATGCTCGAATTTTATAATATTAGAACTGCATCACCGATCCACCCAAATGTAGTGTTTTATGCTGATAGACACTTAAAAGGTAGCAATAAAAAACTTTGAAAATTGTAGTGGATTGAATGGGATTGTTCAACCGATTACGAATAAACATATTTGTAAGATTACATCCTGGTCGGTGATAACTGACTCGCAGCGCACGTTCGTGTTTCAATTGAGATTTTTCTTGCGATGTGGATAGTATTCCAGGATTTTTCTGCTTTTGAATACATGCAATGTTCTCATTTATTGAATTAGTACTGTATATATTAGACTTGTAATTAAAGTCTAGAAAAGTATATTCGGATTAAAGCGTTCTTCAAATTCATTTTTGAAAATAGCTTGGAAACATATAACATATTCTTCAGCGTAGGTACAAGGTGACCCAAAAAATGCAACCCTCTATTTCTTCAATATTTTTCTTGTGGAGGTTAATTGCTCTGAGATTTGGCACACAAGGACTTCATTCAATGTGGGATCCTCTGGCAAAGTTTTAATAATCATAGTCTTATATTGATAGAGTTATGGTTGTTTCAAAATATGCTCCAGATGTCGTCAATTTCGCTGAAAACAAACTTGCAATGTTCAAGGAAAACTGTTCATAACACAGATGCATTCTTCCCCATGGGTATGGCTCAAATTTTTGCAGCCATTGCTTGTTGGAGTTCTGCAATTGCGGTAGGGTTATTTTCATACACATTTATTTAAATAATCCCTTATATAGAAGTCAGGGGCATTGAGATCAAGACTGTGGGATGACCATGGGTTCTCCGTCCTAGGAGAAATAATCTTCTCATAGAAATGACTAGTGAGCCAGGCTATGCTATCATTAGAAGTGTGAGGAGTAGCTCCATCCTTCTAGAACCACTGTTCTTGTCTATTGAAGCCTCTATGTCACTCTAGAACTGCCTAGAACTTCCTGGGAACGCCAATATTGCGGTGTGTGTTAACAGTAACAGTGTTGCCATTATCAACCTCAAACCAAAAGGGGCTGATGATTTCATGTTTGAAAATTGGCAGCCCAAGCTGTGCATTTAACAGAGTGAGGGGGCCTTTGAAGCACTTCATCTGGAATTTGTGATCCAAGAACACATTATTTCTTGAGTTTACATGTTCAGAAAGAAGGGAATGTGATTCATCCGAAAACCTAACATTGGAAATGGACGACATTTGAAGCATATTTTGGAATGACCATAACTCTATCAATATAAGACTATGATTATTGAAACTTTGCCAGATGATCCCACATTGAATGAAGTCCTTGTGTGCCAAATTTCAGAGCAATTAACTTCCATTTAAGAAAAATATTGAAGAAATTGAGGGTTGCATTTTTTTTGGGTCACCCTGTATATGCTATCATTTTTAGTGTTTTGACGACGGTGGCTTCATTTTGTTTTTTTACTATATTTTTGGTAGATATTTTGGTTCAAATTCATTAGTAATTATTCTTCTAGTCAGTGCAACGGATTGCCACCGTACCATTTTTGTTAGTTTGTTGTCAGGTCAATTTTAGGGAGTGTTAATGTTTGCATCAAGGATCAGAACAAAGGGACATTTCATTTATGCTGAAGTAATTACAATACGTGTTAAACACTTGAAAGAATCGAAGGCCAATCCTCCAACAACATTAAAAATAGTTATAGATACTAGTACTCATTAGATATAGAGCATTCGGTCTCAAACGATGTGGGATAGATGAAATCTAGTCTTGAAGTCCATGGGCAATTCAACATAGCATATATTGATATGACTTAGGTATGAATGAAACGTCCCTTGGTGTTACACGTATGGTCTCTCAAATTGTGATTATGATACTTGAATGGTAGGAGGGGGCGGGGGGAGGGGGTTGTTAGACTTTGTTTCTTTTAAAGTGCTGTTATGATTTTATGTTATGATGTTGGGCTTTGATTTCATTATGACTGGTATACTCTTGGATGTTTTCTTTTCTTTTTTGCTGTGTTCTGTAACAATTTGTGGTCATTTCCTTTTCGCACTTGTGCAAACATATTATCTCAAGATTATTACTTCTTTCGATATTATTTACAAAGTCGCAGTTCTTCCTAGCTTACAAATGGATCTAGTCAGGAGGATTTTATTTATCAGTAATAGTTTATCCGCATGCCGTAACGCATACGCAGTTAGATAATGTTTGAAAATTAGGTTTCGTCACGGTCAGAAAATACTCTCAATCCAAAATCCACTGCGCTTTCTACCATTGCCTTAGGATCCATAGGTTAAACAATAATTTATAAATTAAATTTATCACACAATGTCTCTCCTGGGTATACTATTAAACTGAGAATACTATTAAACTCATTCTGAACATGTCGTCCCTCTTTCGTGCGTTTACATCGGTACATTTTGTGATCCTGCCATAACCAGACCAAATTCATGATGAAAATACAAAGAACACAATATAACTAGGTTGAATTGCAAGATAAATATTATATTTTTATTTTATACATGAATCGATTAATTTAAATTATTCCCTTTTGTATTTCTGTAGATCTACAAAATCATCAGTCCAAGATTCAGCGAACACTGTCGTTTAGTTCTAGAACAAAAATATAGTTTTAATATATTGTTTACATCGATTGGCATTTTGTAAAGAAATTTAACTACACTACAGGCTGGTATTTAAATTGCATCAAGAGAAAATCACATACGTTTTAGTTACAAGCAAAAGGCTTTGGAATTTAACTTCACTCCGTAATGACGAGGCTCTGAATCAAAAAAACGGGGACAAAAAAGAAAGAGGAATTGGGATATGTGAACTTATTCAAGGGGCTCAAGATTAATTCGTAGCTATTTGTATTTACCCATTATTAATAACACGCCTTCAGGGTACACGCTACGTTGCCATTCGAGCAAGAGCATTTATTGCAGCCGTCGGTGGCATCGAAGTTTGCTCCTTCAGCATAGTAGACTCCGTCATAGAAACAATCTACATGTAAGCATATGCATATATTCAGATTTTGATAATACTGAAATTTAAAAAGTTATTAAAGAAAAAGTGACCCTTGAACAATTCTGTCCGGGCTACCATATAAATTATACCATGTGTATATTGAAATGTATTAAACTATCCATGACACAATATAGCATAATAACTTCCTTCTGAACACTTGTAGGCCATTGAGATACACACGGAGATGTGCTGACTATATCCGGTGGTAATGAGTCACGTGTAAGGGTTTGATATTTTTCACTCACGAGGACAATAGGCTTTGGTACAGCCGACATTTCCACCACGACACGTACAGGTGTTACATCCGTCACCACGAGGGAAGCTAGACCCGCTCTTGTAAGTTATTTTATTGTGGACACAAGGTGGACATGCCATTAATGTACACAAAGTTTTGCCATTCGATGCACATGAACATTTGTTACAGCCGTCTGTGGCGTCGTACGATGCTCCAACAGCATAATAAACACCGTCATAAAAGCAATCTGAATACAAGCAAAATTATATTAATTGATATACTAGAGTATAATGATAATGTCTAGTATGTGAGTCCACAATTTTCTGTTGCAACAAATATTGAAATATGCCAATGTTAATGATCCGTTCGTGAATACCAAACCCCAATATACTGAACTCCGAGGTGTGTTTAGTTGAGGAATATCGATGCTAACGTATGTGTTCAATTCAGGTTGTACAAAGGACCTTATACACCCGCCATTGGGATCTCCCTATGGGAAAAAAATAATTCATCTGATTTTTCAAAATGAGTATTCTGCTTCAATTATTACATTTATATGCACACTAGTATCTTGTTGACCTATATTCAGCACTGTATTGATGTATAGGCCACTTATTAGGGTCATAATTCAATCATGAAGTGTAGAGGCATAGATTCCAAACCAGGAAGTATATTTGTGTCTGTCAAAATCCATTTACATTCTACGCATCCCTGCATCTTATCCAAATATGTTACTACATAATGAAATATAATAGTATAATCTTTGGTTTTACAAACTTGTATGATATTTGATAAGTGTAAAAGTTGTTTTTGGAGCATTTTTCTATAGCCATTTTGTAGGGAAAAAATGATGAAAAAATGTACAATCTTTTAATTTTAAGTATGACCTGAATCGATTGCAAACTTCATATTTGCACATTTGATGAGATAAACCATTTGTGTCGTATTGTGAAATTATTAAGTTTGCAATCGATTCAGGTCATAGTGTATTTTTGGTATTTCTGTGATAATCAATTGAAACCAATGGCCTCTATTGGGATCTGCTGATATCCTCATGATAAGTCAATGGTTCACAGCCCCATGTAAGTCAATACAACCTTACTGAACGAAATGATCCCTATCTCAGCTTATGTGTGTCCAAGCACTTTAATATTTTCCAAAGTATTATATGACATTTTATTCTTCATGTTACACCTACGAATGATTCATTTTGACCATAGGGATATTTGCCAATAATTGCACCTTGTCCTTTTCCATCGACAATGATTTCATTTAAAACAAGCCCTTCAAAGGCCAAAAATTCTAGAGCCAAAGAGTAAGATATGTCAAATTCTTAATTAGAAGATGACGCTTACTATACAGCTGATATATTCATATGTAATGTGATACTGTATATAATGGACTACATCTGCACATATACTAGACGTAAATGAAGCTGCTGGAAACGACGGTCGAATGATAGATTCATCTAAAGGAGACTGTGTGATATTTCATTTGTAGTTTTGCCGGATCTCAGATCTATGTATAGAGTATGCAGAGCTCACTAACTCACTTGGACAATATACTTTGGTACAAGGGACAATTCCGTCAGAACAACGACAAGTGTTACATCCGTCGCCACGAGGGAAGCTAGCCCCGTGCTTGTAAGTTATTTTATTGTGAACACAGTCTTTCTTGGGACAACATACTGCATATGCATCGACGGGTGATATCACACATTCGGATCCAAGGGGGCAGTCTTGTCTGCTTGGCCCACGTCCACAAAATATTTGCTGTCCGTTAGCGGTTTGCACAGGAGAGCAAGGAAGCTTGTTCGGATCATCTACAGAATAAAAGTATCAAGTACAATGTCGCACGAATATATATGTACAATAAGTGTCACATGTGTCGTATGTACAATATGTGTCATATTTCGACGCAGAAGTCAACACGTAAATGTAAATTAGATTATCTAAAGAAAACCTCGAGTAGGTAAATGAGAGAACTTTCTCACTAATGCCTAGGTCACATTTGCGCCCGGCCGATTGAGTATTTTGTTCAAAATTGAAGTTAAAACAAGCCCACTGTGCCACATACCAACACGGGGCATAGTATACTGGAGCTCTCTCTCATAATATATAACTTTAATACAGCTAAACTCCTACATACCTTCACATATAGGATCACACGGGGCCTTGATACATTGTACATTCTTACATATTTGACCAACTGGGCACGTTTTACTCTACAAATATATACAGGGTATACCCGATGTGACCGTTGTATACGTCCCTGTTAGATTAAGTTCAATAGAGGTATTTTCCTTGGATTGTAGGAGAATAAGTCTAGGGACCTACAAATCTCGGAAAATAAGTCTAGGGACCTACAAATCTAGGAAAATAAGTCTAGGGACTTACAAATCTAGGAAAATAAGTCCTGGTGACGTTCAGAAACATAATTGAAATCTGCTTTGAAAATAACCGTAGTTATTTGTTGTATGTTTGTATATTACAGCTGAGAAAAACTTTAATTTAAATAATATGTGATATTGATTTTGTCTGATACTAAGCAACTAAAGTTAAATTTTCAAAATATGCAATTCAAACTGTTATGATCAAGCGTGTTACCAAAATAAGACATTCCCATCTCGTAATATTGCTCATAACCAGGTTTTTGCATCCCATATATTTTTGGGATCGTTATTGATATTGCCATTTCCAAATAAAGGGTAAAGGAAGCATTATTATTATCAATCATATGTACTGTATCAATTATTTCTTCCCACCTTGCATGGGTCATCTACACACGAACATATATCGCAACCGTTGGCATCCTTCTTGAAGCCAAATTCACAGAACATCGTGCACATAATCGGACTGCATGCTGAAATATATACCATAAGTTACAGCATTATTTGTCACAAGGGACTTAGTCAAGCATTCGATGCATTCTTGGCGTTATACATTCTTATATCACATAATATAACCATACACCCCCTGCTTACACGAGCTCTGTCTCATACAATAGAACTATACATCGCCTGCCTACACGGCATTTACTATGCAGGAGTTCTATGTTACACAATAGAACTTCGTGTCACCTGCCTATACGGTACATGTACATTGCTTATGAGAGTCCTGTCTCATAAAATAGAACTATATATCTCCTTCCTACACGGCATTACCATGCAGGAGTTCTACCTCTCACAATAGAACATTGTATCACCTACCTTTACGGTACATTGTTTATGAAAACTCTGTCTCGTACAATAGAACTATACAGGGTGTCTCGAAAGTATGCCCCCCCCCCTAGGCAGACATACACCAATGTCCCCATAGTATGTATCATATATCATTTCAAAGCTTGTCCAAAGTTACATTGATTCGCCAAGTATCATGGTTCAACTCACAAACGGGAAAAAATTACACGCATTTCAAAATGTAGTGTTTTACCAAAATTAAAGTTTAGTTTTACACAAAATTAATAATTGGCGTGTCTCCCTTGGTCATGTTAACAGCAGCAATTCTTTCCAGATATGACCCAAAATGCACTTCAAATAGGGGTATGGAATATTATAATCCTCATAAAACCCTTTTCAGGCATTTTAGAAGAGTTTCCTTGGAATATCTGCCTTTACCTACCTCTTTTACAACTCAACATCCATCCTCTCTTGACGATTGCACCCGTATTTTTGGTCACATTCAGGTTAGCGGTGTTTCCTGGATACTGATTTTAACTTTAATTTTGGCCAAACACTAAGTTTTGAAATACCTGTAACTTTTTCCCATTTGTAGTACTTTGGATAAGCTTTAACATGATAAATGACACATACTATGGGAACATTTGTGTATGTCTGCCTAGGGGGTGCATACTTTCGGGACACCCTACATACATCACCTGCCTATACGGTACATTGTTTATGAGAACTCATACAATAGCACTAAACACCACCTGTCTACACGGAATTTACTATACAATAGTTCTATCTCACACAATATAACTTATCACATATCTATACGGTACATTGTTTATGAGAGCTCTGTCTCATACAATAGAACTATACATTCTCTGTCTACATGGTATTTACTATTCAGAAGTTCTGTCTCACACAATAGAACTATTATAATGCCACATGCGACGTACTGTCCATGCAAACGGTCTTTCATACATAATGGGGTTTCAGAATTTCGTATCACCTAACTACACGGCGTTTATTATCTCACACAATAGAACTTTGTACACCTGCCTACACGGTACACTGTATGTCGCACTGGATATCTGTACGTTTCACATTATATAGAATTTTAATACAACTAAACTCCTACATACCTTCACAAATGGGATCACATGGGGCCTTGACACACTGAACATTCTTACATATCTGACCGGCTGGGCACGTTTTACTCTACAAATATACAGGGCACACATTTTATCTAACTGTTTCTTTCAATATCATACATTTTTATACCCGTGGTATCACTAGGATTTAAACGTTCTTAAACTAATAATAATTTAATAATATGTGATATAAATAAATAATGTGTGATACAAATATTAAACATTTAGATATATGATGTGTACAATTTAGTTATATATCTGTTGACTTGTGAATACAATTGATTTGACCATTTGATTGCATAGAATAATAGATTTAGTCATTTATGTACCTGAAACACGTCAAAGTATGGAATAAACGTTATAATTATGCATCATTATGTATCATTTTTTCTTCTTACCTTGCATGGGTCATCTGCACACGAGCATATATCGCAACCGTTGGCATCCTTCTTGAAGCCAAATTCACAGAACATCGTGCACATAATCGGATTGCATCCTGAAACATTATAGCTTAAATTAGATCTTCAGTTATCACCATGGAATTAATAAACATTTAATGCATTTTTGGCGTTGTGCATTCTAACTTAAAAGATTTAAAACACAGTGCAGCTAATGTAGACGTTTACCTTTACAAACAGGACAGCATTGACCAGGCATGGTCACGGGATTTTGACAAGCCGGTGGCGGACAACCTTTAATTGCACATATGATCTTTGCATCCAATATGTCGGTGTCGGGATCGTTAACACAGCGACAGTGTTCACAAGGCCATGATCCGGGCACTGAAGCTCCCAGAGGATAAAGAATGCCATCTTTCTTGCAGTCTGAAAATAAAATAGATATTCAATTATTACTAGCATGGGGAAAATTGTATCGAACGTGAGTATTTAGAGCGACCTGACTTAGAGTGAAATGCTGACAGGCTGCCCTTCATTTTTTACTTTAATTTTGGCGTTCCGTTAAAGACAAGGTAACTAGTTGAGGAACAGTGATCCTGATTGAAAATTGAAAGTAGTATATACTTACGAGCACAGAATGCCTCAGTACAGCCAACAACTCCATCAGTGCAGAAACATGTATTACATCCATCTCCACGGGGGAAGTTAGACCCATGTTTGTATGTTTTGCCATTATGGGAGCAGTCTTTCTTAGGGCATGCCTTTAATGTACACAGCACTATACCGTCTAGCTGACAGCTACATTTATTACAACCGTCAACTGAGGGGAACTGATCCCCATTGTTATACACCTTGCCATTGTACTGACATTGCTTTAATGGACAACATACTCCACATTTGCCATTTGAAGATCCTACACAATTGAATCCAGGAGCACAATCTGTGCTTAGTCCAAGCCTACAGTAAATCAGGGCACCATTTGCAGATTTTTTAGGCCTTGCACATGGTAGTTGGTTGGGGTCATCTAGAAATGACAAAATACAGTTAAAGTTACAAAATGTACTGTTTCCGGATATTATCATATTCGGTAAGTAAATGTAGATCAAGAGCATTTCCAACTGAATTCAGATAGTAATGATGCTTGCAATTGTTTCAAAGATAATATATCAATGTCAGGACAAATTGCCTCAATAGGGCACGGGATGCCGTACGCGACATTGACAGTTTCATCATTTTTAGAAAAAATGAATTGATCATGGTTTCTATGTCTTAAAAACAACACTTGCTAGATATATACATTGGCCAGTGACCAGTCAATCCTACATACCTACACATACGGCTATTGGAAGGCACGGGGTCGTGACACACGTCACCTTTTGGACTTCACAAACCTCTCCGCATCCGCAGGATTTTTTCTAAAAATGGTAATTATATTTAGCCATATTATATAATAATTTTGACCTGCATCGACATGTTTGTATAATTTCTCATAAATCATATGAGCACAGTGTATGTTTGATTATACTTAATATGAATTCACAAAGACACGTATACCACTTCTGGTTAACTAAAAATGAGCATTACGTGAAAACCCTATCATAGTGTTTGAACAATAATTGCTATCGTACCTTGCAAGGGTTTTCTTCACATGAACAAATCGAACAACCATCTGAATTCTTCTTGAATCCGTATTGACAGAACATCCTACACTCAACAGGACTGCATTCTAAATATATCCATTAAAATACAACTGAAGTCAATTTAAGTATTTTGGTATATTTTTTAACAAACCAATCGATTATAAATGGAAAAAATTGCATTATTGAAAACCTGAAAATATTTTATTGGTGTACTTATCTATACTCGTGTACATATTACAGTATTTTGTATATTTCGTATTGATAATAGTAAGTCATATTTGACACGAGGTACTCATAAAATAGTAGGTTAATCCGGTAGCCGACAGGCGTTAGTTGCATTCGCGAATAAAGCTTAGTTTTGAGTTTCATCAAGTCTAAAATTGGTTCCATCGGTTTCATTTTAATTAGAGCAAAATTGCTTCAACTGTATTGAAACACAAATTGTGTTATTGTTTTGCAAGAAATGAACACGCGATGTAAACATATGAAGAAACAAATTGAACATACTTTGGCAAACAGGTTTGTTTCCCTTCACCACACAGTAGGGCTTGTCTGTCGGACAGAGAGTCATCTAAAACATAAAGGTACGAAACCATTTCTGTACACGAATACCTGAGGAATACCCTTCTCAAAGTGATCATAACTAATTAAAATATATATTGTGCAAATATTTCACTCTAGGGACGCAAATACCTGTGCATCTTTCAGAAGTGATAATATCTTTTCTTATTTCCTCATCACGTGTAGGATGAAGAACAATCAGAGAGTGAGAAATATGACAGTGATAAATAATAATTGCCTTTAATATTGCAACATGGTATTGTTGACTAATTACTTGGACGGCCATATATTTGGTTCTCATTTAAAATAGAATTTTAATGTATACCTTGCAAGGGTTGTCGCTACAGGAACATGTTGCACATCCATTATCATCACTCTTATATCCGTACGGACAGTACAGGTCGCACATTACATTACTGCATTCTTTGAAAATAATAATGTTTTGTAACAATTATTGAAATCATATGAATTAGATGCCTCAGTTGGAGATTGATAATCCCAATCAATTAAACATAACTGTATTTTCAATTAAATGGGTAACATCTATTACTATTTTAAATACGTGTTTATCAATAGTACTCCAAGATAAATATGAGCAAATGATTCATTTGTTGGGAGTGAAAATATGGGAACAGTCAAATATAAGCGAATAATTACCTTGACAAACGGCTTTCTTGTCACTGACCACACACACTGGTTTCTTTTTCGGACAGATTTTCACCTGTAAAGTAAGAACCACAACTAGAAAACTCCACGGAGTGGCAAATCCAATCGAACAAAATATGCAGATTATAAAAGACACACATTAGAGATACACTGGCCCATGCCCCCCCCCCTCTCCTTGGGTAGCCTTGTAAAACATTAGTAGGGCCTCAATTAGTGGGCCTTTTGGGTCATTTGCTTTTTCGGGCTTTTAAGGCCAAATTATCTAAAAATGAGCCTTACATTTTCAAAAGGAGCACGTAGGTTATCGCAAACAATGTCAGACGATTATATCTTGGTTTATGACTATTTTCTGACAATGAAGACAGGTTTATCTCTAAGATCCATTCATTATCTCAAAGAAAATTATATACACTAATAATAAAGTCAAACAAACTCGAAGATATTTAACTAGCAATCAACCCATCAACACACTTTTCAAAGATGTTAACCTCATTTCCACATAAAATGCAATCATTTTTACATTGTTTAATGCATTACTATTCTTTGTTTTAATGTATCAAATATTTCTCGAAAGAAAAACTTAATTGCTTTAAGATAAATGTTCCCCATTTTATTTCTCCATTGAAAAATATCATGCTATCCATTGGTTTCAGTTCATTTTGGTCATCCAAATTCAGGAGCAACCGACTTTTCCTCTTAGGAAATAGAACATGTCTCAAAGCAAATTCTAATTATGCATTCAACAATATAGTAAAAGGTTGCATTTTTGGTGAAAATTAGGTCAATATTTTTGAAAAAGTATGTTGATTGGTCCATTGCCCCTTCAATATCACTCAATGTCAATGTCAATATCTGATTTACTTAAATTGATTATATATACTTTTGTTGAAGATAATGAATGGTTCCAAAAGATACACCCATGCACATGATCAGAAAATATTTATAATTCAAGTTAGAATTGTGTGAAATTGTTTGCGATAACCTACGTGCTCCTTTGGGGATTTCGGGGCCCAATTTTTTCAGATTTAAAATATGCCCCACCCCTCCCCCATCCCCTTGTTATCTTCTGGATCCGCCAGTGAGATATGTCAGAATTTCGACAAAAACATCTGGGTGACCATTCAGGAGTATCAAAGGCACAAACCATGATGACAATACTATGTTTGAATAATCATACTTTAATGTTTTTCAATATGAGTATAATATAGCCATACTTTGAAAAAATCTGGAAAGTATTTCATTGCGAAATCCCACATAAGGCGGCCATTTTGAATTTCATGAGCCTCAAATCAGAAAAGCGTTACAATATTTGCAATCTACTATAAATTAATTTGGCTTTCATTTGGAATAAAGCTATACTGCAGAAATATCTCGAAATTAACGAAAATTACTGTTTACACAGTCCCTGAATTCTTACCAAAAACAGGGAGTGGATGTCAAATATATGATTATATTCCATATGGATAAACCAACAATCTTTGAAACAGTAATACTCATTATTTTGGTTAGAAGTCAAAAACTTAAAAGTTTTCGTATATGTTTGCATTTTATCTAATGTCTTATAATGTCTTATAATTTGGGGTATTGATATAAATGTTTGTATCTTACTGAACAAGGATCCGGATTGCACGCACATATTGGACACCCATCCGCACTAATCTTGAAGCCAAATTCACAGAACATCGCACACATGATGTTACTACATTCTGAAGCCGAAATATATTGGATATATCTTAAATGTATGCATCCTCCGACGCAGGTGTCCAGAATCCGTACCTCCTTCTTCCCCCTGTTGAAGCGCCTGATTAAACTGAGTCACGTGATCTAATTATGCACCGATGACGTACACATGATTGCTGTCGCAGTGTTGGGACAGCGAATCAAATTGCGAGTTCTTAATCGGGAAAATGCAACTGCTTATAGCAGGGTGTAAAAAGAAAGAAGATATTCTGGATTTTGAAGCCCGGTGATCGGCGGATGAAATGTATTTTCCTAGGGTGATAAAAAGACGACTCATATCCTAAGAACCTATGAGATAAATTAAGTTCAGACAAGGGCAAAGAGCAACGCCCTGGTCTATCATTGCTAAATGGCATGGGTATATTCGTTTGAAACACTTATAAAACGTGAACATAAAAATATCATATAAAGATGTCTCTGAGCCTCACAAAGCCATGATGCCGTGAGCGGTAAATTCTAACCTTGACTAATTCTACGCTTTGTACCTTATTATAATACCTGCATCAGATGAGTTCAGTTGTTGAACGATATTGAATTTAACTAGATGGTAACTTACTTTGACACACCGCCTCTTTACCCTTCACAATACAAAATGGTCGACCTGGTGGACAATCGGTAAGCTGAAATAGTCATATTCATTATGCATTACATATTCAGAAATGTCAAAATAAAGAACATTAACAGCAATTTCGCATGATAACAAAGAATGTTTATATATAACACGAAAATCCTAAACTATAGTTTTAAAGGAAATATATAGGTAAAATATACGAGATTGCACATGTACAGTTTCTAGTACAGTATAAGATAATTCATTTTTGAATAGAATTCATATTGTTCAAGGTCTTGAACAATAAACAACACATGGGATTTATTACTTGATTTGCAAAACATCTGTCTATCATAAAGTAGATTTTTAATTATAACTATTCGTATCTAATGATTAATTATGATCTAGAGTGTATTGATTAATGCAATTAATAAAATTTGGTTCAATGGGATAATATCAGCAAAAACTAATACGTGCGAAAATTAATGAAACACAAACACATCTCAACAATGGCCTGGGTATAAGTTGAAGGTTAACACTTTGGTGATGATTTGCATTGTGTGAGGAAGTCAATTTTCAGTTTTGGCTTGCATTGAA